AAAGCGATGCTATGTTCTTTGCCGCAGGATTTTCGTAATGTCATCACGGCAGTGACGTATGCTCTATCGATTCGTGTGAAATGGCAATATTGAGATAACAATGTCAATCACAGTGTGCATTAATTCACTGTAAATGAAAGGAAAGAAACTTGAATGCATCTTAAAATACAAGAACAGCCAAGTTCCAAAACGCTAGAAGAAAGTAGAAGAAAGACTTGAGGCTCCACACGGCTCTCTTATTGGCCTGATGCTCTTTTGTATGGTATTCCTTTTCTAAAAAACAAATTATGAGTTTTCTATCACGTTGATAATAAAGAAATTTTCACAACTTCCAATGAATCTGCAATAAATGAAATTTTCTTTGCTGCAACAGCCGAGGACACTGACTGACTAAAATCATATTTAGAAACAAACACTACATATCAAAAGAAAATAAAAGAAGATTCTTCTTTTTGGGAATCGTGACTAGAGAGTATAATCAAGATAGATATTTTCCAAAAAATATCTAAAATTTCGCTTTTCTAGAATTTTAACTTTATGCTACAAATTCTGCGCATTTTTAAATGAATATGTAAATAAGGAAGTTATATTTTTAGTGAGACGTATTTAACATCTATACAAAAAATCGTTCTTGTCACTTAAATACCTCTATTTGTTTCTCTTTGCTAGTATAGCATAACTCTATTGCGTTTTATTCATACCAGTCCTTCAAAAAACCTGCTTTTGTCACGTCTGAAATAACAAGTCACCTTGAATAGAACATATTAAGTTAGGTTAAATGACTTTTTAATACCAAATGCTTTGATGAATAATTCATAATTTTAGTACAGACAGCATTTTGTTTTTCGGCGTTCTCCATTGACTCAAACGCCATGAGCTGGTTATTATGCTGTTTATATTAAATACGTTATCAGAAAACTTAATTGAGGTATAAAATGCAAAACCATTGCGCAAAAGCCAGGTCTAAAATACAAAACAGGTTCTTCATAAGAACTTAAAGTTAACTTAGAGGCATGAGTTTAAGATCCGGGACTAATTTAGAGACAATTCCTTTATCCTTTAAAGCAAGCAGGAAAATTATTGATATTTTTTGTCTATCTAACATGAGCCATTTTTGAACTCTTCTCGCAAAAGTAGCTCAAAACACAGAAGTATGTAACTAGCAAAAGCAACTAGTTTTTAAAATTCAGACTTCCCTGCCAAGCATAGGCGTACTGGGTGAGTTTAGATAAAATGGGCTTGAATTAGTTTAGCAGCTTTTTGCTTAAGGCCCCAGATGCCTCCGTTATGCCAAAGCGCGTAGATTTCTTCCAGATAATGTGAGCGTCATTGCCAACTAAATTGAGCATAGATTCCTTCCAAAACTTTACCTATTACATTGTAGAAACAATTGAACAGAGCTTTGCTTTCTCAATAGGTTTTGGGCTCTTATCTTTGCATAGAAAAATAAATATTCTGTCCACTGCCTTCACTGACACCTATAGGCAAGTCTACCGCGTTTCGCTTTGTCCCTTTTACCTATAGGACGGTTCATGTTCAAATTTTCTCTTGAAATTACATGTCTTTTGGTTATGGCCTCAATGAAGTTGTAGAGACCTTGAACAACATCAAGTTTAATTCTCGTTGTCTCATATTCTGCAAGATTCAACTAATGTCCAAATCAGCGAAGATCTGTCCTCCATTCGCTTTGCCAAGCCCTCAGCTTTTGCCGCTCATGTTAGACCCCATTTTTTTAACCTTTAGGTAACTTGAATAGAGAGCTTCAAAAACCATTTTTGTCTATAGTCATTCTGAGTGTTTCATTGCATCTACCCATATTTTCTCGTTGGTTTTATATTTCTTATTTGTAGCCTCTCAGCAAATATTCACATTTCTGACGGGGCTTATAATGCCTTAGCAAATTCATTGACTTTTAAGATTTAATTTCAAATAGTTCTTCTACATTATTGGTTGTGGATCGAAATGGGCCAATCAGAAAAACGCAGGCACAAGACCGATATAGGACCAATCAGTGCCAATCAGTTGACCAATAGTTGACCAATCAGTGCCGCGTGCCTAAAGAAAAATTACCACTGGAGTCCAAGAGAGGAAACGAACTCCTGTCTACACAATGGCGGCTTTATCGTAGTAAAATGTTTGCTTTTTTCAAAGCCATTTTCAAGTTCTATACCGCCAAAGAATTGTGCAGAAAATAAACTTCAATATACGATTGAAACCAGTTTAACTCACACCTCTTATCATCATATGTCTCAATTTTTGCAAGAAGAATAGGATGGTCTACCGTATCAAACGCTTTTCAACGTCCGAGAAGAGACTTAATGCGAGTTCACTGTTATTGATACTATTGTAACAAGGGTCAGTTACATCGAACGGTGAAGTGAAGGTGAATTGTAATTTCGGAAGCTAAACTGGTGAGCACGAAAATATTATTGTTTGCTAAGTATTCGAAAAATTGGTCATGGACAAACTTTCAAAGAATTTCTGAAATTGCGGATAAGACAGTGGACAGTCGATAATTGTTAGCATTAAATGCAGTTCCAGTTTTTTACAAAGGTATGACTCAAGATACTTCTCAAACTGCAGAAAAAACTTGTTTTTGAAAGGATGCAATACAGGTTGTTTCAAAAGTTTTCTAAATTTTGCGCCGTCTCCTTAGTAGGTTAACCGGAGTTTTGTCCGGATCAGCGGAATTTGATATTTTTAGCTTGACGATAACATAAAAGGAATATTCTTCTAAAAGGCATGAAAACTTAATAATGCTTTTAATTTTTTTAGAAAGAAATTGAAGAAGCCTATCTCCATCAGGAGATTCAATTTTGCCACAAGTGATAAACTTATATTTGAAAAATTTTCGTCAAAGGCATGGACGATTTTTTCCTTTCCATGCATTCCTAATCCTGGTATCTGATGGACCGCTGTGATGCGTGAAGTGTCTCCCAGGGCTCTATTTACGTTTTTTAACAATTCTGTGATGCAAAATCTTTTCCTCTTCTTCGATACTTGACAGTAATTACTAACCTTTACTAAGAGCATTGAATGACAAGACTAGGCTTTCGGTTTGATTAAGAAATCTAAAAATCGCTGAGACTCACCAACTTTAAACCCTTCTTTTTGAGAAAGGGGGTCTATTTGGAAAACCTAGTTCGTTTTAGTGTACAAATCTTCTTAAAGTAAAAATAGTATGAAAAATACAATATTGGCAATTCACAGCACGTAACATCATGTTGTCGTTTAAAGTCATTAATAATGTAAGTTTTATCGGCTTTTCCAGTAACAAACTTCAAATATAGAAAAACAGCGGGAGTATCCCAATTTAGCATCATCTGTGTTTAATTAAAACACGACTGAATGAAGGTCATCAAAAATAAAGAGAAAAACATTTCAAAGCGCGCGCTGCATTCAAACTGCCGCGACAAACCGAGTACAGAAACATACAACATGAATGTGTGAAGGTGACCCCATTGACCGGTAGAACTAAAGAACACCAGCGAGGAATGTTGGGATTTAATTAAAGCAAGCCGCAAATTAGAAATTACTTTAGAATTGAGCCTTGTCTGGCACCGTGGTAGGGTAAATTTGTTATGACCAAAACAGCAATCTCTCTTCATGTTGCTTACAATCATGAACATAAGTATATTGAAAGAATATCCAGAAATAGCTGTTCACATGAACACCGCCGACATCACCGAAAATTAAGAATCAATAATCTTAACTAAGTTTCCTGGTATCGAAACTAGGATATAAAAACCATTTCATTATTCTTTAGGTTTCGTTAATTACGATTCCTTGCCAAAGATGATAATCCAGGGTTGAGTTCCTTCTCGTCTTCTCGAGTTTCTACGAACCGCCTCTTTGTGCATTTTCACAGCTCTTTCAAGTTCTTTCTTCTTAATCTTTTTCGTTTATGTTTTATCATGTTGTGATCTAAACGGTGATTGGTCACACGGTCGTCAGTTTCTTCTCTATATGGAATATACTGCAGGTACAAAAGGTTTCAATCCTTTTCCATTTCTGTGTCACTAAATTTCTGCCCCCTCCCCCTCCACCATTGAATGATAATGCGATTAACCTTTCCAGGCGAAAAGAATAACTCAATGGGGCCAAAATACCCAAACAGGATCCTAATCAAATATTTGGTTCCGAAGAAGGGGGGATTTGGCACAACTGAATCAAAGTTCCAAATTATGTTGTAAATCCTTTAAGGCTCGAGGCTTTGTAATTGCTTGCTGTCAAAGATCTTAATGTATTGCGTTAGACTGATGTAGTAGTTAGCTAGCTCTCGAGTTATGTTGGCACAGGTCTTGAATGTTACGTTGTGGAAATACGAAGTGTATCGATGTATTCGCTACTGCGCTACATGGGGTAGACTTTGCGTTTGTATACCCATGAGTTATAAAAACATTTCTCGTCTTTAATGCTAGTGAAAATGGCTGGTCCTACTGCCTTAAGATTTCGGACAAAATGAATAAGGACTCAAAAACACACTGTAGAAGAATCTAAAAACATCCTTTCTGAATAACAAGAGAGTACATCTTGGCTAAACACTATATTTCATAGCAAGGAAATGCCGTATGTAAATGGAGTTATTTTTGCTCCTAAAACACGTCGCCTTTTTTCCGTATTTACAAGGAATTAAAAATCATAGTGTGTTTGGAGTGTGTCCTTTTAGGCCCGGCTGAGATGAAAAATTCTTAAAGGAACCCGAAACAAGTTACGAGCAAATCTTAATAATGATTCATTCGGTTATTGAAAGGCGGTGCTGCCGATATACACAGCTTTGTGTTGATGTAACTATTAAATTTTTATGAAAAAGTTGGTTAACCACAAGCAAGCCGCTCTCAAATAGTTTAAGTAACAATAATTTGCGGGTAAAAACATACGTATTCACACTACGGAAAATTTCTTTCAAAAACAGGATCTCCGGGTATCTGACGTCATAGATCTATTTCGCGTTCTTCTTATGTATAAAAGAAAGTTACTATGCTGAGAGAAAAAAAGTTTTTCTTTATTCATTTATTGTATTACTCTTAAAATACTACATCTAAAACGCTTCTTCTTCAATAAATATTCTGAAACTTAACCATTAATTCAAAAAAGACTTTTGAAGCTTTAGAGAACTGTAAAATGGAAAGGTCCATTACAATGCTCTAATGCAAATGCTGGACATGAAAATTTCTTACAAAATTCTCTAATAATGATCGTAATCAGACGAGCAGCCAAAACAGCTTTAAAATAATAGCAATAATGATAGGTATATTTCCACCTAATCTTCTATAGATACTACGATGTTTGATTGTATCAAGGTGGCAGAGCGGCATATGCCTTTTCTATACAAATGCGTCTTCTCGCACTTTTTGTTGTATCTTATATATATTCAAGGATGTTGTTGTCACTTGTTTCAAAACGTGGATAAGAAAGCTATGTTATTTTAGACAAAACATCTTGTGGCAGAATATCTCAGGGAGGAAACAACTGTCAATTCACTCAAATCAAGTGTTGCCGGCTAATTTTTTGCTCATATTAGTCTGTAAGCGTTGATAATTCAAATAACAAACTGCCACAATACTGAAGTCAGTTGTGTAGAGACTAATCTCAAGATTTTGTGTAAAGAGTAGCCTGCCGAGTTTTAAGATCAATTTTGACTTATACTTTCTCCAAGGGGATCCTTCAAATTCGGGTCACAAGTTACCTACCAAGTTACCTAATATTGCACGTACTATTCACGATGACAGTTTATTGCCCCTCCCCCTTTCAGTAACCCTACCCACAAACCAATTCCAGCTTGAAACCATGGAGGCAAAAATATTCCTATCTCTTTGCTTGAAACCGAAATTTCCATTGTTGGCTTATGGCTGATGCACTTGTTGTCAGTCATTCTGCAAATCAATTTCCATCTACAGGTTAGTTTTCTAGACACTCGTTGTTATCAAAATCATTAAACTACTTTCCAGCAGACTGCCTCTCTTCACAAACTTTCAAGACTTCATCCAATTTCGATTTAGCAAGCTTTAAGCCACTTTCCGCTTCCGTTTTTACCTGCAAACAAATTGCAAGATGTTGCTGGAAAATTTAACTATGAATGTAAAAGATTCAAAAATAATTCAGAAGTTTCCTGCCCCAAATTATGATCAAAAATCAGCTTTCTATAACGTAAAAGAATAAGATCAAATTTTCTGCCACTAGCAGAATCGACGATCATCATTTAAAAATAGAAGAAGCATTCAACTGTAAGCTGGTGAAAGATAACTGTAGAAAGTTTCTGGTGAGTCTCACGAGCTTATAAATTACAGAATTTCAAGTTTTGCTTATTTTGCCTCTTTCAAAGTAAAAAAAGAAACATTCTGTAAAGTGTTTGTTAAAAATCACTTTCTGTTAATGTTCACTTTCTGTTTTCAGATGAAACGCCGTTGAAGTTAGGAAAGTTTTTGATGTGTTGAGAAACATAGGGGACAAAGAAAGGGTTACAAATGGATATAGAGTGCCAGGGAGTTGGAAGAATGATAAATAGAGTGCAATTCAAGGACAACCAAAAGGCTGATAAATAATGGACACGTGTGTTATATCTTGTGTTCTGTTGAGCCCACGTTTAACCGTGCTGTTATGATTATTGGTTTTGACATATTCAATTCGGTGAGCCTAGGTCGTGTTTCTAAACGCGCTTCTCGTAGAATTTTTCGCAACCTTAAAGGCTCGGTGGTCACAAGCTGTTTCCTGATGTAGTACACAAATTTGACTGTTGAGCTAAATTTAAGCCAATTGATGTAAATGTGTTAGAAATGGGCAAAGCCAATACAAATGTCCTATAAAAAACTTGCAAATCAAGCGAACAATTTCAATTGCCCAACCTTCTATGCAAATCTGAAAACCTACCGTACACAAATAGCTCTCGTCTTTTATCTCCTTTAGATTGATCATAACATTGCAATACGCACCAAAGACACCTGTTTCTAATCCTTTTGCTCCAACCTGCAGAGTTAAAAGCAATAGTTAATGGCCTTGAAAGATAATTGTCAAATGAGTAATCTTTGCTGAACATATTTCCTGTTTCACAGCTTAAAACTTATATTGTAGAGGGTGAAACGTACCTGTATATCCGAAATCGTTGCTATATTGCCAACTTCTGCCATTTTCACCATAGTTTCCCAACACTGATTGGCCGTCTGCATTACTTTCAGCGGCACTGAGATGGCCGTCTTCAAACCTCCTTGCATCGCAGCCTCGCGTCTAGTAAAGCATATAACTGCGTCATGGAAATGAGGCTGTAAACTCACTTTCATTGTAAATTCTGCCAGTTATTTTGCAGAAACAGTTCGCAGTCATAAATCAATTAATTTGGTCAGAACACGTAATTAAAAAACGAGTTTTCACGATCAGTCACGCTAAACGACAACGCTTCTACAACATCAAGTTGAAAAGCAAATTGAAAATGGTAGTAATTGGGGTTTGAGGTGTGGTGAGGTCACACCCAAAGCATACAAAGGGTGAGAGGTCGGGAGGGGTGTCGTCTCAAAACTAGGCCAAAAACAGATCAACTAGTGTCAATATCTCCCTACCATAAAAGCTGCAGCTGGGTCATCAAGGAAATCCATGAATGGGAGCTTGCTATTTCGATCACAATAGAAATTAAATGGGATGTGGCCTAATGGAAGGACAACTAACTGCGTTTGAAAACTGAGAGTAAGGTGGTGAGATTAGATATTGATACAGATACAGATACAGATACTGAACAAATCCAGCCTTTATTTCAGGCTTCCTACGACCGCTAAGGTCACATGAAGTTTATGTATCACGTAACTCGAAAGTGGTGCTACAATTGAAAACTGGTTTTTAATGCTTGTATTAACCCTTTAACTGGTTTAAAATGTTTCCTACATTCCTCTTATTTTCCCTTCATGCGTTGCACCTGAGGCCTTGACTAGAAACTACCTACTACAAAAGATATAGTTCATTCATAAAAGATCAATATTTGATACCAATCTCACGAACAAACCTTTCTGTTTCTTCAGGTGTTTTGTGGGACATTTTCAGCGCAGCCTAAAACACAGAAAAGGTGCTGGATTATATTGGAGAAAGATTTGCTGGGCGGTCTTCTAAGCAAAACTGCGGAAAACATCAAATTCAAGTGCAGGTTTGAAGAGGGTACTGAAAGCAAAATATCAAAGGGGTTTTGGATTTAAGGAGAAAGTACACTGCACATTTTCACAGCTATTCTCGAGTGTGATGACTTTAAAGTCTGAAAAACACTTCTGATTTATAATGAAAAGGCTTTTGCATAAATTTTATCAAGTTATTGCTGAAATTGACAACGATTGTTTGTTAAGGTGAATTTCGGTGAACTTTGCTAGTGCCATCAAATTTGGCAATGCACAATAATGAAGGATGAGTATACTGTATTTTGTGAAAATGGAAATGATGTTCTACTGAAGGAAACAATACCTCGATTTCAGGCCCTCTATAAAACATGACACCATTCTTGGTTTGCGAGCCAAGAATGGTACTGACCCTCTACAAGATAGCTAAACAAATAGTAAGAAATTTCTTGTCCTTACCATGTATTCGTTGAAGGCATTTGTGTCGGCATCGATCATTGGCACAAGCTCAAGCATTGTCTTCTGCAAGGGTGGAATTAACTGACGCATTGTAGCATCAAGATGCTCAAATTTTCTGTTGCCATAGGACATCCAACCAACCATAAGCCCGAGTGCAGAACCCTGAGAAAAAGATGCCTCATTAAAAGGTCTCAATGAAATGAGCAAACAAACAGGCAAAAATGATAAACCAGATATTCCGTATTACCTCCAGCAAAGGGATCTCTATTTTACAACGCTCCCTTAAAAATGAATGCCCCTCAAAAGCATAGAAATTAAAATAACACCCAGGCAAATTCTTGAAGCAGTACTTTATATTTAAAACTAGGGTGGTGGATGAATGTATTTATTGATGGGAGGGGGCAGCACGTTGTACTTAGCACAGGAAAATCCTGCAGAATATCATGAAGTAACTAGAAAAATTGGATCTTAATGAAGACTTGGGAGCAACCGGCTACTGTATCTCTCTGTATTTAAATCAAAAAGCCTATCGAACTAACCTGGTAGGCTTCTAAGTTTCAAGTTCTCCATAATTTTGATGAGATTTATTTTACATTGCAAATCAGAGTTCAAAAGTTTGATAGCGACATACAACAATACCAAAATTTCAATGTTGCGTCAAGGAGATTCACGCTGTGGTTGAACTTATCGTTCTATACGTACCCAACATTAGCCCAAAATCTTTCAAAAAAGAGCTAGCCGACGTGATAACATGAGGAAAAAGGCCAGGGATCTAGGGCTGGATGCATGTCAAATGTCGTTTATGCAGTGGCAGCGCAAGCTAATGCAGAGTTGGAGGGTAATTGGTGTGACCTATGAGACCAGGCGTGGATTTTCCTTCAACAAATCTTAGAAAAACATAACTCTACATTGGTCATACCACCTATTTGACGCCGCAACTGCATCTATGCAGGTTGAAGGCCAGGCATAGATTCTATTTCCATATCTGAAAAACCCCTCACAACAGCAACCGCTTAAAGTTACGTTACCATGGCAGCAATCGCAGCTGCAGCAGAGCCTCCACCTGGTGCTGAACTTCTACTGCCGAGTGCGTATATAAACTGGCGTAAGCTTGATGATGCCAATGGACTGCTTTTTTCTGTGCCAACCATGAACCTGAAAAGAGAGATAATAAAAAAATATAAGATAACTATTGATTAGGACATTGCAGTGAGATGGACCCACGCAATTTCCCTTTTCAAAGTTGCAAACAGTTGTATTGAAGAGACATTAGGTATTCTAAGCTCATTTCAAATGTTGAGAGAAAAACTTTCAAGAAAAGCATTTCTTGAAAAGCTAAATATGAATGCATGGAATATGCAAACAAAATTTGAATCAGGATCCTCTAAGATGGCGTTAAAACAGGTTTCACGATGCAAAACCTTTTCTAAAAAGGTTCTGGAAAAATGGCTTTGGCAAGGTTCAGAAGATAAAGTAGCTTTAGCCCTTATCTATAATTTTGAAAAAGCAGTGCTTTCTGCTCTTTACATCTAAATCATTAAAAGATAAAAATAAATTGAGAATAAAAGGTTCTATTAAATGTTAAGTAGATGGATTAATAAGGCTTACTTTCTAACGGGTCAGGGTACCACTTTCGTGAATTGAAAACATTGCCATGAAGTAAAACCTTATCTTTGCAACTCAGTTAAGAACGAAACAAGCAAGTGAACAAGTTAACGATAAACACCTGATTAGTACAAGAAAGAGACAACAGCAAAGTAGATAAAAGAGCATGCCAGAAGCACCTGGCGATAAATAATACAATAAACAAAATCATTGAGGAAAACTATTGAAATTAAAAAATAAATTACTTACTCAATGATTCTTTGCTCGGGAATAAATGGCTTGATTGATGATAGCCCTAGTCTTTCGATGACCTGTGAAAAAACAAACATATCAAATAACAGGGCAGGCAGCTAGCAAATAACAGGACAGGCAGCCAGCTAGATAGAAGCATCACCAAGGCGTATCTTTGAAATTTCTTTAGGGTAGAACTGATACCAGAAGGTTTACTCTAGGTAACTGAAAAAATGAAATGATAGATAAAGGAAATAATTTTTTTGCAGAACTGGTGCATTTGGTAGAAAATTTGGTGCAAATTAAACATTTCAAGGTATTTTGTGGTATTGTTCTGATCATATGTTCAAAATGAAAATATTAACAACAAAATTCAGGGCTTCATTACTAATATTTACCAGGCTATGGATGTGATACTTCAAATGATTTTTTTTGTTTAAATGAGATTTTTTGTTTTGTTTTCAAAAGATAGATGACTCTGCAGATATTATTGCAGCGCTGGACATCACCAATGGACATGACCACTGGACATGACCACTGGACATGACCACTGGACATGACCACTGGACATGACCACTGGAGATCACCAATGAACATTACCACTGGACATCACCAATGGACATCACCAATGGACATGACCACTGGACATGACAACTGGACATGACCACTGGAGATCACCAATGGACATCACCATTTGACATGACCACTGGACATGACCACTGGACATGACCACTGGTCATGACAACTGGACATGACCACTGGAGATCACCAATGGACATTACCACTGGACATCGCCACTGGAAATTCATAACAAACTATGCAGGTGTGCGAACACTCAAGCAGAAACTGGCTGATTCGTGAAATGTCAATTCATCATATGCAAATGTGGCAGTGAACTTACTAATCTAACTTTCTGCTTTTCGTCCATGATGAACAAATTTTCCTTCCCCATGTAGTAATCTGCTGCCATCAAAATAGATTTCAAAGGAACCAAACCAACAACCTCGGAGCCACAGATGCCAATATTTATTTCCTAAGGAGGTAATATCTCAACATTATCTATATGGCTATGCGAGCATTACATTGTAATTATACAAACATTATATAAGGCATGCATTATAGCATCATTATTCGTTTCAAAAGTAAATATTATGAAAAAATTATACCCTAAATATGCAGGAATTATAACCATAATCATAATTATATAAGCGTAATGTTCCTTTGTGAAAGTTGCAAGATTATCATGCAAGAATTTCTTAGGTAATCACCGCTGAATCAAAGTTTTCACCCAAGAAATTAAACTTAATCAAGAAATAATTTCATTGAGACGTTTGAATAACTGCACAGACAATAATCTGCTGAAAAACATTTTGCTAAACATTCCTGTCACTTAGGAATGTCCGTAGAATGTATACCATTGCGAATGTGCATTCCTGAAGACGATATTAAATGTGGTGGAGAAAACAAGCAAAAATGCACTCAATGTTTGATGCCTTAATAGTTGGCTTAAATTAGATTCACTGGCTATACACCAGCCAACGTAAAACAAATAAAAATATCTTTATTTTCAAAATAAGCTAAAGGAATGTCCGTAGAATGTATACCATTGCGAATGTGCATTCCTGAAGACGATATTAAATGTGGTGGAGAAAACAAGCAAAAATGCACTCAATGTTTGATGCCTTAATAGTTGGCTTAAATTAGATTCACTGGCTATACACCAGCCAACGTAAAACAAATAAAAATATCTTTATTTTCAAAATAAGCTAAAGGAATGTCCGTAGAATGTATACCATTGCGAATGTGCATTCCTGAAGACGATATTAAATGTGGTGGAGAAAACAAGCAAAAATGCACTCAATGTTTGATGCCTTAATAGTTGGCTTAAATTAGTTTCACTGGCTATACACCAGCCAACGTAAAACAAATAAAAATATCTTTATTTTCAAAAAAAGCTAGTAGAATTAAGGTACTTTCCAGCATCTCCATTCGTACCACATAATAGATATTCTACTATAGGAACAAAAGTTATAATAACCCAGAGCTACTACCTTTTTAACATTTATTAGCCTTTTTATGACTATTTTGTATAAACAGACAAGCCAGCTACAAAGGACCTGTGTATTAAAGAGATTTGTAACTTTGGTTTCAACTGAAATTTAAAATGGAAAGTTCCCATCATAATTCAGTTTATGTCCAAATTTAATGTAATGGTGACTTGTTTTGCAGTCATTATCAATCAAAAGGTTTTCTTTAGCATTTGAGCAAGGTAAAGCAGTAATTTCAAATACCATTCCAGTCTTGTATTATTTTACAAGAAAAAGAACCGCGTTTTCACACAAGCCACAGCGGCTAAGTACCATATGCTCCAACACCACTGGGACAAACAAAACGACTAGTTAACCCAAATGAAATTTTCGTAGAAACTCAAAGAATTTCCATAAGCATCACCAAAGCCACACAAAACCACCAAAGTGTTTAGAAGACCTACAAACAACACGAGAATTAATATCTCTTATATATTCCTTATTTATTTCTTATAGAGATAACAAGTTCAATCTTTACCTACTTTTCAAACCTTTTCTAATTTTGATGCAGCAGGGGATTCTTTCTCGTTTACGAGATTTTGAAATAAGTTTAGAATTTATGTTGCACTTATCTCAGCAGAAAATATTTTTTAACTTAAAAAGAACGATTTTAAAAGCTGAACATCTGCTCAATGAGTATCACGATCTGTTTGATCAACGTAATTTGATTTCCCAAAGAGAATGAAAACTAGAGGCGGAGTTAAACCCACTCGTCAGCCTATCTCTAGCTGCTGTTAACAGTGGTCGTGACGCTGCTGAGAAAAACTGAGAAATCACAAGATTGAAATCACCACACATGTGGCAAATTTGAAAAATATTTGCAATGCACCTGTTACATGTTTATAACATTCGCAAATAACATTTTAAAAAAAAATTACTCAAATGAAAAGCAAATTTTCTGACTTATTCTTTCATTGAAGGCTATTCGGGGGAAATGAAATAAAAATATATAGTTTCAAAAAAATGTTATGGCTGTTTGAATAAAAAGAGACCAAACTGTATTCCCAGGAAGCTAGAAATTTCAGAAACTTTCAAAATTCTTGAAACTGTGGTTTGCAACCGAAATCCAACGAAAGAAAAAACTGAGGAATTCAAATAGCAATTTTTTGAGACTCAGAAAGAATCGTAAATTGTAGGTTTTTTACAGATGAAAAAAACAATGGCACATGCAACGAGCCAGCAAAGACATCGGCAAATTAAAGCCTTGAAAATATAGACAAAATTCCACATATCTTACAAACCTGAAAGATTTCTTTTCTTATAAATCCATACATTTAAAGTGTTTTTGTGTACTCTAACGATTTCATCAAATGTAAGCTTATAATTTGATTTTTAGTCCACTGATTGCAAAAGATTACTCACACTGAGAAACAGCTAAGGAACAGCAGGCATGTTAATCAGCTTTCAGACTCTCTGGCTAACTGATCCAGATTAAAACAGCTTCGTTGGAAATTATAAACGTTGAAAAGTAGCAAATATTTCCATCAACAAGCTAATCAGTAGTTATGATTTCATAACAACGGCTATGGAAAGCATATGTTTGAATACAGTGATAACAGTGATAATTTCTCTACAAAGCATCATGCTTTTCTTTAGACTAAAAGTCATTTTCCTGTCAATATAAATCCATTTCTAACACAAGGCAACGCTTGTGGAAACACACACAAAATACACGTGAGGAATTAGATTGTCAAAGGAAGCAAGGGACACCACAATGCATCGATATAGTAATGAAAAACGATCAATTCTAACTTCAAAAAGTAAATACTGAAAACCAAAGTGGACATGCAAAATTTCAGATATTAAAGTTGAAAATCATATTCAACACGAAGTACCTCAAGATCTTTCTTGGCCTCTTCAAAAGCAGTATGAATGGCAGTTTCTTCAAAGTCGAGAAGATTTAATGATATTTGAGCAAGATTGGCTTCTTGTAAATACCAACCCAGGCCTTGCACTTTCTTCAGCTTTCCCGGCTGAAAGGTAAATTGATTTAGCAACAAAACGAAGATGGGTGTGAGAATTTCACTCTTCAAGGCTAAATACCAACTTCATGGCAACATGCTCTTTTTTTGTGAAGATATTGCTGCTATCAACATGAAAAAGTTGATTTTATGAGGGACTTCGACACAAAAGAAAATATTTACAGATGGAGTTTAATATTCACCAAGGCAAGACTCGAATATTTTTAGATTCAAGTTACAATGAAGTAAAATTGAATGGAGCATAAAAGATTTTCAGTAGGATCTCAAAAACAATTTAATTTGAGCAAATTATAACTTTCTTACACAGAACTTAAATCAAGCTTGCAAGTACCTTGTCAAATTGTACCATATAAGGTTTCCTTTTAGGGTGTTGCGCCTTTTTAGATTGTCCATAATTTCTCTAAAAACGACCTAATCTAGGACTGACTTTGGAAAATAGGGGATAATTTCCACATCCTGACCAGTTTTGATAAATTTTATTCCGCTGTTAGAGCTTATAAGTGAATGAACGTGGAAGGTAACAGTTTCTTAAATTTCTTAAACTTAGGACTTTAGAGTGTTCGGTCAGATTAAAGACCGAAATTAAAACATTTGTAAAAATTTATTTCTATGTCGTCTTCAATCAACAATTCTATTCACTTATTTTTAATGTAAAGCCATCTTGTCTACTTTCAGGCTGCAATGAATTATGTTACATTGGTGAATTATTTCGACAACCACGACGGTGCAGTTCCCATTAGAAAGGGGTATTTCATAACCAAAAATGTGCTCCTCACTGAAAAATCTAGAAATTTATTCATGAAAATGCTACTACCAGAACACAGAAGTCGGTTATAGTGGCGACCTGGTCAATGTGACGTTTACGTAATGTAAAATGAAAAGGGCGTTAGCGTATCGCGTCTGCGCATTCTATGTAAAACAAAAAACACATCATGCTTCCTCTATATTCGATTTCCCCTCGCCGATGCAACTTCTAACAGGAAGTAATTTCAAGAAACGAAACAAGAAACTAAGAAGAAAATATTTTGCTTATCCAATGCATTAGGATTCGAATAGCTTTTGGTGGATTGTTGGAGAAAATCACGCCAAACCCCTTTGCCAATACCTTTTGCTGAATATTCTTTTGGACACTTTATGAACCTTCCCACACAAAACTAGACATTGTGTCATTTTAATTGTGGCTGACATACTGAGTATATATCAAAGTGCTAAAGTTTACCTTGTCCGGCCCGCGCCCGTTCTCCCTAAGATTTAAGGCAATTCTATGTGCTTGTTCCTTTGTGCCAAGGACGTTGATATTGTAGGCGATAAGGTACTTTCGAGCACCGGCGATTGTGGCACCCCAAGAAGGAATAAACTCGGCTGGTCCGTAATCAGGTTTCCATTCGTCTTTCTTTATCTAAAAAATTGCAGAACAAGCTGAACAGTAAATCTAATTCAAGAATTTTTAAACTCATTGCATATAATCTGAAAGAACAGCATAAATACATCTGAATCTATGAAGTCAGTGGCTATCTGATAAAGATTGGTTTATAAATGACCTGAAATACGACCAAATTATTATGGTTTGATATGGAACGATACAATGTAACCGATTCAAATTTAGTGTCAACGGCTTCTTTCAAATTGGAAAATTAAAAAATGTTCTTTCAGATAATAAAGTCAAAATCCAAAAGATCACCAAACAGTTGGCTATGAGATTAAATGTTTGGATTTTTGCTGTTAAAATCATAAAATAATGCACCACGAACTAAATAATTGTAGCCCCGGAATAAATAATCGAGTAGAAGTGCTGCTTTAAATATTTGAAGGCTTCAGGGGGCTTCGAAATAAAAACATTTATACGTAAAAATGAAAATACTGGCTTTACAGCAATGTATAGCGTTAGAATTAGAATAAAATTTACTCAACAAATTAAGTCAACTTTTGCAAGAGAGGAAGATTTATTTTTGGTTCTGACTGACTCAACAAATGGAAGGTTCTCTGGGTAATGAATTTGCCGTATTACTTCGAAAAATTGCCCCTGGCGCTCTTTGAATTTCTGGTGCGTTTGTAGGGGTGTTCATTCGAGGGGGCGTTTTTAAGAAAGGGGAGTTTTTTATAGTTCATGTTTACTAGCATACTAAAGTTAATTTTTCTACGAAAAAGAATTGTACCGAAAATGTCATTTTTAAAAAGACTGAAATGGCTTGATAATGTGGCGAAATCCATATGCGTTTCGATATCATATCAATACTTTCTGATAAATGTCCCTTTCAAACGATTTTTACATTTCAATATCAATAAGGGGACATCAATTCGAGGGAGCGTTAAAAGAAGGGGGGCATTTATTCGAAGTACTACGACATATCTAGTTTTACCTAAATTGTAACATAGCAGAACGCCAAGCAAGCCTAACCAAACCTAGGATTTACCTTCTCTGCCAGGCCTTCATACTCTCCGGCTCTAATCTGTGGGACAGCTCTTCTGTAGTCACTCTTTGCAGCAAACCCATACAAATAAACTTTAAAAATGGATAAAAAGACTTGTTAGGACATTTTCATTGGTGATGGAACCGTAATTCTTACCAGAACTGTGAACTGTAGTAGGTCTCTTAACTAAGAGTAATTTAAGCCACTCCTACTCATAGCCCTAATTGCTGTCACTATCTGGGTACTTCATGGTTTACTAAAAGGGGCTAAGTCACTGTTAGAGTAAGGGAGAGGACATTGCCATGCTCTCCCCATTTTTCAGCATTGTGAATTTGATTGATACTCAACCTTTTGTATTTATGGACAAACTTTTAAAGTACAAGATGTAGCCCACTTGCTATGGAGGTATCAACACGGGAAGTATACATAAGTTGTACCGTAAATCCTCGAATTAGCCCCTTGGGGGCTTATTCATTTTTAATATTTTTGGATGGGGGCCTATTCGAGGGGGGGGGGCGTATAAAATTACTGTAGACATTAAGAAGACATTATTAAAAGACCTCGTTTATTTTATTAGGAATTTCTTTATGAGCATTTAATTAATTCTTACCAAAAATATGAATTTGTTGTGGTAATTCAATAAAACGCCATAGGCAACATCAGATGGCAAAAATCATCAAATGGTGGCAAAAATCATCAAATGGAGGGGTCAATTCGAGAATTTACAGTAGCAGTGGGGGCTCATTCGAGGCTTATGGGGACTTATTGACAATTTGTAGTTCTAGGGTGGGGGCTTATTAGAGGCGGGGGGCTTTTTTGAGGGGGGGGGCAATTCGAGGATTTACAGTATTTGTCAATGTTTTGTATGGATTCAGCTATTCTCTGCATTTGGTTGTTGGTGTGACAACTGATAAAGAACCAATTGAAAAGCCCAAAAGGTGGAATTAGTTGCATTTCTATAAAAACACAACCAAAAAATTCTTATCACTTTCAAAATCACCACAGCAGGAAAAATATACAAATCTTTGAATTGTCAATAGAGCACCAATTAGGAAGAATTTTCTAGATGCTCCCTCTAGGTATTCATTTGAGTGACTTGCAAAGCAAATGATGAAAAGTTTGGCATGGTCATCAAATGGAATATCTTTAGGCTTTTATTTGATCCTGGGACATTTATTGACACTAATGATCTGGGTCTTTGAATCAAATAATTATTAAACATCAATTATCAAATAATTAGTAACAACTAAATATACTCACCAGGTATTCCCAACTCTTCGGAAGCTCGTTTGCCAAACATGTTTGCACACTCTATACAGTCATCCATGGTTGCATTGGCAACAGGAATAAAAGGACACACATCTAGCGCTCCTAGCCTTGGATGCTCACCTGAAACAGGCAAAAACAGGCATAAGGCTTAGTAAACACCATATGATAAGAGCTAATGAACTACAGAGCTGAAAAATCCATTAAAGTACTTATGAACTGAGTTTTGCTCTCCTTAAATTTGGTCTACCTCTCAAGAGTAACCAAAATGTTTTTCCTCTTCATTCTTAAGATATCAATCAACAAAGCCTGCAAAAAGCTATGACTTGTGAGGTCATGCCATGCCATTAACACCAAAACAAACTGTAAATGAAATTTGCATTTTATTAGCTTTTGCATGGTTGAAAAGCCTAGTTGCTATGCCTTTTACAATCACCTGCTATTCCCATCACCTTTTGGTGTCATGTCTTACACATAAAAACAACATAAGATAGACGCCCCTCTACTGAAAAAATGGGTAGTACTAAAATGGTTTCCATGAAAATCATGTTCTACAACAGGCCTTGCCTGGAAGGAGCATGAGTGCCTAAAAGGCACCTTAAAACAACCATGGAGAGCAATTTAATGAACACATGAAAATGAAAAATGATATATTGCCACAAAGAAAAAATATTGTTTTGAAATGATGATGACCATCCTCTAAAATGACAGGAATCTTATGATTTATTAGATATGTACAAGAGTTTATCTTTAATATATTGATAAAATCTCAATTTTATATCCGGTTACTTTTAAGGCCATGTCTACAAGAATACATTTCAAAGTGAAAAGATTTTTTTCCATACATCAAAAATACTTATGTTTTAAAACAACTTGAAAGTTAAATCATTTGAAAATGCAATGATGTTTGAAAATACATCAATTCTGTTTGGATGCAAAACATTTGATACATTTTCATAAGAAGAAAAAACATAACTTTGAAAACATATATGTGTAGATATTGCTTGAGATCAATTCATATGATACTGAATACAAATAAATACCAAAGAATATCATACCCAAGGGTGTTGTGCTATGGGGGCTTGGTCTCCTTTATCAGTGCCAAAAAGGAGCCTGTTTCTACTTTTTATAATTTTTGCAACACTTGCACTGCTTCCAAAGATGCTCTGTAGGCATATTCTAGAGGCCTGAAATAGAGCACCTTCATTTTCCTTAGAACAAAGCCTGCCATAACTTTGAGAGAGCAGTCTTTTATCTCCAACTAATGCAACCTTAGAAATTCAATATCTTGATGAGAAAAGCAGTGTGCCAGTAAGAATAGGTTTGTTGTTCTTTCATTAAAGGGAATAATAGAAAATAAAAAGTTTCACTATGTAATCACTTTTAGCAATTAAGGATAAGTAAATGGTATTTTAAAATAATTATTAAGGTATGGAGGTCAAAATAATATTTTAGACATCCAGAAATGCATAGTCAATAATAAATATATTTTTTGACAAAAGTTGCACAGTTAGGTCCTAATAGCCCTGCTGCTAATTTATACCAATTGAAGTAGCAGATAATGTTAAACAAGATGAACACATACCTTGGTGTCTTCGCATGTCTATCAGTCCAGCAGCTGCCTTTGCTCCATTTATGGCACCAGTTACAACTGCTTCAGGAGGCCCAACAAATGTATAAACAGTTCTGTTTGTAGATGTACCAGGGTCAACATCCAAAAGAGAGCAACCTGTTGAGAGTCACTTAACATACAAATGTTTCATAAATTATACTGACCACCGAGGATAACAGGCAGGCCAGATCAATTTTACTGTCTAGTTTTTGAAGAATAGTTTTTAAGCTTACCTGGTTTGTAGCACCCTGCACTACAGAGCAATCAAATACTGTCATCCATCAATGACAATGCAATTATGTTTTCCACAGAGATAATCAAACAGCTGCAATTTGTTAGAAGGTAAAATTCCTCAGTTCACAGATCTGATTAGAAATGGTTGTTGATACCAAGTTGACCTGACATAACTGTAAAAGCTGTTGCATTTTTTACATAGAATTTTCATCTCCTTTAGTTCTCAGGAGGTTTGTCATTTTTCAGGATGGGGAAGCCTGAGGTACTTCATCAAGACTGAGATGCAGGCTAGGTGCGCAATCTTTAAATTAAAGGAGCAATTATTGGCATACTAACATTAGAAATACCACCATTCAACCATCATCAGCATATTTACACTCAAGACCTAGAGTTTAAATTTTACTGTGCCTCACCAAGTTAACACAGATGATAGTGTGCACACCTCATAAAGCATTTGTGCAGCAAACTGTCAAACTGGTAGGCAAGGTTGATGCAAGTGGCCCTTAACTGGAAGCCTTCTAACTGAACTGTTTAAGAACATTTTGTAAAAACTGTTTCACAGAATTTATATGAAATTCCATATGTTAATAAATCACATTACAAAAGGTTATAGATGAATAGTGCTGCTGGGACAGTTTTATCATGTACTGCAATTTCAGTTTCCAAAACACAACAGAAAATACACATGGTAAATCTAAGAAAATTTTAAAAGGGTACATCTATATTTATTGGTTTTGTGGTTATTGTGAAAAACGGAATATATCGTAGAAAGCCATTCTGCAGAGTATGGCGGTTTTTGATAAGATCTCACATGCCCAGTCATTTCTTATTTCTAGCACGTTTACTATACATGCAAACCTCTTTTTATCATTCAAATAGCCTGCAAAATGAAGGCTTTTATAATAGAGCTTAGTAAATTCGGTGTGCAATTTCACATTTTGATGTGCAGCACTAAACTAACTTCATGCGGGCATCTGCCATATTCTGAATGCTCGGTAGAAAGCTTGAAACTTCATACAAATTTTTGACTTCATACTTAAAGTGCTATTTCACAAAATTTGTAAAACTTTAAATAGGGGACAGCTAGCGTTGTTGTGACCTAAACAAAGAAACTTCACAGACGCCTCTAGGCAGCACACCATCAAATCCAGAGAGAAAAGGAAACGACTTTTTTCAAAGAAATCATTGCATAAGAACTTAAAATTTCATTTCGAATGTCTCATAGTCTTGACTCGTTCAATCTTGTTAAAGAAAACTGAGCTTGCAGAGCTATCTACGTGTAGAAGTGAACCTATGCAAAATTGGCCTAGACAGGGTTATACGTGGCAAATGAATTTCCGGGGTACATACCATCTGTCGCTTGAATTGCGTGCGATATTGCATCGATGACAGCCTGATCTATACCTTCAGAGAAATTTGGTACACATTCTATTATTTTTGCCATTTTCTAACCTATTTTCCTGAACAACTGTTAATGTATCATTCATGCACAAACACCGGATCACCTTTGTCCCAAGCTAAGTCACAGCCTCGTTCCGGCGCTTAGACACACCTCCGAAAAACCCAAATAAAATGGATCGGTGTGGTAGTGCCAAAAAGATTTTTTGCCATCATTCACAGGACCCACTAATTTCATGATTTCCCCAGCATGAAAACTCTCAACTTTAACATTAGGAGGAAACAGGTATGAACATAAAGACTCTCAAAGAAACAACGACAGCTAAAAATTGCTTCATTTAGCAAAAGGTCAGGCAACAGTAAAACTCGATTGAATTCAAATTTATCTGAAAAATATGAATTCCACGAGAGAAGAAACAAGGCAACATACATCTAATAATTTCACTGATTCTAATTCAAATTTATAAAAAATCATTGAAAATTTCATCAAATTCAACTTGCTTATAAAAAGTCAACCACAAAGTATACAACCGTATTGCCTATTAAGAGAAAATTCTTTAAAATAAAAAATAATCAACGAACGATAAGCAAAATATTCATATTCTTTTAACTGCATTACATACAGGACATAAAATATTATCATAATGCGTCCTCTAAAGAACTGGAAATGTATAACAGTATAGTTGGCAGAAATTCAAAAACTATTTAAAATGACTGTGGCTAAGTATCCCTTGGTAGAGCGGACTGGCATCTAAAGCCCTGTTCACACGATACCGGATTCATTTCGTATCGAATTCACTGACTCAATCCGATATTTTGCCATAAGAAAATTCTTTGGCAAACAAAAAGCTTTTATTATCAAGACAGGAACCTTAAGCTGCTAAGATTAAGGCCAATTTCAGTTATATGTAAATATCTCTCTTTGATAACACACAATTATTCTACTAGAGCAGGACTGTAGAAGAGGGGGCTCAGGGGGGATCAGCCCCCTTTACTTTTTGCAGGGGGGCTGCACCCCCTCCTCTTTTTTCTGGGCAATTCTCAAATATCGTAGCTAATTTTTGCCATGATCAAATCTTTGATTGAAATTAAACTACTTTTTGACATTTGCATTCATGTGTGACCTCAATAGTCCTCTTGATAACTGAAAACTCAATAAATGCTGGCAAAATTTTACTACTTTAAATTTTTTATTTTTAAGTTTTCTACTCCAGTTACAGGCAGACATTGGAAGATGATTTGACCCTAGAAAATATGGAAAGGTAAAGAAATTGATATTGAGGAGCCATGCAAACAAAAACAACCCCAAGATGCTACAAACCTAAATGTCATCATTCCCAGCTGGTATTGTGACCTAAAACGCCAGTTTATTATTTTTTCTTCCTAATTTAGGAATAGAAAGTAAGTACGCTTGTTTGGTTTCCCCGTATCAACAGAACAGGGGGTAAGTCTGAGGACAGCACCTCCAACCAACTCATGTACATTAGTGACGTCACAATAGCCTTCTTAGGAATTGGCAGTGTCAGCACAATAAGTTTTGCGTCATGGGAGTGCTCCCTCACAAGTTCACCAAGACGGATCTGCCTAAGTGTTTTCTTGTCCAAAGCCTCCTCCACAAGGTGCTCACCATTTCTCAGTTTTTTGAAGGCGTCGATGCTCTCGTCCTTTGGAGGCTTGTTAATCCCCCTGAATTCCACTACACTTGAGAAATCAATACGAAACTTCTTGAGAAGATTTGCCATTCGAATTTGGTTTGCTTTTATTTTCTTGTCAGAGGCAGGGGTGAAAATTCGCAGCTTACAACCTCGCCATTGAGTTGTTAGCGACAATAGATGAGGCACTAGGATAGTGAGTCCCCCGTCATCGTATAGCCACCAAACATCGATCGTCCCCTTGTTTTTCTTATTAAAAGCAATTACGATTTCAGGGTTTCCATTCACATTTCTGGCTTCTACAGTATCACCTGTGTTTGAAGAAGATTGGTCATTCTTCGGTTCCCTGGGGATCTGTGATTCGTCCCAGTCCTCTGTGTACCAGTCGGGCTCTTGGTTCAGGAAGAACTGTTCATCTTCATCGTCTGTTTCTTCGGTTATGTCGAATCCATCTTGCATACGAAGAATGGCAATACCATAATGCAAATCGAAAGCTGTGTGCAACAGATTAAAGTACTCTTCAACTTTCGACTGTGTACAAGCCTGCCATTTTGTCATGTAACCAAGCAATAGGGTATTAGGTCTAAGGCGGCCTAGCCCAACGGACTGCATAAGAGATGCTGCTCCATCATATAATGTTCTGCCTGAAAGAAAAAATATTAAGTTGTTGGTAAGATGGAATGAAAAACGCCGTAATTGTTGAGGAAAGACAGACAAGTGAACGTCTTCTGCCAAATGAGCTATCGATGCCTTTGATCACGAACAAACATGCTCTTTCACTATATGAAGGGCGTTCTTCTCAACAGTTGAAGGAAAATTACGCTAGGACCCCACTTTTTATCCGAACCAAAATTTCTCATTCCAAATTTCATTTGTCATTAGTAACAAGGACGAAAAAATATCACAAAATTCAACTGGAAATACTTTGTCACAAGGAAGGTTTGTTGATAATCAAAGCAATTAAAATTTAAGATTATGAATTATATAGAAACACGCCTTCTAGATACCGTGTCTAGTTTTGAAAATAGATTAAGTTTTCAAAATCAACATTTTTTTTAAAAATTGTCTTTTTTACTCCAAAAATATTGCCATGAAGCTGTATCGCATTAGTAAACGAGTTATTTCAATCTTGCTGTTTTTCTCCAACGTTTGGTAATTTTTTTTAAAAAGCCAGGTGTAACTAAAAACTGTACCATTAAATTGAGACCACTTTGTCGTACCATAAATGAGGACAAAGTGAGCATTTTAGTGGAGGATAAACTTACTTTGGATCATTTGATAGAAAGCTTTGATTTTGTGCTTCCTCAGCCATTCTGCTTCGTCGTTGGTTCTCAGAGAAATTCCATCCGAAACGTTCACATCACCGCAAACCATCAGTCCAAAACTCTTCGTTATGTGCGAAGCAAAGTGCACAAGGTTTGGTCGGGAAGACGGCGACCCACATAAAACAAGACATTGAACACGAAAGTTTTTGACATGATCGCCAACCTGTTCCAGGCGCCTTGTGAATCGAAGAGCTTTGAGGTATGTGTGGGCATGACCAGAAGAACCCCAGTTTATCTAAAAGTACCACAGACCATGATTAGTACTAGACAAAAATATCATAAAGGGCATCAGACAGTGGAATATGCAAGAGAGTTGTGAGGGATGCAGAATTCCAAGTTATAAAAACTTGGACCTCGATTATTATTGCCAATGAAAACATTTCGATCATGAGCACATTTTGCGTAATAAATTTTTTAAAAAGCACTTCTTGTCCTTTTTCATCAACTATTTTTCAATAGCATTGTTCACCGCATAGCTTGCGACAAACAAATGGTTTAGAGAAAACCATCGATTAACTTCTTCCACCATAGATAGGAAGAAATATTCAACAATAGGCAATATTTGCGAATTAAGTTTCTTACAAGGCACAAATTGCCGAGAAAATCTCGTATAACTCCGACACAGGTTGGAAAGTGGGGGCGGGGAGGGGGCAAGGGAAAATTTTGCACCCACAACAAAAGATTTTGGAAAATGCTCTATTGCTTTGTAAAAAAGTGGGGGCCATGACCCCTCGGTGCCCCTTCGTTGGAGGTGCTGCTCAGGGGCGTCGCCACTGGGGGGTTGTCACACCCCCCCAATAGTATCTCAATAGGAAATTTCAGGTAAAATCCGCTCGGTGGAAGAAACGCTTTAGGTATTTCAGAGACCTTCCTGTCATAAAATCAATAAAGGATCGAGCAATCTTAGGTAAAATTGTGCCTTGTGTCCATTTCTCCTAAAGTTTCTCAGTAGAAGCGTCAACTGCAATTCACTATGAGCTCCAGACTTTTCTTAACATTCAAAAGGCATGCTAAGATGGAGAAAGGGATCTAAATTTAGAAGTAACTGACAACCTGGTATTTTTCAAGACCACGTCGAAATTGTTGTTTTTATCTGCTGTAAAAATGTTTTGCAAAAAGACAATAATTTTCAATAGGATTAGGAGGATTGCTTTAGTGAAATCTGCTTAAAAGAGTGCATTTTCCAGGGAACTAGAAGCATCACAATTCGAAAATTTCCTGCCCTTTCGGCGGCAACCATGGTAGTAACTCAGGTAGTAACTATATCCTTTGCCCGTCCTGATAAAGAGATTTGACAAGACTATTAGGAAAGTCGGTTATTATCATACAGAGTTAGATTGACAAAATGTATTGCAGAGGTTTGTGACAGCAGCTAAAAAGTTTCAGGCAATAATTTTTTAATCAGGTCAATTTGTAGTCCACACCACCCACCCCCACCCCCTCCACCCCCAACGAGGCTTGCCTCGCGACGGCCCTGCCTGCAATATGAGGCAAATCGAATTTTTTCTGTCGGCAATTTGATACATCCAGCGTCGGCAGTTACGGAGAATATAAACGTCGGCACCTTGAAGGTTTGTCTCTAGCGCCACCCCTGCTCGAACCCAAGGTACTTCCCAACAATAAAGTTCCGTTAGACAGTTTTTGTTACAGATAAATAATACCTTTGTATAATAAGAAAAAACGATGATCAGAATCTTGTTGACCCCTGCAGATGAGCAAATGTCTGCGGGTCTATTTCTTTTGAAGTTTTTATCAAGTAAACACAGTCATTATGAGGAAACATTGATAAAGAAACCTCAAAAAGATCTTAAAAGCAAGAAAGAAGTTATTGTTAGAGCTCGAAGATGTTTCGTAGATTGTCTCTGACGAGACGTAGTGGCACCAAGAGGAAGTTGGAAATCCATTACGAAAATTAAAAAAACAGCTACAGCAGTCCTTACGAAACTACCTTGAATCTTAAGATGACAAAATTGAATGCCATTTCATAAACAGAATATAAAAATCGTCTTTTGAGTTTGGTTGTCTTTTACATGCCCCACGCCACCGGGGGAGGGGGGTGATGGTGCGGGGTGGCCACGGCCCCACTTTTTTGCGAAGAAAGTAGTTATAAAGCTGCAATAAAAGGGGAAAGAAACCTTGGCCCCCTACTTTTGCTAGCCTTGGCTCTCACTTTCAAATTCGTGGCGTGGGCCCTGTTTTAGAACTATTGTTATCTGTTTATTGATCGAAATTCTCAGCGTTTGTTTGAAGGCAATCAGTAGATAAGAGTTGCACTAGCCACCAGTCAATCAATAACTAACCAATCAATGAGCATGTTACACTTACGCGCTTGCTGATTGGCTAATATTACTTAGCTGATGGCTTAAGCCACTTAGGTGTCTGTCGATTGCCTTTAACTGTTAACGCAGATTTTAAATCGAGACAAACGGAAGTTTAACTGGAAACAGAAACATAGTTTTTTATGTATCCTTTTAATTTTCTGTGCTTAAAATTTCCAGTGCAGCACCTGGGGATGCTGGCAGGTCCGCCCATCGGAATGATGCCATTTGAACTTTTGCTTGGTGCCCCTGCGTGGCATCGGAGAATATGTACTTAACATCTTTCTTGGTTTTTAGATCGTCTTGAGGTTTCGCAGTCAACCATTTCGTTTAATGGGTATCTTTAGCATGATCATTTGATAAAAAACGTCAAAGAAATAGTAAAGCAGACATTTGCCCATCTGCAGGGGTTAATTAGATTTTGTTAATTATTATGTCTTGTTGTGCAAAGCTTTTCAAGTCATGTGGATCCGTAACCACAAGGTCTAAAAGAACCTTGTTATGTAATTTCAAAGTATGTGAAGTGGGGATGATGTAATGAAGCTACAGAAACTATGGGCTATTTGCTTGATCATAGTTGTGCTTTGGTTTTGAAGAAAGTGTTAATTGACAATAGTTGGTATTTTAACTGTAAAATTGAATTTTTATAAAAAAAGTCTGTCAAAACTTGTGTTTACTAAGTGTTTTGCCCGCGCAGTGACCATGGCAACAAAGCATTTAAAGATGAATGATAAAGTGCAGACACTGCTTAAATGGACTTACATCTGGTCGTCTGTAATCTACGAACTTATATAATCCAGCAACAGCAACAACTGTGATTAAGGCTGCCCACCAGTTCATGAAGAACATGATGCCGATGCAAAGCAGAAAACCAACAAGTGCCGCCCATTTGTTGTAATATCGAAATGCTGGTCTCCATCCAGGAGTCTTTGCCAATGAAACATTGAAAACAGCATAGTTGATTAAAGCATAGGCCATCAGGAAAAAGTTTGATATGATCGGGGCGATGACATTTAGGTCTCCGATTGCAATGAACGCTGCGCCAATAAAAAAAGCCAGGATATAGCCTCTGCGGGGTTCATTCTTCTCGTTCCCTTTGCCGAAGAATTCAATTCCAGGAAATATATTGTCCTTGCATACTGCCTGGAAGACTTTGGGGGCGCTAACGAGACTGGCCAATGCAGATGAAAGAGTGGCAGCAAATATTCCTGTTGTAACAACTGGACCCCAAATGGAGAGTTTCTCAAGTAGCTGCAAAAAGGAAGATCAACACTTTGTAGCAACAGTAATTTTGATGAACATGTCACGCCTTTTCAAGAGGTTATGTCTGGTGTACCCCAAGGCTCTGTGTTAGGACCAGTCCTGTTCAATTTTTACATAAATGACTTATTTCTATTCATAAAACTTCAGCAACGCTCTATAATTATGCAGACGACAATACACTTTCTTATTTTTCTAGAAACATGCGTGATCTTGTAAATACCTTGCAAAAAGAAACGGGAATCGCCTTATCATGGTTAAAACAAAATGAAATGATTGCAAACCCTGAAAAATTTCATGCTATAATTCTTAGGAAAAACTAGAGAAATAATAGTGGAGAACACATGATCATTAATGGTAAAAAAATTCAATCTGAGGAGAAAGTGGAGCTTTTAGGAGTAGCGTTGGATTACAAACTTGATTTCGACCCACATATTGCGAATCTTTGCAAAAAAGCTGCAACACAATTGAATGTTCTTAAAAGATCAAATATATTTATTGGTTTCCAGGAGAAAAAGTTCTTCGTATATTCCAATTTCAGTTATTGTCCCTTGGTCTGGTATTTTTCATCGTCTAAATCATTAAAGAAAATTGAACAGATACAAGAACGTGCCCTAAGACTTCTCTATAATATCATACAAGTTCGTATAACGATCTGCTTGTGAAGGCAGACAAATGCACAATGCTCGTTGCTCGTCAAAGAATTCTGTGCATTGAAATATTTAAAAAAGCAAACAGTTAAACCCACCTTTTATGCAGAGTATTTTTAAATTACGTTTGTCAAATTATTCATTAAGAAATCCGAATAACTTAGCCCATGTTAGACCTAATCAAACAACATTTGGATCCAAAAGTCTTATGTCAATCGGGCCACAGATTTGGAATGACCTACCCAACGAGTTGAAATCCGCAGAAAATTTGAAGAGTTTTAAGAATCTAATAAAACAATGGGGCGGACCGAATTGCAAATGCAATGTCTGTCAGTTTCTGCCTGAAAATGAAATGTAATCTTTAATTTTGTATCGATAATTCCTTTTTATGTACTAACTGGTAGCTATATTCGATTTTGATTAGTCAACATCATATATTTATGTTTATATTGTTAGCTATTGTTTCTAATATCGAATTAAGATAAATTTACAACAACGACAACGCCTGAATACAAATTTGTTCATTTAACACGTTCCAGAAAAGAATTACATAAACTCTTCCTATAAAAACTAAAAGATTTTAGAATTTTTCATCAAAATCAACTCAAAGAAAATAGGAGTGTTGCTGCATCACGTTCTGTTCACGCAGACCGTTGGTCTTGTAATACATCTACTAGGAGCCTGCAGGGGGTTCTTAATCCCAAACCCTAGCCATCTTTTAGACAAAGTGCCATTCCAAGAGGGCGTTTCTTAAACCTCCTTCGTAGATGTCGTCACAAAAGTTCGACAACTCAATAAAATGGTCACGCCAGTCCTGGAATGACCTTTCGAATCCCAATTGGCCAATCTCGATTCCTCGTTCACCCCTTCAGGAGCTTTCTACGCAAGGATTAATTTTAAAAGCTAACATTAGGCAAATAAAAGAAAAAATGAAACCTCGTTTATTACCTGGAAGTCGTTCATTAATCCGAAATTGCAACTTCCAACGGCACAACTGCCATTCGTCATATTCAATAATGAGCTGGCAATGACTCCAGATGCATCACGCGCTGCTGCACTGCCGATTATCCAACACATTAAAAGGTACGACACAGAGGTAATGCCAATCGCAATCAAAGTTCCTTTAGGGACAGCTGAGGAGGCGTCCTTAAGGTCACCGGATAAGTTGGCACCAGCAAGGATCCCTGTTGCAGCTGGGAAGAAAATTGCGAAGACGGAGAAGAAATTATTTCCATCCCGGTATTGCGGTACGAAATTTTCTTTGAAAAGGGTAGCATTGTACCCAAAGATCCCCCAGGCTTCGACTTGTTCTCGGCTGTTGACAGGGTTAGGGTAAAAGGACCCTGCAATAATGCTGATAATCGCAGCAACAAGTATAAACAATAGAAACACTTGGGTGTACATAACCCATTCTAGGCCAATCAACGTGACAATAAACAGCAAAACCAAAGCGCCAATACCAACGATTCTTATGTCGTTTTGGGGATCGACAATTTTTGTGCCGTAGCGTAGCATCAGATCTCTGACTGTCTCTGCGAAGCCGACAATGTAAAGTGCAACAGCAACAGCATTTGCTATCGAGAAGATGATGCCAATGGAACCGCCAAATTCAGGCCCGAGGCTACGTGAAATGAAGTAGTATGCACCTCCTGTAACGCAATTAATTTACGTTAGATTCAGGTACTGCGAATAGTCAGCAAAAAGATCAGTGTACAAGGTTCATATTCCGGTGTCAGCATATCAAATGATTCTAAATAAATATCGAAAAAGCTATTGCCATATATCGCTACTTAGAAAAAGCTATGATAACCAATAAATAAATTAGAAGCAAAAAATATCAATAGAAACAGAAAAAAATAGATGACAAATAAATAAAAGAAAGAATAACAAACCTCCTTTAACTTCTCCGTTTGTGCAAATGGCAGACATAGATAAAGCTGACACCATAGTGACAACACTAGCCAAAGTGACGATTATGGATGAGAACCCAATGCCAGCTTGCCCAACGATCCAAGAAAGCCTGAGAAACATAATAACGCCCCATATATTAAGAAGGCAAGGAACCAGTACACCCTTAATCCAGCCAATCTTTGTTCCACCCCTCTGGCCACCGTTTCCTCTTTCGATAACTCCGGTGTCTCCATCATGGCCTTTTAATTTATCCTGAAAATAAAAAACACTCTGAATAAAACTTGCCGAGAGCCCTACTTCAAGCTTTCTTGCTCCACATTTCTATTACACGATCATTTTATGCCGACCTCTACCTTTCTGCACACGTCACTAGAAAACTATTCCATACTTTATCAAACGAAAAGTCCTTCCGCACACGCGAAATTTATTAAACATTATAAAATCTTCAGAGTCACAACTGCTACATTTTGCACCTAAAAGGAAGATATTTCTGGGTTTGCTTTCTCTATTCATTGGGGACACTTGGTTTGACAGTGTTTCGAAAAGATATTTGTAGGAGCACTGGCGTCCCTTGACCTTCCAGACTAGGGGAGTGGAGGGTCATCAATAGAAAAATTTATCCACGAAGAAATAGATCGAGAAGATTTTAAGTGCTTTTTCACTGATAGATGATTTTACCGACAAACTAAGAATTTTGTAGACAAACTGAAGATTTACCGGACGAATTCTTGGAGTATTGGGGGCTGTCACACCCCCTATATCCCTGCTAGCAACGCCCCTGTGGAGGATATTACGTATTTAAAAGGGGATCCCATCGGGACACTTTCTTTTCCTGCAAAATGTGACTGACCGTCACAGTTAGCAGAATGGCCTTGGCTTGGGGACCAATCGCTTTGCCCAAGTATTGGTGAATCCTTTTCAATTCTTGACAAAATAATAAAAAAATAAGTCAACTTGTGAAAGATACTTTTTGATTCAACTTAGCAATTTTTTCCACACTTTTATAGCTGGTGAAGATAATCTGTTTGTGTTTTACTTTTCTCGTTGCTTTAGTCCGGGATTTGATTGCCTTTCTTGGTATCTTAAAGGTTTGAACCCTGCTTCTAATTTCGTTATGCAATTTGCCCTCTTTGGAAATTGCAAAATCGTTTACAATCAGTTGTTAGACTCAAATAAACCTCAATTCAGATCAAGGATTTTGCAAGTCGCAGTTATTCAATAAACAAAGCCCCTTGCTTCAGTTTTGTTGAGGGCTCAAGATATCATTTTAAAGGATTATTTTGTCCTTTCAAATCTCTTTTAACAGGAATATCCTGAAGCTGAACATAGGCTAAGAAGGATAATTCAGACATTCTTTTGTGTCAGTTGTGACAAGTTGGCAGCTTGAACAAAAAACTAATTATTGCAGCCGAAAGAGCTGCTAATCAATTTTATGAAAAAGGAATAATAGCAAAATTGTACATTCTGCAATAATTTTTAAAAGTTCGTTTAACGATCTTTGATCAACACAATTCAACCATTTATGATTCAATTAACTAAAGAAAATGAATTTCTGACTGAAAGCCAACAGTTTCTTTGGGAGTTCCTGTCTATAACTGATAAACAGGAGACATTTGTACCTACGACAGTTCCAATTAACAACATAAAGCCATTTTAAAATCTCGGGGAACATTTATAAGATCTCCAGAAGAGACATCTATGATTGAAATTCTCCAAAAAAGACATCTACGTTGGGTGGATTCTGAGACTGTCTTAACATCATAATGCATCGATCGCTTTGTTCTTTGTCAATATCCTGTTTAGTACAAAGAGGAAAAGCGTGCTATCTCACCTAAGACTTGAAGTAAATGGCTAACTATTTCGTTGGGGTCTATGTCTGGTATTTGTCACCGTTGTCTTATTGGCGCTTTTGCAACGGACATCTTGATTTGTAATATCAAGATGAAAGAAGGTCAGGTGAACCACAACCTAGCACAGGGGACCATAAAAATAAAGTCTTCATTTCTTTCTTTTTGCTAAGTAAGAAATAACACTAGTTCTATTGTCTCGTGCAAGTGTCTCGAGCTAGAATCGCTAGCATTGTTTTGTATATTCCTTACTGAGGTTTGATCCAATGAATTCTCAATGGTGAATATCGCCTTCTTGCCACCAACTCACGGCTCGCCTCGTTCTTAATCTTTGTCTGAGGCCTTATATCTCAATGGGCCAATTTATAACGGTTTAGCGTAGCTCTATGGGCAAGCAGCAATTAAACTCTTTTTTTTATAAGAACAATTTTATAAGAACACGTGCTTCAAAATTGGTCAAAAGTTAAGAACAAATAAAGATCAAGCTGATGCTGAGCTTCTGCAAAATGCAATTTTGAACAACGTTTTTTCTCAAAATCTAGGATTTTTAGCGATGTGTGTGTGCTTTTTCGTCGAATATTCAAACTTTTCGGCAAATGAAGGTTGTCTCACTCACTTTTTTGGCAAATGAGGCGTGAACACCTCCCTAGGGCGAAAAAGCTAGCACTCGCACTGCTTACACCCTATTAGATTAAGAACGAATTAAGAACAATCCAGCCTCAGATTTTCGAAAAAATTTAGAACAGTCAGCCTGAACTTAAATTTACTGGTTCTTCTAAAGAAAAAAGAGTGTAATGACATTTTGCTGGACAAAATAACATCACTATCTTGCAACTGGACAAAAAGCTTATTTTTAAAGTCTATTCTCCATTTCCATTGATAAACAAGGCATATATTCTATTAAGACCCCGTTTACACATCAAAATTAGTTCAGATAGGGCTCCCGTTTACACCAGACCCACGCTATCCGCACGAATTTGAGAGCGGCTATCCGAACAAAATTAGTTCACCTAGGAAAGTGGATTAAATTAGTTCGGATAGCTATGTAGAACAGTGTAAACGCTTTTACCCGGATAAATTTTATCCACATCGTATCTTGCTCGAAAGCGATTGGCTATTTCATTCAATTTAGTTTTCACTGTCTCCCAATCAAGACCGTTCGCTATCTTGGTTGCCTTGTTGTCAATAAATACTCGTGTTAAAAGTGCAGTATCTTGCCAGTCCACGTAAAATTGGCATCCTTGTCAGCTTTTTCTATTTTCGTTGCTAGTTCAGGGTCATTTTGTTTCAAAAACAAACTATTAAAACAAACTAGGCCTAATTTGTAGTGACAATATCTTTGGATTTAGTCTAAAAGAGAAGCAGTTGATTCTGAAAAGAGAATGAAATCTTTTTACGTAGGCGGGAATTTTGTTATTATTTTGTTGCCCAGAGAAGACTTCATTTTTGGCGTTCTGTGCATGATTTAAGTCATGTGACTGCAGTTATCCGGCACAATGTAAACGGGAGGGCAGCAAAGTGGACAAAATTTGTGCGGCACAGTGTAAACGCAAATCAATCCGAACAAGTTCTATGCGAATAAATTATATCCGGTACAGTGTAAACGGGGTCTAAAAATAACACAGAAAAGGTGCTATATAGATTAAGTTGCGAAATTTGTTTTCCTTTTATTGTTCAAATTCAAAATAAATACAAAGCTTAATTGACCCTACTTTGGACAACCTGTGGCTAGATTGAAAAAAAGGTGTCAAAGTTTTCTGCTTGATTCAATGCCATGGGGAAACAATAGTGACCTGATTGCGGTATTGCAGTATAGTATCTAATCTGAACCTAATGTCACGCTATTAACAATTGAAAGTTCATTTAATCGTTTTGCTGTTTTTGATTATTTATTCTTCACAAAAGACGAGGGAAATATTATTATGACAATCGAATACATTTTGAATTGATGTTTTTCGTACTCGTATGGGTATCCCCAGGGTTCTGGAGATTTAAAATGGAGGGGCCCTAGATTAGAAAAGGGTTCGGCTACCATACAGAATGTCTTATCTTGGGCGCCCCTGGGGATGCTTCCAAAATACCAAAAAGAACATCACCCCTAAGCAACATCGTAAGACCGTACACCCTTTCAATATACACCCGATCAGACCCCACTAAAACCTGCTATCAATCAGAATGTTAGGATATTGGCAATTTTGTAACCTTGACGGCAGAAAGGTTTTTGCAGAGGATGAGAATTTTGATCTCCATGGCTAGAAATCAGATGCTAAGTTATTAAAATCCAACCAATATTTGACCGCTGTTTTTACCACCAAAGCAAGTTGGAAGATGAAATTCGAGATTTTGCCAACGATAGAACATGAATGATGAATCAGTAGTTCCGCCCTTAATTTGATAGAAGAACTCTGTGGATATATAGCTAGAGGGTTTTGTGGGCAGGGGGGTGTTGAAAAATATCTAAGGATGGCTAAGAGGATAGAATATCTAAGCAATCTATTGGCTGTTGTACGATGGTATCGATGGGCTGTCGTTGAAAAAGGTATGTTCTGTCATCATAAAAAGGTCTCTAAAATTCTGGACTCTAATGTTCTCCTCAAAACCCGACTGTCCAGTTTCTTCAAAGTGTTACAACAGCACCTGGGACTAATTTGACGTTATAAAAATTACATTCTACTTCTAGGAGATGATGGGGTGTCAAGGATCGCGGGACATTTTACGGATCGCGGGGGCTAATCATGCTAAAAACGAAGAACGTGTGCTTGAATAAATACATTTTGGAATTTATTAGAGGGTTAAGCTCCCTCAGCCCACCATCTCCCGCGGTCCAGTGTGGCGTACAGGATGAAATATCTAAGATTGTTTCTGCTATGATGCAGATGCCTGCAAAACTTTCTGGTGCACGTCGAATGGAACTTAAATAGCGTCTCTGGACTTATGTTTCACTGTCAATGGGGTCTTTTGTTTATTGTTATTTACCACAATCCCCCATCTTCAAAACCATAAGCATTTTCTGCAGTTCTATCATAATCTGTTTACACAGTATCGATAACTTTGCGACAACTCCGCCCAAAGGGAAGGTTCCGGTGTCAGGCTTTGTCCTTCTCAAATTTGATATTTTTGTGTGATTTGGAAAATAAAAGCAAAATAAAACCGAGCTCTTTTAATTGAAACGGAAGGAGTGTCATTAATTTCGCAATTATTCAAGGCTCAAAATTGGATACAACCTCTTCTTATGAGCGCATGACAGGGAAAAACCAGTATGAAAGCAAATTTCTTTAGGTCTGGCGGAATTTTAATTTCCTTGCAACAATGCTATTATTGAAGTCATAACTTTGGCTGGGTCTAATCGGGCAAATTAGGGTGAATTGCTTCATTGTCCCCAACAAAACATATCTTTGCTGAAAGCTTATGCTTAAGAACCAAGAGGAAAATAGTTAGCAAACACCGGAGTTTCTGATCAGCTGGTAAATCAGTAATGAGGAAGTGCCCCTGGGGATGTTTTGCTGAACAATAGCTTTTGGAGTGACTCTTCTTCTCTAAAATTTAAAAATAATAATACACTCAGGGAAGCCAAAATTAGTCCTCTGTTAATATGAATTTGAAAGTTAAAGCTAAAAACAAATGGCACAGACCTGCAGCCAAAGTTTCCTTGGGGGGAAGCCGGGGGACAGGCAAAAAGGAGCACTTGCAACTTTACCATTACTTAACGCACTTGAGCCCAAGAGGGCTTTTCACACCCAGTGCCCCCGAGCTCTAACAAAAGGTACGAGAAGTAAAATTATTTTGGTTCTCATACCTTGATCCGCTTGTTCTCTTTTCTCCCTTTGTGAAGTTCTTGCAAAGTAGGTCTCTTCTTTGCAATATTAGAAAGGGAATCTTCGTTTCTGTAAAAGACAGTCATTGGCACCGCTTCAGTTGAGGAGTAGCCAATGGTGGTAAAACCCTGGGTGGAGTGGTGTGTTCCATGATGCAGGCCATGGTAAGTGCCATGATGGTTCGAGTCACTTTCACTTCTCCGCTTCAAGTGACCAGAAAGGGGCACAGTCAGCGTTGTCTCTTTTGAATCTGTCGAGGAGTGGTTCTCCAGCTTCACGTTCTCTACATCAACGTCATCTTCATGTTTTAAATTCGGAGAAGACTGCGAGTGGTTGATGATCTTGAAACGGGCGTGTTTGGCTGGCTCTTCTTTAACTGTGCCATGAGGGACATCATTTGAAGCCATTAGGGACGACTTGCCATTTCCCATGGGTACTTCATCTGCCACTTCTAATGCTTTGTTATCAACTCCTGTTATGGAATCAGCTGTACCAGAATTCTCCATCTTTGTCAGTGACTTCTTGCCACAGAGGCCAGTAACAAGCTGAACGTTCGGTGTTTACAAGAGCGAGAGAAAATCAGTTCTGAAAATTACATTACCAGCGACGTCACAACAGCCAACGGGGCGGGCGTCTGTGTTACAGTAAGCTTCTGATGACAAGTCCTCTACAGCGCGTCACGACACAATGATCGAAACATCACAGGGCTTTCAAATTTAGAGTGCTTTCCTGCTATTGCACAAAAGCTTTCCCATCGAGGACGCATGAATAATCATGTGCTTGAATAAGGAAACCAGACAATCAATTTTGCCTACCTTACAATAGCGTATTCACTGTTTATAACAGCAAACCTTGCTCAAACGACTCCTTAATTGCTGCTCTTTGTAGCTGCGTGCAAAGTTTGAGCCCAAAACAGCGTTCCTCTGTCCGAGGCTGCGGTTTTTATAGAAAGATATCAGAAACCAGTTAAGCTTGGATTTTGTATCACACGTAATCGTCATTTTTTCTTCCTCAATTTCGTTTGTTCAGGTTCACCCCCGTTTTAAGCAGAATAGATTGGATCTTGTCTTAATTCGATGAGAAAATGTAGGGGGTTGGGTGATATTGTGGCGAAGTATTCTTTTTTGCGCTTGCGATGTTATATTCTATGGTTGTCAAATAACAAATTTAGTCAAGGGCATTCGCAAAGTTTGCTCTCCCAGTTGGAAAAACGGACGTTTTCATACAGTTAAAACGACGTGGTTAAATTCTTTATTGTCTCTCACACAGCCTAGTGGCTGTCACCGGCCCCGCGCCAAGGGGCTCGCAGGGTGAGTTAAATATTCGTTTGGGCAACGGATGGATTTTGAATAAAACGAAAATCTATTTCGACTCACTTGTTTCCATTCATTTTTTCCACAATCAAGTATTTGGCAAGAAAACGAGGTGTATTTCCAAAGAAATCTTTTGGGTATATGTAACACTCATAATAGTGAGATCACAAACCTTAGTACAGTCGACTCCGCTTATCTTCATTCGGGTTGAAGTCACACTGCCCGTTCAGTCACATAAAATTTAGACTCAAATATGCAAAAATATTCAATTTAGCTCCGCTGATAGTCACACTCCGTTTACAATAATAAGTTTTCAAGCAACACTTGGTGCTACTATAACCAGAGTCTCCTGTAACTTACACTTTGTTTCTTTATGAGAAACAAAGGTCGATGTTGAGTACTCCAGTTTCTTAGCGTTATGGAAATGTCAATATTCATTGTTTCTTAAGAGTTTCTTAATTATGATGTCATAAATGATGTTATGAAATGTTCGTGACCTTTTTTATCACGTCAAGAGATTCGCTGCCGTCCCGATGCTGTATTTGGATGCGGAAAGTATATCCCTTGTGTCTCATGTTCTCGGCCAACAGGGCAATCTTGTTCCTGGATTTTACAAAATTTCGTTGTTCTCAGTTTTATCACGATTTTCGCAATTAGTTTCTTAATTTTTTTGCTTCGAGTACTGAAGTTTCCTAATATTTGCTGGCTGTCCAGTACTCGTTTCTTCTAGCCATTTTCTTATAAAAAAATGAGTGTACACCAGCATAGTTCGAGGTACCGCTTCAACTGCTATTGATCAATCTCCAAACGATAAACTTTCAGAGACCCTCACGCCAGTATCACCTAATATTCAAATAATACACAGGTAAATATGTATTTCTCTTTTAGCGAAATCTCTTCCATAACTTTTCAATATAACCGTATTATAAAAAGTTACGTGTAAATTTGGTAAAAGGCGTAAGGCTCATGGAGTCCTTACGATCATTTTCTCTTCATTTTCCGTGCTTCAGGCACAAAATGATTCACTAACTTTTCTAGAACGTTAAGGATGCCAGACGAATGCAAGGGTGTACCGTTTGGAGGGTTTTGAAGCCGAAACCCCGTGATTACAACGAAAAGTGACCAATATCTATAATTCCTGCTACTTCTTGTTGCTACACTGACGCAATAGGCCCATTTTCATCGTACTCACTTCACTCCTTGCCAAATGGCACCCACAATGTAACGGCAATTTTAAATATCTTTTTTTCTTGCAATGTACCACTCCCCAATCCACCAGCCATTTTGCAACGAAGATTGATGGGATTGCAAATTTGTTTACCAGGAAATCTTGGACACGTGACTAGGACATGCAATGTCTAATCTGGCAAGCTGTGATCTAATGGTGTGAAGCATTCAGGTGTAATAGACTTGTTAACTTGATTAAGAGACAGCGAAAATTGATGAGCTTGTTCAATTCGATTGCCCATAGGTGATTCTGTCAACAGTCTGGCACGGCCCTGTGCAATATTCTAGCGTGGGAATTTTCCATTGTTAAGCAGGCCTTGTTTCCCGCAAGGGACTAGCAGCATTGGGGGTTTAAAGAGCCACTTTGAAAAGCGTGGCCCTTTTCAGAGGTATCAACAACTAGGGGCTCCGACATAAGTTTGAAAGTGGGAGCTAGGGCAAATATTAAGGGGCAATTGCAAAGTACAAATACAGACTTTCCATCATGTCGGGTGCAGGTACTATCCGAAATTTTTGGTAGGGGGCTGGCCCCCAATGGAGAAATTAATTATGCGACAATTTCATGCCGTACTGTACATTAGATGATATTCATAAATTTAGGAACACAAATGTACAACAGGAACGACTTGTTTCTTTGCAAACATTCAAATATAAACGAGAAGCTGATATATCAATCATTCTCTATTTTTTTTAAATCTCACGATTAATATTTCAACATGGAATCATTTACACTTCACATCTACATTAAGGAGACCGAACTTAAGAAGACTTTTTTCAATTCTTTCTCGATCAACTGCGTTCAAGTTTTTCGTCACAGAAATCTGGTTGCTACTTGCTTCTATAGGCGTATTAAAAGACATCCTAAAAAACTCGCTTAGTCAAGTAAGTGAATAAAAATACAATGACACAGTGACAATTCTCACGAAACAAATATGACTGATTTAATTAAAATATTGACGTTAATAGGTCACACATTACACACTTTTAGTTTATTTTAATCAAATTAAAAAAAGTAGTTTTTTTACTGAATCTGAAAACTATGAACGAAAACTAAAATAAATTGCATAAATTGAAACGCGAGTTGATCTGCGAAAACATCACGAATTTCTGCAAGCAAAAAATCTCATATTGACAGATGCAAGTATAATAAAGATCCTACTGCATTCTTGACCCAGCTGAGGTTTCACAAAACCCAGGGCACAGGACACAATCTCTATTCGGTGTCCAGGGTCTCAATTTACAGGATCTGGCTAGTAAATGGATTAATTGAAAAACCGGTATAAATCGGCCACAACTCCAGTTCCTACAAGAATACACATTATGGAGGATTTCAGCAGTTTCTAGATTTCTGTTCGGGCGACTCAAAACCTATTTCCATGAAACTACACAACTGGCAATGACGCATGTCTATGATGGCCAAATTTTGACGTCAAGTCTTGAAACAATCAACGGTCACGGGGTACATTTTCGCAAAAAAGAAACGAAAAAGACTAGGCCTTTAAATTTTTGATGGCAATTGTTTACCCTGAACAACAAGCTTTAATTCATCAGAATCCAATGTCTCATGCACGAGCAGTCCTTCTGCCAATCTTTTGTGCTCTGATGCGCGAGCTGTTAGGATGCTCCTTGCTCTCTCGTATGATTCCTAAGGGAAAGTCAAATGTTTACAACAAAGCAGACAAATAAAAACACAAATGTCAAGGGATGACTAAACAACTGAAAAAAGTTCCCTTGAGAAACTGGAAGAAAGGACAATTTTAGAACAGAATTCAATCGAAGAAATTTCCCTTCACAGGCGAAACGCAGGGTGCACGTACAAGATGGAATTTCAATTCAATGCATAATATCATGATAATCTAACGCTTAAAATGTAGCAATGAATGACAAATTATTTCAGCCACATGATATATGATGGAAATACGACTTTAATAACATAGTTTCACTTGTGAAACTTTATTAAATATCATTTGATAATGGGAGGCCTATCAGCTTTACCGAAGGTCAACCCTTTATGAACAAATTTAAAATGGCATAAAAATGAAATAATATGCCATCAAATGGAGGCTTATCAATTTAAGTATTCTTCTATTCTATTAATCTTTATTACAGCACTGGTTAGCTGAATCTTAATTTTGGTACTATGGAACATATTTTCAGAAAGGCCACTTTTATCTTGGCAGCTAATGCTACATCTTATGCGAGTGAAAACAGAATCTAGAGGAGTTGGATCCGGGATAGTAACGATGAAACTGGTGTTCCAATACAGGTTTTCTAGAACACGCACATTTGCGCACGGAAAAAACTTCTGTGGCTAACCATTCGACTGTTACCACGCAATGAGACTAGTGTCGTGACGTAAACGCAAAAACAATGACTAAAAGCGCAAAGCCCTTCTGCTGCTACTGAAGACTCATTATCTCAACACAATATTGTTTTCATTATAGTGCATCAATGTTTTGAAGATACGAAAGCGTAGGTGCAATGTAAATGTGGTGCAACGAAGGCACAAAGTATCAAACCAAAGGCTTAAACGATCACTCAGACTACGTAATCATCATTGACGTTTGCAAGGAACTAAAACTGTCTTCAGTTTCTACAGGAATTAATGCATTAATTCATTATGGGAACGTACTACGAGCAGGGCGCAGAGCAGAGCCCTGTGTACACTATCTCAAAATACAAATTTTCAATCTTCTACAGTAACGCTCTTTTTTTACAAAAAACCAATCTTGTCACTGCGAAATTTTCTGAACTCCAGGGCTGCCATTAATAGTACTTGCTATTAATTGACAAAGAGAAGTTTGATATTAAAATAAATTATTTAAGCAAACTTTCCATATAACTGTAAAAGGTTTTTTGTAAAGCATCAAATGATTAAATTGGATCTTCAAGGAACGCCTGTCATATAATCATGGTAAGACCTTGGTAAAGTTACAATTCATTCGCGAAAACCAATAGTGGAAATATAATCTCGTTATGTCAATACCCTACTCGAATGGCAGTATTTGGATGAGCTCAGCAGATTAATCAAAAGAAAAGCAATCTTCGCTATAGTATCCCCGAACCACACCGGAAATCTAACGGTCCTTCTTCTAGAAAACCCAGGGTTAATTCGTCACCTTGTGTGCAAACAAATGGGTTGTATTTCTCCACATAAACCAACATATTACAAATTTCAGGCATATCATTACTAGAGAATGACTAGCCAAAACGCGTTAAATGTTTGAAAATCCCTTATGAACTTCTGCAGACATAAATTAGTCTAGTTCAATCGATAATTATCAAAATTTTGATTATCGACCAAACACTAAATAGAGGTAGCTTTGTGGACTAAAATCTGCCACTTGGATACTGATTTGATCATTGAAGAACAATCCTCATATTCCTAAACTACACAAATGGAACTAACTGTGCTTAAGGGAATGCAGGCAACAGTAACATACAAATAAAAAATTTTCATTAGATTATTTAGGTCACAATATCTTTCTTTTAAATATAACCCACGATATGTCAAATGAACATGATGTAAGTGTATACTCACTGCAGTTTTTAAGTGCTAATTTTCAATTGCAATTGGTTATTTTTTCCAAGTATTTCAAAGCAAAGACCGAACCAAGACAGAAGAGGGTTTAACTTTTAAAAAAGAATTGATAGACACTGCAAACAGTGTTGGCATGAAACTTGGGAAGCAAGAAAAAAATAGACAAACAAACGGTAAATAGGACGACAAACATAATCTTGATCATTATGTTCCACGAGATAAACAAAGCTTTATGGCTCCAAAGCGAAGAACACCAAATTTAACACATTGGATAAACTTTGGCAGACTATAGTATCTAGATTATTGGTTCTTAAGTTCTGTAAAGCAGTACAGTAAAAATTGTGGAACAAAATCTATCACGTTTTGATAATCTAATAGACTCCCATCACTAACTTTTTTTGTCTTAATTCGGATGCACATCAAAATTTGGCACCCAAATTAAATTTCTGACTACAACAAACTACATGCTGTCAAATTCTATATCAGGGACAGACACTTGGTCAAATATTGGGGGGCAAGCCTATTGTTTTAATAAGATGACGTCACGTTTCCCATTGTTTTCGAACAAAAGACCATTGTCCTCTAAAGTATTGGAGGGGGGGCCGTCGCCCCCCCCCCCAAGTGTCCGCCACTGTTCTATATAGAACTGAAAGTCATGAAAATTACTTATTATGGGTCTATCATAAAACGGTCGATGCCGTTTAGGCAGGGCTGTACACTTCTTTGTAATCTTTGTAAAGAACAGGACCGTTCAAAGCTGCTACTCCGAGTTTCACCGTAGAACTGAAAGTAAAACATGAAAGGTAGATACTTATTTTGTGCTAATGAAACTTTTACCTTCAGGAGGGTATTGATTTCATTCTCGACCGTAGCTCGCAGTGATGGGCTTAGTTTATCAGTGTCACCAATATTCACAACACCAACCTGAGTGAGAAATAAAATCAATTAAAAACCTTGTATTGTAAAAGTTTTAAAAACAAGATCTCTATATTGTCCGTGGATGTAACTTTTGTTTGGGATTCACAAATATGTATGAAAGACTTATAAGCAACTTTCTAAGTTTATGGAGGTCATAAATTGTTAATGGCAGGGAAAAGCGGAGCTTCAGAAGACCGCCCAGGCTTACAAGTTGGTGTGCTTTAAGCTCGGGGTGTAAAAAGTTAGTGTGTTACAGTACAAAGCTTAAAGTAACCTAGCCCAAACAAGTTTGACTACATTAGAAGGCTTATCATAATCCATACAAAACAGGTTATGCAAGATTCAACTGGCATAGTCTTTATTACATCTCTGCAAATCCTGAGTCAAGGATTGGGGACTTAAACCGCGATTTAGAGTCAAAAGTTTCTATTCCTACCCTTCCAGCATATCAATTTACAAAAAAGTTCCTTGTTAAGTTGCAATCTTGCTATTGAATACAAGCATAACATCTCTCTGAGGTTGGGAATAGCGAATTTAATTAAATATGGAAATATTGATAGTAAAATAGGACCTGTTTAGGTCGCAGGTATTAAGTAAAAATATTAAGATAGCACAAGCTATGGAGCCTTAATAGGCGAATTTTTGCTAAACTTTCACATCGATCACTTCGAGATATAGAGGTGATACGGTGGTTTTCTCTCAAATAACAGAATAATCATTATAGCGCCTGTTTTTGAGTGTAATAAGTAAACTGATCGTTGCGAAACAGCCGCAAATCCTGATAAGGTCTTCCTGTGATCATATGAATCTCCTAACATCAATCATCGATCTTGTGGGCTAACCAAACTTTTTTGAAATAAATTACGTGAACTAGACATGGAGGAGGTAAAGGAATTTCATTAAGGAGTTTTTACTTCCATTACCTGTATGTAAACTTAAGGAAAAATAAGTGAGTTATCGTCGAAACAAACAACTTCATCTCATCTTTTAAAGAATTATTTTTGAGCAGTTTCTACAAGTTGAGGGAGATCAGTACTAGAATTTTCTCAATTTTTTCGGGGATCTTAGAGCTTGGTTTCTTATAGACAGATTTTTATAAAAGGTGCGTGTATTCCCGTAGATATAATATTTCTGATCAGATAAGCACTCTCGAAAGAGGACCTTAGATGAGGAAATAAAAGCTTTAGGGCAAAGAACCTTGCCCAGGAACATGCATTTAACCGAGTCCAGAAAAGTTGTTGACCTCCCTCCAGACAAAAACATCCCAGAAGGCAAACCTTCCTCACAAAACGATAGAAAGTGGGTGTGGCTTGGGTGTTTTATTGTTGCTTTTTCTGTTTTTCGTGGACCTTCCTCCGGTCAGTGACCGTGCCACCGTAATGTTTTCCTGACTCTGGCATTCAAACGAAAACAGGATTTAAACGGCCTTAGCTTGGGCAGGTGAGGCAAATTTCTATTCATTTTTAACATGTTCTGCTTCCCCAAGCCATGTTTTGTGGGTTCCATTAAAAAGCCATGGAAAGGGAAGCAAAGTATAAAATGTCACCCCGTAAATCAAAAACACTGACAGCCATTGATACTATCGTTGTCAATAACATAGTAAAAGCCACCAATTGATAGCAGCAATCACTAGCAACAGTTCACTAACTATGAACCAGAAGGAGATAATCATACCTTCTCACTCATTCCGTATTTAACAACCATGGCAGTTGCAATTTTCGTTGCTGTCTCCATGTCACTCGATGCACCTAAAACACACAAAAGAAACTTGAAACAATAAATTCTTGATTACATTAGCGGCGCCATTGTAATCTGTGTAAGGGGGAGAGAGTTGGGAGGACACGTTCCCCAGTTCTCAGCAGGATAAATGCAATGAAAAGAGCGCGGCTTAAAAATTCTTGTGTTTTCTTCCCCAAAGCCTGGAGCCTGGCGCCGCCATCGATTTCTTACAATATTTCACAGGGCCACTGACGAAGGGGGGCCGGGGGACCATTTTTACAATCATTTGCTATGGGTGTTAAATTTTCAAAGATACAACTTTAATATCAAAGATAAATCTTTTTAACAAAGATACAATTAAGTTCGATTATAACGTGGATATCAACAAAACTTCACATTACATTTTCTATTGCTTGGTATGGCAAGAAAGCGTAAAAAATCATTACGTTGGTGTAGTCATTTAAAATAAAATGAAGTTGTGGCTATTTAGAGGAGGGTACCAAAAGAAACTGCGAACGGAGGAGAGTAAAACAAAGAGAGGGATGCTTCGTTTTGATTGACAGAAAGGTAACAAAGCATTCTGTGGGTTTAGAACGAGAAGGTGCAGAATAGAGGGAAATGCTAGAAAAAAGAATTGCTACTTTGTTAAAAATTGGCGGTAGTTCCGTAGCGGTATCAAGAAAAGTGGATGGGGGGGGGGGAGGGGGTTAATTTACTCCATACACCCAAAAATGAAATTCCTGGGAAACAAGGTATGGGTCACTCGTTTGCATCGATAGTAAGAGTTCTGTTTATGCATCAAGGAACTTTTTAAAGAAAGAAGAAACGCATGAAGAAGAAAAAAGGAATACATAATTAAAAAGGTAAAGGGAGGAAGAAAGAGAAAATGGATTAATAGCAAAAGAATGGCAATGAGAAACATGCACGTGATAAAACATGCATTGTAAAGGGCATTAAAACCAGCAGAAGTAGACAGGAGAAGGAAGAAAGGGGGTAATAAATATACGAAGAAAGAGTCTACTAATCAGAAACATATGCAAAGATGGGTGAGAGGGAACAATGTGAAAAGATGAAGAGGTATAAAAAAGACGAAAAGGTAAGGGAGAGAAGGAAAAAGCAGATCAGTACTAGGCTGACGAAAAGGTAAAAAGAAAGCTCGATTGAAAACCGATAAAGAAGAAAATAATTGTATTGACTGCTAATCATAGCAAAAACTAAACTTTAGGCAGATGGTTTTCTTCAGGATCCCCAGGGTACTCATATATTTGCAAGATAGGGGGGGGGGGCTCAGGTTACTTTTTAGGGTGTAGAACCCGAGCAGAGGCTTTTTTGAGCCTGCCGTTGTACTATTACTTTTTTGGGATCATGAAATTCTGAATAATTTTCTGGGTCTTGAATATGAGCTGTTAAAAAAACCAGAGAAAAATTGCAAACTTTTTTGAACAGGGTTCGAGAATATATAGTGACTAACAAAATGCAAATAGAATGGAGGGAAGGCTGTGGTATAACTAACCAGTTGTTATGCTGTCTTTTCCGAATATGATCTCCTCGGCTACGCGACCGCCCATACAAACATCCATTTTTGCTAACAACTGCTTTTTAGACCATGATAACTCGTCTTTCTCAGGTAGCTGGGACACCTACGATCAGAATACAAGAAATGTCAAGAAAAATTCAGCTACTTTATCACTTTAGAAGCAACTGGCTGTCAGGTTTTTAGATAATTTATGTGAAAATTGGTAACCAGTGCGGCTTGATAAATCCTCCACGACAGCAGCACTGATTGACGGCAATAAAATGGACAAAACAGTGGAAATGGATACATAGAATCAGTGACGCAGAGAGGGGGGGGGCAGGGGGCAGTTTGCCCCAGGGCCTCGGCCTGAAATGGGCCCCAAAATTATTCTGAAATTTTTTTTAAAATGCCTTTTTTTGAGAAACTGAAAATGCATTCAAAGATATATTTGTTAATGTCGAAAATGATGGCAGTAATTTAATTGGGTCCGTACACTGAGTCTTGTTTGAACTTAAAGCCTATCAGCTTTATTTATTGAGTCTGGGGGCCCCGAAAAAAGCTGAATAAACCTTAGATGACATATTTTACGGATTCGTCTTTTAAGCTGAGTTTCCCTGAGTTTCGCAAAATCGTACTTATTGGAAGGGAGCCCTGATAAAAAATTAGGTAACCCATATAATCTTGTTTTAATCTATGGCTCGTTCAAGTGAGTTATAATTGCATTTAGACTCGTTGCATAAAGCTATATTATACTTTTGGGGCCTCTTTCAGCAAACTAGCATTAATGAAGAACCGCTTACGTTCAACAATGACTCAAGACCGACTATCAAGCCTCATGACTCTTTCGATCGAGCACGAACTAGCAAGACAAATTGATTACGACAATATCATTGATCAGTTTGCAACTGAAAAGCAAGAAAAATTAACTTTTGAAGGACGAAAGAACTGAAAAGCGTAGTTCCATGGGATTTTTTAAATAAAAGTGCGTAGAATAAAAATTTCCTTTCATTTTAAATTATAATATTGCGTGGCTCATCAGAAAAAAACAGTCAGAATTGAAGGAACACATTTTGAAGTCCTCTTTAATCAGCTAAGAGGGTGTGGTCAAAGAGCGTATTTAAATCGCTTACCTTTAGAATTAATGCTTTTTATTACATTTTATGATATTTTAACCATATTCTATAACGTGCGCAAACGTTTGGAAATAATGGGCGTTTCCCATTTCAAAAAGGGCGTGGTCTCGAAATTTTTTTGTATCTGACTCTAGGGCCCCAACCAGGACTTTGCCCGAGGGCCCAGGCCGCCTCTCGGCGGCCCTGCATAGAATATGTGCACAAACATTGTTTGTCGAGAAGCGAATATCTAAGTTTTGCAGCCAATTTCGCAACACAAAGGGAACGTTCTAACTTCACAAATGGGGGAAAAGTATTTACAAAAGTAAGATTAGCGTGCTGGCCGAAACAGTTACTTAAAGATAGGGATTAGCCTATATTTTGTACAAGATTGAATTGGATCGGTCCTAAATGAAAGTGGATTCATAAATAACAAGCGACAAGAGATTAGATTATTAATTTTAAAGACTTCCTATCAAGAATCTAGGAGTCTTCACAAACGATAGCTTACGTAAATGCGGTGGAAATACGATTTGTTTTGCGATCAAAGTTCAAAAGATTCGACGGTACGTATTGACCACCGAGCCAAGAATCTTTCAATACCATTATGATGTGACAGCCGCGCTTTCAGTGTGGATTTTCGATGGATTAGCGAAATTCAATCATTAGCCAATCAACAACAGCCCGAGCAAAGTAGGATGGAGAGGTTGAAGGTGAAGAGGTCAACCTCTACAAACTCTAAGCAAAGTTGAGGTTGACGTAATTTATGCTAAGAATTTTAGTTAGCATTGACTAGTTACCGCTTAGAAGTCAACTTGCTATTCGTTTACTTTCCCTTTGCAAGAGTAAAATAAAAAGTAAAAGTTCAATCCAAACCAACTGATTTCCAAAAAGATAAAACAAAAAAATGGCTGATTTTGCAAGCAAACCGTCTAGCTGTAATTTCCAACTTTTAGAAGAGGGCTGCGACTAGACCGAAGGCAGCTTCATCTGGGATGCGCATTATGCTAGCAACTAAGAAAATACGTGTTCAAATTTGTTGCCTTTGCTGGATTGATGTATATTCCAAGAATTGACGTATAAAGGAACCACCAGCATATATCTACAGTCGGGAGTTTTCAAAACAAAACACTTGAGAATCAGAGACGTGGGCACTCTTAAACCTTGCGGGATGACGTGAAAGGGGCTTAACAAAAAGCTGAAGACAAAAGCAATATTAAGATATCGAATACTTTCAAACACAACAAGAAAAAGGGTGACAGTATATTGCGCCGCGTTTCTGTGCAAGTGAATGTCGGATAGCTCTTCGGGACCTGGACAGGAGTTTCGTCAGAGAGGGGTCCAGCGTGGTCTACAACAGCAGCAAAAGTAGAAGGGATCATAGTGGTCTTTGGGAAAAAATCAATTTCTTTAGTGGGAAAACATTGTTTTTTGTTCAGTAAAAACATCCCATAAAATGTGTCGAGGAATTTCTGGCCACACCCCAGATTCCGATCAAGTTAAAATGAAAGGCATGAAAAAGAGGAAACATTATGCACTGTTCGAACCTACTTTCCTCGGCCATTTCGAAAGATCAAAAGAGAAGTGACGTCTCATGCCCCTGGCAACAACATACTAGTCAACAAATTTCTAGTCTCCCATCGGCAACAAATTTCTCGGCTTCCAAATAACGTGGCAAATTCATAGATTTTAGTAAACTTTTGTCTTTCTACCTGTTAAAGCTTGGGATATAGAAGTCCTAAACCTACAAAAATCTCACACGTGGTTTATAAAACCAATACTGTCTACAAAAAAACAGGTTTTTGTCAAAATTCAGACAGGTTCCTCCATGCCTAATTTCTAATATAACACAATGAATACTGCATACAAACTTACCATTCCAAGAGCTTGTCCTCTTGGCATAATGGTAGCCTTGTGCACTGGGAGTGCATCTAGAAAAGAAGTTACGTTCAAAATTTGATGGTTTTGTGGTAAATGAGAAGAAAACTGTTATTGGCAAACCTGAGTCAAGACAAGATAAACGGGAAAATTGTATAGGCCTTTTCCTTACATTTCCTTCAACCCTTTTCTTGATTCCTCAGCATTTGATGTCTAGTGAAGAACCCATCGAAAGGTAGAGGCTTTGGCTACAATCATTTTTATCCCTTATGTATTGACTAAAAAAGTGTACTCTCTAAAGGATACACAAATCCCGGGCTGGTAAAAGTGCGGTTGACACGGGCTGGTAAAAGTGTGATTGACACCTGGAATGGGGGTTTGAAAAACTTTTCCAGAAGATTGACACTGGGGTTCGACGCAAAAGCAATATAAAAAATTAAGAGCAAGGTAATCGAAATACCCAGAAAATCAGGAAATATGATTTTATTCAAAAACAACTATTTGATAGCCAGTGGGGCAGTGAAACCAATATTTTAGGGTTGGCAAATAGATAAAATTCTAAGAAAAAATTTTCAATACGCAAAATGATAAATTGTATTAAAAAAATACTGAATTTTTTTGAATATACTAAAAAAGGGCTGGCTTTGTTCTTGATCTATTGAAAATAAAGGTGTAAATGAACAGGGGAAAGACGATTTTTCAAAATAGGGATTGGTAACGAACATATAAAATTATTGTCGTTTGCACCCTGTGCAGAAAAGTAGTAGGGGACGGGGGGCTATGGACATTAATTGATCTTTAACAGATTTTTTCTAGTTGAGCCCACGGCAAAAACATAGCGACTGGAATCAGAGAAACATCAGTAGAGTTAACAATATGCCACAAATGTTGATAGACACAACTGAAAAGATAGAAGCAAATAAACACAAAGTACCTGGAGTATACATAGCAACAACTGCATGGCCACTTTCATGGTACGCAACCAGAATTCGGTTCTTTTCTTCTATAACGGCATTTTTTCTTTCAGGACCTAAGTAACAAAGTGGGAACATAAAAAGCAAAAATAAATCTTGGCTAGGAACTCAAACCACAAGACAAAAAATGCTCTTAAGGCTTCCAATTCAACAACAAAGATAGACAATAATCAGTATAATGTTGGGCAGCAGTTGTATTAAGAATATAATTTTCCTTTGAAAATATATTACACAGCATTTAAAAGCAGACGTAAAGCAAAACTTGATAATGGGGGATAGACCTTAAGGGACTGGGCAGGAGGAGAGTCTCCTAGGGTTAAAGAGGACTTTTATAACGAAAGGATGGGTAGATTTTATATTATTTCTTTAAGAGACTATACAAGGAAAAATCACGAAATGGTAAATAATCGAGCTAAAAGAAGGATAAGGTCATTGTCTCGTAACAAAATCCGGATAATACAAGTGTCGCTTTTTTCAATGACCGCAAAGCACAAACGACAGAAGTTATTAAAGTTGGATTGACAGACAACGGCCTGGCAAAGATGGCGCTAAAATCTGTTTAGGTTGAGAACAAACGCAGACAATCTAGCCCGTTCAAGGGGCAATTGATGGACTGAAGTACAAGAAAATCTTAACAAAATTATTGACAGCTGCACTAACTCACCCATAATAATTTTATCTTTCGCCCATTCAAGATGCTTCAATGTGACGTAAGGATCGCTTTCCACTGCGGCACGAATGGCAGCTTGGTTAACCAAATTATTCAAATCAGCTCCTGCAAATTCAGATTATATAAAATTTATTGATGCATTTTTTATCCTTGTAGAATTGCTATAACTACAATATGGTTACCGTGTGTGAAATTGTAAATAAACACGAACCCTGCAGCAACAAACAGAAAATTAAAAATGCAAAAGAATAAGTACATTAGCCAATCAATACATTTGTAAATGGTACCACGCTCACTGATTGGCCAACTGTTGATTGACATTTGAAATTATTAATTATTGATTGACTTTAATCAAAGATTTCATAGCGTTTAGAAAGCTATACTGACCCAAATCATGAGCAAAAAGAAATAATTTTGATCATCATTTATGAGTCAACTTGTCTAGATTGCAAGAAACTTCAATTGTGCTTAACTACAGCAATTAATTTGTTAATTCTTACTAGTGTTATTGATCTTCCATTCCTTTATCTCACGATTTGTCTTAAAATGAATTGTGTGATAAAAAGGGATAAAGAAGTCTAGCCTAATCTAGTCTAAACGAAGAAACTTTTCAAAATTATAGGTTTAGGAAGGCTAAAATATCTTACCGGAAAATCCAGGCGTTCCTCGTGCGATGACCGTCGAATCTACATCTAAAAACGAATAGAATAATCGAATTTAGTTTTCTGTATTCTCGGGCTGTATCACAGGCTGGATCTGAGATAAGACGAGATGGAAAAGCAGAGCAACAAATCATCAGGACTGCACAAGTTCTATTTGCCCTTTACTGTGCATTTCTACAGTGTGTTTGGCAAATGCGTACACGCACGTACATAAGACTGATATGCTGACACGCTTGTATTCGATAAGCAAAGTGTCTTGGCAGTTGCAATTTCTCCTCAACACTTAAAATATTATCACTTAGAATCAAATATCTGCGTACTTATCAGTGTAACCTCGATAAAAACAATTGCGATTCTACAGCACAAATGCAATTAGAAACAGATGTAAGAAATTGTTGTTTCAAGAATTACTCTATCGGCAATTACACTGTAATAGCTACATATAAGAAAAGATGCTAAATGGAATAAGCATTTTTAAAATTTTTCTGTAATCTCTTCTTAATCTTGAGGTCTCACTTTCATGGCAAACAACTCAACCACCAAAACTAGGGCAGCCATCTCCACCGAATACAAAATTTCTAACAGGAATCCATACTGTTCTTTAATTAACAAGAGAAAATCTTGCTGAAAGTCAAACAAAACCTTTCAAATAAGTCACTATAAATGTCAGTGAAACCGGATCAGCTTACCATCTCCACATGGCACGGTCTTCAAATACAAGTCAAGAATTTCTTTTCTTCCTCGCACATCAGGAATTGCCACAATTACTTTGCTATCGAAACGTCCTGGTCTTGTCAGTGCTCTAGAGAAAAAAATTACCGTTATATGTACAACGGCGAACAAACGAGGACAATTCCTTGACGATTTCGGCAAGAGACAATCACACAGCAAGAGACGATTACAACGTTACAAGGTGTAATAGGCGCGCATGAACAACAGTCTAAGTACATCAATGAATTACAGTGCGCGAAACTCGGACAACTAAATGTGTATCACATTGAAGTGGCAAGATAAGATACGATAGGCGTTTGACTTTTTAGTAGTGAAAGGCATGACATTTCATATAATTGTTTAAGTCTTTAAAGTCATGCTACGTTTCAATGGGACTAGAAGCCTTTAGGTGCATAAAATGAAGGTATAGATAAAATACCTTTAGCTGCTCGACTTACAGCTTTATTTGTCGCGTTATCCTACCCATTCCCCATTATTGTTACCTTCAATAAAAATCATTCTGAGAAGAAAAAAGTTATCAGAACGTAGAAGTGAAAAGGATGTTAAACATACTTATCAAGAATTTCGGGAAAATTTGTTGCTCCGATTACTACGATCCCCTCTGTTTTATCAAACCTGCAAAGATAAATTTTGAATGAGTGTCGTAAAAAAACTTTATATGTACCGTATTTTGTCTGTAGAGCAGACAAATAAAAATTTCTTCATTTTATCAGGACAGTTAACATATCAACTTTAACTTGGAATTTTCAGGCATCCTCTAAGGATATCATAAGGGTATCGAAAAGTGGGAAACCGGGTCTCTGTCAAAATATACTTTATGTGAGGTGAGGGTATTTAGAGTTTTGAGTTGAATGTTTTTGGAGCTGAGAGATTTGATAAAAATACATCAAGCATTGTCAACACCGTATACTATAGAATGGGATTAGAAGGTAAAATTAAAACTGAAATCGTAGTACCCATCCAATTCAACAAGAAGCTGGTTCAACGTCATTCTAGAGTAGGGTTGGTGATCGTTTGGAATCCTCGTTCCTCCAATCGCATCCAATTCATCGACGAAAACAATGCACGGAGAATGTTCCTTCGCAGCAGCTAGTAAGAAAGAACAGTAAAAATAGCATAAGGGACACGATCAGTAACAAGAGTTCCTATTTTCAAGAATTTTCTTATCGATATCAAATGTTGGCTCGAAAAAAGTTGCGAATCGGAACTATTTGATGATCTTTGCACTTCAAAGTTTTCTTTTTGATTACTTGAAGGTATATGGTTTTCAAAGTTTACCTAAACACTGTCAACAACTGATAAAATAGAATATTAATAAATAATAAAAAGGAGAACACTCCAAAAAGATAAGAGTTGACTCTTGATAAAGTTTCAGTCATTTTCCTATAGGACAAGACAGCAAACAGAGTTAAAGCTTTGAAGGGTGCTGACACGTGTCTTAAAGAGTCATTGCTAACAATGAGCTTTCGCGGGCGTGATAAATTGTGCCCAAACAATGGCAGTAGACTTCTACGCATTAACCAGAATTGATTTCAGACTGTCTGAAAATGCATTATGGGATGCTTGCGTAGCGCAATGGCTCATTGTTAGCAATAAGTCTTTAAAGAAAACAAATATACTAAAATCTGGGTTGGATCTAGACTAATCAACTAAAATCATAATCTCACTTGAAGCAAATATAAAGATTCTTTCTCAAAATTCGTTTTCAAAAAGTTGCATCAATGTTTGTTCAGAATATTTAATATCTTTAATCTTACTGAAAAGGTTTCTGACTCTAGCAGCTCCTACTCCGACAAACATTTCGTCGAATTCTGAACCGGAACAGAAAAAGAAAGGGACACCCGCTTCCCCCGCGACTGCTCGTGCCAAGAGTGTTTTTCCCGTGCCAGGTGGTCCAATCAGAAGTACCCCTAAAGGCAAAAAAATTTAAATTTTCAGCCTCTAATATTAAGGATCAGCAGGCGAGGTTAATTAAAAATAAACAAAAGGCTTGATATTTAATCATTATTATAATCATGACATCCTCACACGATTGGCTAAACATGTTACCATTCTTGCGATGTGCATTAAATGGGTTGATATTGGCATTGGCATGGAATTGAAGGTAATCAGGGTGATTATCAACAAAATCTTCACAAAACTGCCTCTTTTTGGACAGAAATTGGACTTTTAGATATCATAAATCTCTTAAGTAAAACATCATTTCTTCAACTAAGGTCCAGTGCAAAAATTCACAACTTTTAAGTTACATAAGTAGCCCATAGTGTGGTGACGTGCAAAAACATGCTACATTTAAGAGAAAACATTTTACAAACATGACATGTTGAAACCTGTAATTTTGAGATTATGAAGACTGCACTTAGTAAAGGATGACAGCAATCTTACTCACCCGTTGGCAGCTTTCCACCAAGCTTGGTGAATTTGTCTGGCGATCTTAGAAACTCTACCACTTCCTTCAACTCTTGTTTTGCCTCGTCGCACTGTATAAAAAAGGTTAAAATTAATATGATATCGCTAATGACTTTGGTTATGCAAAGCAAATTTTGTTTCCAGTGGTATGAGATTACAATCGAAAATTAAAAACAAAGCAACTCACCCCTTGTACGTCAGAAAACTTCACCCTTTTCTCAGACTGATCCGGCATGATTTCCTTTTGGTTTGTAGTCACTGAAAGACAGAAATCGTCGTATTAAATTGTATATTAAGAAAGCAAAACTGAGCAACAAAGTATTCTTTAGAGTAAAAATGACTTTAGAGAGAAAATAACAAATGAGAAGGAGGGAATTCTAGCAACCGATAACAAGCACAAAAGCCAGACTGGAAATGCTAAAGAGTGTTTCGCGGGGAATAAGCTTGAATGTGGCAAAAAGATGTTTCAGCCATTTTTTGTGAATACACTAAAACTGGTGGCGTCATGGGGCTGAAGGGAGCCTTTTATATTAATAGCTTGATTTTCATTAAAATGATTATTATACAAGCCAACGATCAAAGTAAAACAGTAAAAGGAAGATACTTTCCTGTGCAAGGCTAGTTTGAGCCTCAAACCAAAGGATATTTTTGTATGAAAAACGACACAAATATCAGATGGTAGTTATGATAAAATAGTAATAAAAAAGAAAGAAGAACTTTATAAAATTCTTACTTTTCATTTGTAATTGTGCTTCAATAACGGATAGAATTAAGAACAGGCCGATCAGAAATCTTAGGGTGTTCCAGAACTGTTCTCTAAAGAATGAGCCTGAAAAGGAAGGCATGTTGAAAGAAAATTGCGAAAAAACCTAAAATGAAGAAATGAAGATTATTCATAATTCATAACGAACTTTCTAAGTCTGATAATAACTGATGTTTTTCACAGAACTTCAATCAATACAAATAACAAGGTTTAAACAAATAAAACAAAATATGAGATAAATTGAGAAGGAATGAAGAGAATTTTGTGAAACAGGGAAAGAGAGAAAACAGATGGTGAAAAGAAATCGGCAAGGAGTACAGGAAACTCTGGTTTCCATCGAAACAGGCAGGTAAGGGAGAAAGCAGGGGATAACATAACAGATAAACTAATGCAGGAATCATGAATAAAAATTTAGAGTAAAAAATCAAGAATAAAATTGGAAAAGTGTTGCAGAATTCGAGATGGTGAGAAAGAAACTGGAAGAAATTTGATCATGCAAAGGCATGTTCCCATCCAATGAAGTAATAAGGAAGTACTACAAGCAGTTAACTTTCCAACGCTAAAAATAAATTCAATTATAATCAAACCTTTTGCTGGGTTCATGACAACATGGACTGGTTGGTCTTCTGTTCCACGATCAGGATTAAAAGCATTCAGGTTCGAGTTTCCCTTTGAGCCTGTTTTACTGAGGGCTGCGTTTCCCAAAGCCTGTTGAAAATATTTTGGAAAATGGTTATATATGGTCAGATTACGGATGTAAAACACCACGGGCGCTGAATTTTTTCACTCTTGTTTCATTATATCTAAAAAATTAACAATAAAATTTGATCCAACACTGGACAGGTAAACGTGCCAAAAGTCCTTTCGAAAGAGAATTTAAACTTCACTTAGTATTTGTCATTTTTATAATGAAGAATTTATACTGTTTTTCTGCGTTAAAAAAGCTGCCAAGGATAGCTGAGCCCCTACTGTCAGCTCTTAAGGCAATTTCTCTGCAAAATAATGCTCTTTGCGTGAACTAACGACTAATGTTCTTAAAAGGATCAATATTCTTAGCCACCAAGAAGGAGAAGCAACTGTAGTTTCCTGCACTTGGAAAACACTTAAATATGTGCAAACAAACCAAAATTTAGCATTTATTAGAAGAAACACAAACTGTTTTTACTTGGAAGCAACGGTTTGGTCACCCAGGGTTATACATGTAATTATTCTATAAATATATATAGTTTTACGTAAATTGAGGCTTCTAGGGTCCTGGATCTAGGTATATGATCAGACAAATAACAAGTTTTTAGGGAGTGTGGTGCTTTCTAAGGGCTGCTCCATTATGGAACAGGAGTGGCCCACTTCTACTTTGTATGGAAATAATTTAACAAGTAAAGCAATAAATTTACCTGTATTTCAGATGAGCTGACTTTGTCAGTCAAGACCAAAGCCTGCAAAGATACGCACAGATTACCATTACATGTATACATTGAAGATTCTGTATAATATATGTTGCCTTAACCATCAAAATCATATTTATACATAATAAAACAGATTTATGTGATCTGGCTGCATTTGTTATAAATCATAGCTATAAGAAATGCATCAATAACAATTACAAGAAATAAGTCAATGTAGCTTTTGGAAATTCCTTGCATGGACTGTTTTTTTAATTCAAGCTACTGTTAGGCTACTACTAAATTCTAGTTAGGACAAGCGTCGACAAACTCATTTTATAGTTGGCAGCTATAAAGAATTTTTTGATGTATAACTTCACACTGTAGATAATTTGGGAAAGTTATGTCACGTAAAAGCCTTTAGATCTATACTCTCCTGTGTTTAAAAGCTTTAACTGAATAATTTAAATGAATGCAGTTTTATTCAAAAATATTCATACCAAAATTGGTAAAGTCTATTACGCATTCAACAAAACTCTTCAATAAGTTGCAAACTTTCAAACTGAATGTCAAGATTCTTAATCTTGTCTTTCATGGACTAATTTAAACTAATTGTGTTCAATAAGTCCAATAATATTTCATTGTTTAAAAAAGTAGGAAAGTTTTGTTTGGCTTGAAATACCTTGAAATACTGAGTTATGACATCATCATTGATTGCAAACTGTCCACTTTCACACCTCCTTATCACATATTCTGGGTCTTCATTAATTATTGCCTAAGTGCAAATAAAACTAAATTTCAATAAATTAATTTAAGAATACTGTTGTACAGTAAGCAATATGCTTATATGATATTCTGATTTGTTTCTTAACAAAACAAGAGAAAACAGAGACATGTATATATAAAAGGAACTGGTGCTTCTTCCAAAAGGGGCCTCTCCGAACAAAAAATGTATTCACTTTAATTGACTCTTTATTGACATATTTCCATAAGAAAATCAAATAATGATAAATCAATTTAATGACACTTGAGTATCATAATGTTTGATTCTGCTTCACAGTGAATTGTTAAACTACTGGAAAATTATTATGCACTTTGAGGGCCTTAAAGTAACATTTGAAAATAGACACTACAATATCTAAATATACGAAATGAACTTGCTAAATTGAAAACAATTCCAATAAAATAATGGCTTGAATTATCTAAAATTGGAAACAAGCAAGAGCTCTAGAGCTACATTCTGAAAAAATAAACATACATGCAAGAAAGCAAAATGACTGCAACAAACCCTCAGTAGATGTGCACATCTTACAAACTGCATACATACAGATGTTGCAAAATTACACAGTAGCATCAAATTTTGGCTACAGCAAATAGAAAACTCACTTTCTCATAATTCAATAAAATTGTCTAAAAACCTTAATAAAATAGCTTATGATTTATTGGCTAAATATCATTAGAATAGCTAATTAAAAGAGAAATGCAAGTTTTGGCAGGAGAGGCCTTTTAAACTTGTCACAAAAATGCCAAACCTTCAGGTATTCTGCCTGAGCATCTGGGTTTCCTGATTCCTTGTTAGCAATTGTTTCAAGGTACATTACACGATTCCTTGGTGCAAAACTCATTTTAAACCTTTTTTGAATACCTAAAAATTAAATAATGTCCCTTTAGATACAAAAAGAAGAAATTTTCAAGAACCAACACATTTCATGAAGTTAACTCATCATCACAAACATTAAACAGATTCAAAATGGTAAAAGCATCTCCATAGTGTATTCTCTGAAATATACCTGGGGTTGATGATTAAATAAAATTTATACATGAAATGACAAGATGTTTCAGCAAAACCCTTTATCTGGAATGATGAAAGACAATGTCTTATTGTAATATTCATGACTATACATTCTATTTAACCATTGCCTTTGGGTATAATGAACTTATAGCTGCTAATACAAAAAACAGATACATTTTCTGAAATGCACCTTTCACAACTCTTTATCTGGAATAATGAAAGACAGTGTCTTATTGTAATATTCATGACTATACATTCTATTTAACCATTGCCTTTGGGTATAATGAACGCATAGCTGCTAATATACGATATACGACAACAGATATACTTCATTAAATACAGCTTTCATAACCATTTATCTGGAACGATAAACCAGACATTATGAACTGCATGCCGTGATGCAAAATTTTCTTTTGAGAGGCACAAACAGCCATGCACCTGCTAAAATCTTAACAGAGAAGCCTGATATAAAAGGTATTGTAGGTGCAAATACAAACAACAGATAAATTTTCTGAAATACTCTACTTTACTAACCTTGTTTAAATGAATTCACCAGTAAGTTTTCCTTGCCTTTAAATATACTAAATAGTGAAACCCCAGCCCTAAGATGTTCTTCGTGATAGATCTTGCTTGGATCAAAACCTATGCAACAGAAAGATAAGCAAAAATCAAGACGATAAATGTTTTGAGAAACTTCTTCCATGTAACATATGCTCCATACATTGCAAATTTAGCAAACATTAAATCCTCAATTCGAAGCTTGGAATTCTACTTCACTCTAAAGGAGAGGGTTTTAATAGAAAGAGGGCTTAAAAATATGGATCTGTTAAAGAAATTTTAGACAACAAAGGTAATCAATTGTTGTGCTTTTAAATTAACAGGAAAAATTTCTCAGATTAGTTTTGTTTCAATTACCCAGACCACCATTTCCACTCCAATAAAAGTTGATGCTCTTTAAGATTCAAACAAAAATCTGATCAATACTGAAATGGTTTGCCAAAGATATATATGAAAAGTGTTCAAACTTTCAAAACTCTTCTAAAAATGAAAAAAATGTCTATTTAAACACTTTGAACTTACCATGCTTGTTCTGGAAAAAGGTTTCTGCAGATACATGTGATATATTCCATGGTTTACTTCTTTCATCTGGTAGATTCAGCCAAGCTGTATTCGGTATATCAACCTTTTTAAGCCAGTCATTTGGAAGGTCTTTCAATCCAAGATCTTGAATTGCTTGTTTACTTATAACCTTAAAAGGAAAATATTTTACTTTAATACTTACACAGAATCCTTGTAAAACATTGTATCAAATTTTCATAGAATTTATGATTGTGTAGAAGCTCAAAAGGATATAAAATAACAATGGCAAATAAGTAAAAGGTGGCTGGTAAACAAGAAATGCCAATTTCAAGCCAAAAATTTCCAGAAACTTGGTTATGAATAGTTCTCTTTGTTCATATCTGGTGCATGAACTTAGAAATATGTTAGCTGATTGTCCAAGCTTCTGAATTAAAAATGAAATACAATCTGTGCTTATATTTATATTGTATTCATATGATTTTCTGCAATTAAATCACTATGAGAAGTTATATATAAAAGGCAGAAATTATAAAACATGAAGAATTTATGAACCAATCAATAAAAAAGTCAAAGGAATATTGAAGTTCCTAGCTACTTCACAATTGCAAAATTTTGGCAAGTATGTAAGTATATTTCTCATGACACCCTGAGAAGGTATTCAAGGTGTTTCAAATTTCAAGTGTATTACACTCAATTTTGATCTTTTCTGGTCACTTTTCACATATTTTCTGAACAGCTCGACTAGCCTAAAAACTATGTACATGATCACCTAAAAATGTGTTTAAAAGAGTCAAGAGACAAAACTTTCTAGCTAGTACTTCAATCAACCAATTTTGTTCATAGAGCTAATGACAGTTTTGTGACAACCAGACTGACAAACATAATAAAGGTTGAGACTGTTATGGGACAACAAAATTAGACAGTTGGCTTTAATGCTTTTAGAAAACAACAGAGTGGGTCCTTTGATTTCTTGCCTTGGGCCATCACAGAGAATGGAGGTGTCTGTGTCCAGGCTTTTGTCTGAAAGGCATGTGATCCCATGTGCATGCCCTGACGCACGCCTACTGATTTTGAGGAGCGCAAAATATCACACACCTTCTTTTATTCTGAGAGCGAAATTCTCTCTGTCAATGATTGGTTTTGTTGGTTTTTGAGACAAGTTTAAATGTAAATCTTTCCTTGGTACTATTGATTCATGTCATTACAAAAAGGCTTAACACCTTGTCAGGATTGCAGATTAAGACTTTGAAATAATCATAGGAATAATCTACAGTGGAATCCCGATAATATGAAACCCAGCTATAACTAATTTTCCTGTATAAAAAAACTGTCTGGCCCCTTGGATTGTGCCAAACCCTGTACAAATTCCCTTGGTATAGCGATACTGTATATAATGAACTTTTATTCTTACTAACCGAATTGTATGTCCTTTCATCATGATTTCCCTTGTTATGACAAATTTTTCTATAAATGTTCACCGTTATTTTGGTTTACTTTTTCCCTGGCGTATATTTATCATTATATCTTGGGGGAGTTATTATTTTTCTTTGGCAAAACAGACATTGGCAAACATCATTTTTTATAATGCAAAAAATGGAGAAAAAAATTTGTGCAAAAGTTTACACCTTTTCAAGGCTTTATGGCATTTCAGTGAACAAATCCAAATACAGACTATAACAGACATTTTTGTCTCTGAATTTTATAAGGAACATTAAGTGTTGTGAATAAGATTTTCATTTCTGATAAGATTTTCACTTAGCGAAAGTAGCAGATTTGCTAATTATGCAATAAAAATAAACCAATTTGACTTAAGACGTCGTTTTGGAAATTTCTCCAAACTTGGTTATACAACTTTTTTAAGCTCAGATTTGGTTTTATCACAATAATTTCAGGCAGAATACAATTTATCACATTGTTTGAGCTTATATTTTAGATTTTACGGGAAATGAAGTTTGAAGCAAAAATTGTTTCGCGGGAAACTTTACCATCCTAGTTGCCAATCACGGTCAAATCCCTTATAAAATTTTCATCTTTATTTTGTTATAAAATCAATATCGTGAAAAATATCATAATGAAAACTTACTAATATAATAAAATAGACTAAAGTCATTGTGTCAATCCGAATCTTGGGGCACGAATTTAAACGCAAAATGGTCATTACATTCAGATGAATGCCCAAGCATCAATAACTTGCTGAGGATTCATTATTAGCTAACATTTTTCTGTATGATACTTGTGGTGCCGCTTTTTGCTGATGTATTTAATAAGTTCAGTTTATATTTCTGTAGAAACTTTCTCAAGTCTTTAGAAATAACACATCCTATATACTAATATGCCTAAATGCAGATCAGGGCAAGCTCTGCTGCCTGTGATCGGAAGGTCACAATTTTTTTGGTAAAATGTTAGTAGTGATGCTAAGGATTCAGCGAAAGAAATTTCGTCAAAATTATTGGTGTCAGCATTTTTGTGTTGGCAATTTCTGTGTTATCTATTATGATAATCATAAATTAGTGCGAAAGAATGTCACACTCCACCACACTCCTGGATGTTTTCAGGCGTGCAGTGGATAGCACGCCTGCAATATTTTTCCAATGAAAGCCTGCTGTATATGAATAATCACTTCAAACAACCAACTCTGATATTAGAAAAACTATGAAAAACAGGTACATACAAAATCTAAGACTATGAATAAAAACAAATTCAAATTTTCAATGAGGTGGTTTGATAAACATTCTTTAGTCAAATGTTAGAGAAAGGTCTCACATTTGAGCTTTTTGCATCCTCATTTGTGGTAGAGCTACTCTCCTGCTGACTTAATGATTTTGTGTATCTTCTGTATGATACACATTTAGCACACCTTGAGAACAGAGCATATTTGACCTCACTGATAGTTGAGCTTGCACCTGAGAGTACACCAGCAACCTGAAAAATGATGACTCAAGATGAACATGGAATATTATCATTAATTGAAAAGCAACTCCTATAAATTTATGGTCAAAGTTTTACACATAAAAAACAAAGCAATAATCTTTGATAATACCTAATCATTCAATGATTTCACCATGCATTTCAAAAAATTCGATGAAACAACCATAAATTTGTTTCCAACCATAAATTTTATCATTTAAAATTAGCTACGAGTTTCAAATGATGATAATTATTAAAACTGTTGTTAATATTTACAATTTCAAAAAAGTTGCTTGAAACAACAATATTATTTTGAAAGTAACATTTTTTAGCTTCAAAATACTTTCATTCAAGATACTGAATACTACTTCATTATAAGATATCTAAAATTGATGCATGTAAAGCACAAGATTGTCATGAAAAGATTATAATTGATGTCCTTATGTCAATTTACAGCCTCTTAGCAACATTGTATTTTGGCATAAGTATGTCAACCAAGCATACACACTATAATATTCCAGGAAACGTATATATGCTAGTCATTTTCATTGAATTAAAAATTGGTTTCCTTTCACTTAATTATGCATACACTTTCTATACCACAAATAACAATCTTTGTTTCAAAATCAAATGGTACTTTACAAAAGAAACACTTTTTCAGTCAGCAAGAACAAAATTCATGTTGGTGGGGGGGGGGGGGGGGGGTGCGCATTGTCTTGCCTCTCATTCAGTACATGGTTATACAGAAAATATAGTACAAATTGACACAAATGGGCCTGTCACCAAAAAGTAATTAAGTGAGAAGATAAGACTACACCCCCTCCTCTGTGAATATCAATTATCACATACATTGATGGGACATATGTTCATATTGCATCAGCCATCCAATGAATAACTATGAATAATGCCAATCTACCCTCTTCATGACAACAAACACATCAAATGCCAGTAATCTTATTATTATCAAATAGTACACGAAGTTGTATACGGTTTAAAATTTAATAGAATAGGGAAAATAAGACGTTGATGTGATAACGTTATTAGTTAAGCATGTTAGGCCTATCTTTTGTCTGACTCTGACCGTTGGGTTCTGACATACCGAAATCTTTCAACGATTACGTTCAAAAATCTTAATATAAGCTGAACACTTGGGGACGTAGGCTAGGTATACTTTTCATGTAGCATTCTCGTCATAGAGTTCAATTGGCAATGTGATTCTAACGCACTTAGGCCTGATATGAAAGTTTCCATTGATTACGTAACGTAATCAGTAGATTGACGAGTATCTACATTCGATGGAGACTGATATTTTCGAAAAGAATGTCCCTTTAGTTTAATTAACTGCAAATTTTACCTGTGGTGCAACTGTAGATGAGCCAAACATATTTTCTCTGATCACGCTTAGGAACTAAAAGCTATTTCGCATTTACCATAACCAAACGCTTCCTTCCTATCACAATCACACAAGGGGCGACAGGAGGCTGGAGAACCATGGCGCTGCGTGGGAACGAGATTTGACCTATTACGCAACAGTAAGAACGTGAACTTGCACACACAATGGAAAATTTTCGAAGGATAGGAACGTAAGAGTTTTATCCGTGGATCAGAGAGCATGACAATTTTAGCTCATTTCACGACAGTGAAACTACTGGAAAGTAAGTATGAATGTCTTCTCTTTTTTCAACTTTCTGTGATACGTTATCGAAAAAAACTCAAAGAAAAGTTTAAAGCATAAACCATTAACTAGACCATGTTCATTTGACCAAATACCTTTACTAAACAAATTTATACCTTGCTCGTTTTTAAAATGTCAGGTTGAACATAAAATGCTGTTACAGATATTTGCACAAAAGCTTTTTTGCGATGCGAGTTTATCTTGAACAGGGTGATGAAAGCCCCCACCCCACCCCTCATCTCGTAGGCTATCCTTTTATCGTCACAAAAATGTGATTGTTAAAATTCCTGAACTTATTATAGAAACAAAAGAGAGAAAATGGTTCAACAATGATTTGGTAATTTGGCACACGCAACAGGTCTTTAGGGGTGATTGTCATACCAGTAATTACAGCCGTTTATTGTTGGACAAGAAGTTATTTTGTTATTGACAGTTATAGAATGCACGATTCTCGATTTCAATCAAATCTATTAGATGTTAAGAAATTTCAAAATTTTGAAGCTGAAAGGCGGTGAAGAAAAAATCTTACTTGTATCAACTTTTTGCCAAAAAGCAAAGAATTATAAAAGCCGCGACGCCTCTTTGTATGAGTTTTCTACACCCCCCCCCCCCCAACTGTTTTCTACACACTATCTGTTGACAAGTCTCCATGGCGTTGGTAAATCAAGGGTTTTGTTTTCTGCCTCGCTACCCTGGGTACCAGACTCACTACTGCCTCGCTGACATCGGTGCAGAATGTGGTGGAGGGTGTGAAGACTGTCAATGAGAATTCACCGACTTTCAACGAGAATGATTTTATTTCGACGAAATAGGCTAATATTTCTATATCAACGCTTTTAAAGCACCAAGATGGTATAATATTATTTTAGAATAATTATGTGATGATAAAATCTATGAAATAATTATATTTTATCTTGATTGCACGACAGGAACATTGCAATGTTAACAGGAAACGGGGCCGAACTTTATATTGTTTCAGGACGACATTTTTATTTATTTTAGGGGTGTTACACAAAAAAATTCATCCCTAATACCTTGCTTGTTTTCTTGAAAGTTCTAATTACGTACAGTTTGCATACAAAGGCTCTCCTAACAACAGAAACGCGGTATATTGCTTCTTGAAGATATTGGAAAGGAGTTATTGCACTAAATTTTTCTTTCAGCTTCGTCGTCAATGCTTGAAGCAAAAATCAACTAACCAAAACTCATAAATACTTTGGCATCTTTATCGTTTCTCAGTTTTGCTTTCAAAACATTTCTGCATTGATTTTAAAGAAGACCGTAAGCATTTAGGAGGTGTATCTACTTTTTTCTACTCGCTGATACCCCGTGGCGGATTTAAAAGGGGGCAACTAGGGACAGTTGCCCCTCCCTCACCGAGCTACAGCAAGTCTGGCGCCCCTTTTTTGAAACGGTTTGGCACAATTATTGTGAACATTTCCTTTAGAACGCGAATAGAGAGTCTGAAACTGCCAGTAGTAACTTTTGTCAGTAGCTAAGGTCTGAAACTGTGGTTTACAGCGTACTCTCGTCACCAATTTCTAGTCTTCTTAAATTCAAAAGGAACGCCAAGATGGAAAAGGGAAATAAAAAAAAATTGACAAGTAGTGCTGCATGGGAATTTTCAAGACCCTGCGAAATTGTACAATTTGTTTTTATCTGCTGTTCAATCCATTAGCCAAAATAAAAGAATTTTCAATAGGATAAGGAGGACTGCTTTAGTAAATTTTGCTTAAAAGAGTGCATTTTCCGGGGAACTGGAAGCATCAAAATTCGAAAATTTTCTTTTCCCTCTGCGGCTATCTCGGGTAGTAACTATATTCGTTGCCCATGCTGATGTGCTGATTTGAAAAAGCTGTTAGAAAAGTCTCGTATAATCATCATATAAAAATGGAAAGTTGCAAATTATATGCCAAGGAGTTAGACTGACAAAATGTATTGCAGAGGTTTGTGTTAGCAACTAAAGAATTTCAGGTAATTATTTTTTAATGTGAATGAAGAAAAAGCCACTGTAGCAGGCTGCTCGACGGGCTCCAAGGAGTTCTTGCGGCGAAAAGTCGATAAAAATGTAGCAAATATGAAACACCGCAGTACGCCGAGAATAAACAACAATAAATACACGTAAATTGTTGGAGGGTGGGGGGGGGGAAATATTAGCTTTTACTGATTTACGTGGTATTTATTGTTGTTTATTCTCGGCGTACTGCGCGTTTTCATATTTTGCTCAAAATTATTTTTTATCAGGTTAAGTTTGCAGATCCACACCCCCCCCAACAAGGCTTGCCTCGCGACGGCCCTGCTAGTAAGCACTTAAAAAGCTTTTCTCTTTCAATTACTGCTTTACCCAATAAGTTTACTGTTTTTCTATGTCGAAGTAAACATTTCAACAGTAATTTTCACAGAAAACCTTTTTTCACACACTGACTGAGCCAATATAGCCAATAAATTCTTCTCTGAAAATAATTTCATCTTTATTTGACAGGATGTTTATAAACTACAAATGATAATGGAAGAAGGAAAAAAAACAAGCTATGCTAAATTGTTTACCATAGGCGCTAATGAAGCTGATGTTCCCAGTGTTGCATCATCATCATACGAAACTGCGCCACTGTTGAAGTCGGTTTCGATGTCAGAGAACAGCGAAGCTACGAGTATTTACTACGAAGCAATCAACTCCTTGAATGGCAGCGATAGTATTAGCCAGTCGAATGCCTCAATGCAAGAAAGCCACGATGCGGAAGACATCAAAGCATCGCTCCATCTGCCATCAACCAGACTGTCTTCCTATTCATCGTTACGAAGTTCTTACGACTACTTCAGGCGAAACAGGTCAAGGTATTCGTTAAGCAGGTCTTTCGTGCCTTCCTTGCGAGTGATCGATGAGCAAGGAGTCTCGACTAGTTTGACTATAGCTAATCTATTACCCTTTCTGCTTGGAAGTGCTACGTTTGCATTGCCGTATTCAGTAGCACTTGGAGGTTATGCAACAATACCAGCATTCGTAGTAATTACGATTCTCGCAGATATAACAGGCCTCCTTCTTGTTGATGCTCTTTACGATGATTTTGGATCAAGAATTCCGAAAAAACGAGCGCGTATGGACTATGTCGAACTTGCAAGGGTTGTGGCAGGTAAACTTGGCGCAAGAGCAATCAATTTTACTCTGATATTCTATCTCTACGCCATGAATACAGTGAATCTAGTACTAATAGGCCGAAGTTTTTACGTCATTTTGAATAATACGACGCCATTTAGTCTTGTTGCAACGACGGCCATGTTCTCACTACTTGTGATACCGCCACTTTTCATTAAGAGTTTATCAAAACTTGCTTACCTCAGCATGATGTCAACAATTTGCATTATTACAGGAGGGATTGCGTCACAAGTAGTATTCATTAAACACAGAGAGGACTGGGCCAAAAACATAAACATCATCCCGATGTTTGATGGAAACGGCTTTGCCTATGCGATGAGTGTTTGGTTTTTCATGCTTATTTGCCATTCAGTGGCCCCGCAAATTGAGAACAGTATGAAAAAGCCACAGAAATTCCCACTTGTCTTGCACATATCACACTGCTTTTCTGCATTGATCAAGATCTATTTTGGCATCAGCGGCGCACTGACATTTGGTAAAGAAACTAGGCCACTCGTTTCAATGAATATCGAGAAATTATCAGCGCCTGCAAGCATCGTAACAAACGCTGCTCTAGCAGGCTACGCTGTTACGTCATTCCCCATAAATTTTTATGTGGTCTGCGAGACTTTCGATTTATTAGTTCTCAAGAATCGCCATCCAAAGCTGAAGAAAGGTGGGAAATACTACAACATATGGGTTTTACTAACAAGACCAATATTAGTTGGGGTGGGCCTCGGCGTTGCTGTTGTGATACCATACTTCGGGCTGCTTGTTGGCATCCTCGGTAGCTTACTGGCGATTTTTCTGGTATTCATATTTCCTTGCTGGTTTCACCTGAACATTAAAGGGCACCTGCTTCCACTTTGGAAGAAACTGGCAGAGTCACTCGTCATGGTACTTGGGGTAGCTGTTGGCCTCGCGGGACTTTATGCATCAGTACGAGGCTTGATTTTTGCCATGAAAGACGGCCAAACTGTTTGATTCAATTTGTTAATAGTTATCGAGGGTGATAAACTGACTACATCGTTAGAAAAAGTGACTTCGGTTGCACATGATACATAATCGTGCATTATAAAATAGCAAAAAACGAATCATAATCGGAGAATTTTTGTATGAACATAAATATAGGTATCAGTAAATTGGAATTCTGTTAAATTTTTTCAAATGCAGCATGAAAATTTTGACTGTGATTTGCATGAAATAAATTTAGCTTTATATTCATCTGCATTCAAATTTTTAAATCCTATTAATGAACATAAATTAAGTTTAAGCCTTCGGAAACCCGCATTGGTGAGAAATAAGCAATCGGAGCCTGAAAATAATTTCGAATATTTTTAAGCGTTTCGATCATAAAAACTTGCTTATCTAATGGTTGCTGATTTAAAAAATGGCTCTTGTTACTTAGGTAAATGTTACTATTTTGGATTGGTAAGAAAACATCGAAGATTTTTTAGGGATTTTACAGTATTCTTTATACCGAGGAATAATAGCTATCATTATACCGAGGAAAGATACAGACTGCTTGAAATGAGATCTCAGAAGGCGAAGCAGACTCACCCGTGCATACGATCTTGGGTATATATGGTTGGAGCCTTTTAATGGAATTTTAGGATAATACCCCAAAAGTACACGTTAGTTGAATGCAAAATATAAAACCACATTGAAACATTGAAGCTCATTGTTTTTTTAAAAAAGAACTGAAAGCACAATATTCACAAATTTTTAACTAATGTCCTCTGTTCAGCAAGTAGTATAGCTCTTTAGCTCTTACAGTTTATAAAATAGTTTTGTTAAATTATAAGTTCTCTCCTTTGTGAGGGTTTGTCGGTCTTCCAGGGAATTCGACAAAACAATGACGTTGTTGTATGTATCGCGAACAGATTTTGAATACGATCTAGCTAAGCGATTTGGCCAAGACTGAAACACTACTTATAAAAAAGTAACATTTAACTTAAAAAATAAATTAACATTAGTTATACTATGAATGCTCCCTTTTCTCTTAGCTAAGTCCCCGAATAAGCCCCAACTTTGAATAAGCCCCAACTTTGAATAAGCCCCAACTTCGAATAAGCCCTCCCTTTAATTAGCCCCTACCCTAGAATTTCGGAAAGTCTACCCCTACCCTAAAGTAATTTTTGTAAAATAAGCCCCAACTTCGAATAAGCCCCAACTTCGAATAAGCCCTCCCTTTAATAAGCCCCTACCCTAGACTTTGGGAAAGTTTACCTCTACCCTAAAGAAATTTTTGTAAAATAAGCCCCTACCCCCGAATAAGCCCCCATAGATTGAGGTATTGCCTTGAAAACAATAGGTATATCCCAATATATCTACATTTTAAACTATTTTAAACCATTTTAAACTGGTAACATTCTTGGCTGCTGCTAAATAAGCCCCACCCCAATTTTTTGCGAAATAAGCCCCCTAGAACTTATTCGAGGACAGACGTTTTATGGAACATTTTATCTAGAAACAAAGCTTGCTGATTCTCACGTTTGCACTTTAGTTTGGCCACTAACTGTTTGTGCGTGGTCTCCTTTCTCTTTATGAGGTGGTCCTAATGATGGAACAAGCGAACACTGGAGTGAACCAGAACAACGCCATGATCATCTGCAGCTTGTATGACTACAGGATCAGCATTTGAGCCTGCTGGGCTGCATATGTATTCAACGCCACTCTAAAAGAAACGATCCGCATTATCAACTAAAGAGCTTTAGAATAAGTTGGGAAGTTGCGACATCCCTTGGTTGGTTGGAAAATTTTCAATATTTTAAGAGATTGAATCTAAAAAAATGCCGAGATTTATGATTATTGCTGGAGAGAGGGGCCACTTGAAATTAAAGGAATCTCTTAAAATTTAAAAGCAGTTTATCTGCTTTTCTTTAGTCTTGCTTAGAAAGACATCAACTTTAGGGGCATTTGAATTAAAGTGGGTGAACATAAAATCAAAGCAACCCATAGATATGTTAAAAAGCACAGTATTAGATGATGCTCTTCTTGGCAAAAGGGAAAATAGAAACTTTGTATTGAAGGTAGGTCAAGTTGTCTTCCATAAAGGTGAATAGTAAATTGGAACGCAAATCATTGCATTGCAAAAATTGTTGAAACAAAAACGGAAATTTGGCAAAGCGTCTACATTATCTAATGGCCTTAAAACTAGTTTCGCATGGTAAATTTTTTAAAGGTTTTTTCAACAGGATACAAACTACCAAAGAATATCAACCTGGACAGCTCGATCCACACTGTCTCTAAACGGGAAAAATGCATCGGAGCTCAACGCCACACCTTTGAGCTTCTTGAGCCAATCTTTTCTTTCCTCCTGGGATGAAATGGATATAGAATTTTGCATTTATGCGCAGAATTATTACTGACTGCATGAATAATTATGCATTAACTGCAGGAATAATTATGCATGGTAGCTTATCAAAATTATCATAATTTTTTACTTCGAAAGGCCTGAAGCATAAAGTAAAATGTTAAAATATACAAGTCGACAAATCAAGGCAAACCTGAGTTAACTGCTCGGGTATAACTTCAAAGGCAGACTCCCAAGTTTCTTTGTCCATGTCCTAAAATTAGGATGCATTAGCTCAAAAGAGACACCACTCAACACATTAGCTCGAATTTACTTGTCATAAAATCAAGATCACACAAGAAAACTTTGATTAAATCAATGGCTTGGTTCTATCACATTCCATGTGTCTCAGAATACCAATCTACCATAGATGTACATTAATAACAAGTTTACACTGATTATTAATCAAGGTTGAATACCAATCTCAGGGCATAAGTTACAGGACTAGGAGTTTCACCTACCTGACCTACAGTTCCGCAAACGTACGTGTCAATGAGGTTCGAAATCTCTGCTCTTTTGGTGCCCTGTTGAGAATCGATTAAAAAAAAGCAATTCAATTCACCTCTCAACACATTAGCACCAATTCAATTCTTAAACTTGAATTTCAGCAGATAAGGAATAGAAAGAACTTTTGACAATATCAGCATCAAATACATCAGTCGAAAGTTTCGACACATCACAACCCAGACCTGTGCAATCTTGCCAGTTACGGTATACATGGTGCAAAAAAGCCTTTTCCGCTTAAGTCTATTTTTGTTTTAATAATCCTAATTTTAGTGGTTCTGTTAAATAAAATAATCGAAATCTTCATATAAAGTGTCAAATTGATTCATATTATTCTAACTTTTATCACCTGCGCTGTGCACCAAGGGGACACCTATACTTACTATATTCTACTTCTTACAGTATTGCTTAGTATTCACTTTTCTTTTACTAATATACTGAACTTCATTTTTTAACTGGGTGCATGTAAGTTTGCTCGCTGTATTTGCTTTGCCTATATCTGTCAGAAGAAATTATAGGTATCTCCCGACTTTTTTGCCTTTTGGATCACGACATTTATTGCTATGTCCTTCCTTAAATTTGGATAAATTGTGACAATGCTTCAGTTGTGATAATGCTTGAAAATCTGAGATTTTTCCAATGTACCAAGCTAGGGATGTTAAATTTGTACTTTTTAACCTATTAGCGAGGTTTACGTATTTTTTACTTACAATGCAAAATTGACCATTTAAATATTGTTCTTTACATTTAAATAACCTCGACTGCCCAAGCTCAAGGACTAATTACTAACCTTTTTGAATTTCATGTTGATGACTTTTTCGTGTTGGCGGAGCCACCTGAATCAAAGACGAAAGGATTATCATTCAGTTTAATTTCTAGTGTGAAGAAAAGATCGAATAATGAAAAGCCAAAATTGTAGAAATGCAGTAGACATACCAGTTATTTGCCTTTTCTCCTGCTAATCGGACACAATGAATCCGTGATTGTTGCCCGGCCCCAACTCCAATTATCTACGAGAAGACAAAAACATGTTGCAGTCACGTTACCCTCTACTATGTGGTGCACCTTTGCTAGGTGGAGAATGATGTATTGAAAGAGCACGCTAAACTTTCATGCATCCTGTTTAATCGTACATGCTAAATGCTTTAATGATAACCTAAACAACCACTTCAATACAAGATTCACATGCCTAGAAAAGATGGTGCCCCATCCAGAAAAGTATGCCAATGTTTTATTGACAATTCCGGAGCTCCTAGAAAGTGACATATCTGTGAACAGGTAAAGATCTGCTAAGAATGGTCGCAAAACATAGAGTTGAGACCAATATGGCGTCTACACATCAAGATTACCTCAGCTAATAAATGTCACAATTATTCTATTTGACAGATTCCGTCATACGGGAGCAATCGGATCACTTAGAATCCCTACCAATATAACTGAAACACGAGCACCAAACCTTAACAGTTAAACTAAATTGTATCCCTTAAACCAATTTCAATGCTGCTCAATAACAGTATTTCATGCCTTCATATCGTAAAATTTGAAGCTGCTTTATTTTGGCAAATATCGTAGGTAACAAAAACAAAAGCTACAATAAATCATGTTTCATCACAGCAATAGAAATCAAAACAACATTTGACTTGTGAGAAAGATTCAATTCATTTTGTACCTGTCCTCTTTTGGCATAACAAACAGAATTCGACTGGGTGTACTTCACGGCTATCGTTGCAACAATTAAATCTCGCATGGCTTCACTTGATATCTACAAAATTAAGATTCCGCATTTATGAAAAGATTTACTTAATAATAGGAGAATGCCTTCAATATTATCAACTATACATAGCATACCAACTAAAAAACCTATTAACAGGGCAAGCAGAAATATTCAGGCCCATAGCCAGGGGGTGCCATGGGGTGGCAATGCCACCCTGGAGAGCAAGAGAATTCCAGCTGTTTGCTATCCCGAGATTTTTGTCTCTAAATGGGGGTTTTTCGTAGGATTGCCATTGCAAATGTAGTAAAGCTAATACTGGCGGAAGGAAGAGTGTTTATTGGGGTCTTATATTATCCATTAAGTTGGTGCCTGGAGCTCAAAAAACTTTCACCGCTAAGCATAAAACTTGCAAAGAGAAATTGCTGAAACGAATGCTTGCAACAGGTCAGGGAAGTTTGCCACCCTTACTCCACAGGTCTAGCTACGGGCTTGGAATTATTTATTTGCACTAAAGACAGAAAAGCTTAAAGCCATCCATAAAAATACGACAAACACTAGAAAAATACCCACTTCTTTGTTCTTTGAAGTGACATTTTCAAACATTTTTGCATCAACAACAGCGTCGTTCCTTTTCTGTTCCATTTTCAGGCCGTAAAGCGTTCGCAATTCCATTTCACATGGTTCGTAATCTGGATCCATCTGAATGACAAAATATCACTAGTTTTAACTGTAATATCTAGAGTATTGTCTACACTTTTTGCTTACTTGAATGACAGTCCAGCTACAGCTAAGAAGCACAGGATATCCTGTATATTTGTGCTTAAAACCTTGTTAAACGATACATTTGAACTATACATAAAGTAGCAAGTTATCCTCTAAATAATTTTGAAAATTAAGGCCACTGAAAATTAAAGATAGCAAATCTATATTTTTGGTCTACCTATTTTGCTCAACAGTCTTTTATTATATTTTCCTCGTCTTTCCTATTAAAGACCTAAATACGAGACTTAAATTTTGCACTGTTTATTACAAGGGCAGTTATCACCACAAAATTTCTAGAACCACCAGAGCCAACAAAAGGCAAAATAAAGGATGTCCTCTATTGAGCACCAAACATTAAAATTCGACAAGCAATATTTGTTAGTTAATTTTTTGGAGTTACAGTTTATTGAAATTGAACAGTTTATTGAAATCAAAAACGATTTGGGACCCTAACATTTCTTCGCTTTAAACGGAACTTTACCATTTACTTTTAGGTAGAATTGACCACAAAAACGTTTACGAAACGACAGAGCAAAATTGGCTATCTAAAGCAAGGCAAATCAGGTCTGTACCTGCAGTATGCAGTAGTTTCCTCCTTTCTTCTTCTTCAAGATCTCTAAAGCTGCTGGCTCGTATCCTGGAGCGATTATGCCATCAGATACCTACGGCAATCAAAATAATTTCACAGTTCACAGTATCGTGATCATGTCTAGCATAACATAAAAAGCAGTCCATAACACAAGAATTTGTTCAAGAATAACGGTTTGGAGAAGGTTGGGGTTAGTGCGTTGCTAATAGAGGCTTACAGAAATTATGGGTTTGAGGGGAATTTAGCAAAGCTGAGTTACGTTTAATGATCAAAATTATATTACCAAAACCCCCTTTCATATATATATATATATATCTCAAATTTCGAAAACCATTTAATTTTGTAAACAAAAAAATACTCTTCATCTACAAATCTACACTTTAACAATCACAAATCCAAAAGTTTTATCACCCACATATGATTTGGGCTTTAATGAAAAGGCATAACCAGATTTGAATTAACTCAATTTACTGTCAATATTTGGTAATTTGGCAGCCAAAATATATGGTATGATTTTACAATCCATGAAAGAAAATATGTTTACAATGACAACAAATAAAAACTGAATGAAATAACTTGTAACTGCTAACTTTTATCCCCCTACACCAAACTCAGTTGAAAACATATAAACTCCGTATGCACTCAACAAATTCTATGCGAACCCTTACTTAGATTAATAAAAATAAAAATGAATTATAACAAATAAAAACAAATTAAAAATAGTCCAAACTGTACAGTCGCTTTTGCAGATCCGTACTTATTTGGATTCGCTATCAAGAATCACAGATTAGAACTCCTCAAACTATAAGAATCATCTCAAAGCCTTTTTCTAACTAAGGTTGAAGCTATGAATTTATTCAGTTCTTACTTCCCGAGATATGATTTTTGCCGTTGGCACATCACATTCATCAGATAATGCAACAAAATCACCGAAAGATGACATCCTGTCGGCCCCGCGAGCTCTCGCGTAAGCGTTGGCAAGAGGAGTTAGCTGACCAATCAAATCGTCGACCATGCAGAGCTTTGCTTCGTCATTTGTCAGCTCTACACCAACTGCAGCACCTAGAGATAAGCAAAAACAAAATTCAAACCATCTTCCGTATAGGGGATGCGAGCTACAAATAAGTCGCAATTCTATAAAATATTCTTAAAATGATCTTAGTAGGAAATAACAACAGTAAGAGGTAAAAGGTGACACAACTTACAAAATGACTTCAGAACGTGAAAAATGACTTACAAGGACCAAACCAGGGGGAGTAAAAGCTTGTGACTACCCTAACAACACGACATATAAGACAAACAACTTAATCACAAAAATTTCAACTACAAAAAGGTACTGAAAGTCCTAGAGCCAGTTTCAATTTTGCTTTCGGCCTAGCATAGGTGACAATGCTGAACATCAAAAACCCTAGACAAGAGAACAACAACAGCAACTGCTCCTTCCACGAATCCCTGTTCCAAGCCCCCACTCCTCAAGGCACCACACCAACGGTAAGGTTCCCAAAGATATATCTATATTACCAATTTTGATTTTTTAAACGGCATAATTCATCAACATGAAAACACTCTTGCACTAATTTGAATCCTCTTTTAACAGCCTTTAAACGGAAAATATCAAATTAGATAAAAATATTCATGGAACTTCACAATATCATCTCAATAGCCCACCACCGTTGATTTAGCAAATAAAACAATTTAGCACATTTTTCTTCACGTGAATGCATGGACGAATTAGACGAATAGATATTGAATGGATAGTTACCTGCAGGACTCACGTGTTTGAACGACGTAGCGGATGGAATACCTAATGCATTTTTTAGTTCCTGAAATGGTTTTGTTACGTTATCAATTTCTAGTTTACAAATGGTCTTCCGCAAGCTTAAAAGTTGCAAGATCTAACAACGTAAAAAGGAACCAGTATACCGTAAGGTCTGCTCATTCGGTGTTTTCGGTGAAACTTTTCTTCGATTTACAGCATATCGTTAACATAACGTACAACATGCTTCAAGGCCTCGGCTTTATGCCCACGAAACCGAGGTTTAGGCTTGATAAGGTCTTCGTTTATAAAGTATTAGGCGATTGACCTTTTTGAGAATTAAAATTTAACAAGGCGTTTCATCGTAACAAGAACTTTGATAAAAATATTTCAAATAGATTGAAAACATGAAATTGAGAATTAAAGAATGTAGAGAAAACAGTTGCACAGGAGAATAATCTAAAAGAACCAAATGGCTTAAAGAACCGAACTTCATAAAAAAAGAAACCGAACTTCAGGAAGAAATGAAAATACCTTGACAAGCTGCCACCCGTTCAATGCATCGCACAAATTAATAAATCCAGGCGAACCATTCACAACCTTAATAGGCAACTGTGACTGTAATGAAAATATCTGGGCTGGCTTCTGGTGGGGGTTCATTCCATACCGCAATGAAAGCTGGGATATCCCAGATGAATACTGCCGCCGGAAGTAATTTGAAATGGCTTCATCATATTGAGCCGTATGCGTGAAAGCCTGGAGAAAAAACAGAGTTTAGGTGCTTGCGGTTCCTCGATAGCTCTGTAAAACAAGAAAGGTAATTCATTTTTATGGCAGTGAGATTTATATCTTGCTAGTTGCTACAATGTTCCGTATCCCGATAATCTATGAAAAAGAAGGCATCATCGAATAAATTTTGATTTGAAAAAAATGGGAACCTACGTTAAATGAAAATCCATGTTGTCTGTGAACTAACTGCTTAAACGTTTAGGGCTAAAGTCCAGTGCAACTCAATGGAAAGTATTTAATTCAAATCATCGACCAAAATAAATTGCAATCAAAAATACCTTTAGAGCAAGGTATTTCCGCGTTTCAAGGGTTGTGTCGCGCGTTTCTGATTTGGCCATCTCATCCAGTACCCTAACAGCAAAAACATATAAAAGCAATAAATCCACTTGGCTCTAAAAAAGGTCTAGGGGTTATTTTAACGTGGTTTTGTTACCGTTTTGTGGTGTTGTAAATTTGATTTGTGGTGTTGTGATTTAAATTTGGTGGTGTTGTAAAAAACCTGACCCACTGGAGAAATTTTTCGCAAGATATAAGGAATCGTTTGGTAAAACTATAAGAATTTCAAATCAAAACAAAAAATTACCACAACAGAAGAATTACACTATTTTTATATAAGAACCAGTAAATTTAAGTTCAGGCTGACTGTTCTTAATTTTTTCGAAAATCTGAGGCTGGATTGTTCTTAATTTGTTCTTAAATTAAGAGGGTGTAAGCAGTGCTATTGCTAGCTTTTTGGCTCTAAAGAGGTGTTCAGGCCTCATTTGCCAACAAAGTGAGTGAGACAGCCTTAATTTGCTGACAAATTTGAATATTCACCGAAAAAGCACCCACACATCGCTAAAAATCCTCGATTTTGAGAAAAAACGTTGTTCAAAATTGCATTTTGCAGAAGCTCAGCCTTAGCTTGTTCTTATTTTGTTTTCAACTTTTGACCAGTTTTGAGGCTCGTGTTCTTATAAAATTGTTCTTATAAAAAAGGGTGTATAGTAAATAATCAGCGGGGACGGATTTTAGCAACAATGATTGGGTGTTAGACACTTATTGGATTTCTGTGCCACACCCTTCAGGTCACTGATAAATGATTGAAACGTCCATTTTAAAACGTCCATCAGGAGTTATTCAAAAGTAAGAGCAAGGGCATCAAAATTATCACAAGCAGTTATAATGGCAAGCAGGACCGCCGAGAGGTTTCGGAGGCCATGGGGCAAAACTAAAAGACGACGCCCCCTGCGAGCGAAGCAAGCAGAAAATTTTTGCGACCACGCACAACAAACAACCTCAACAGTCATGTGCTCGCGTTTCTGATTGGCCTATTTCGATCCACAACTGGGCATATATATTTTCTAGCGTAGAGTTTTCAATCTATGTTTTGACGCTTTATACTCCGACGAGTGTCAGATGAAAAGCCTTAGTCAACCCAAATGTTTCCTTTTTTCAAAGCCATACAAAAGATTAGCTTAAACTACATTTCAGAATATTTCTCGTAGACATTTTTTGCAATCGTTTAAAAGGATTAACCATTTTAAGGCTTACATTTTTCAAGGTTGATTAAGTTCATTCTTAAATTGGGATTCATTTCCCTGGGCCTATTTGCCCTCCTGACCCCTTTTCGGCTGCCCTGAAGCCCTGTGTCATACTAGTATAGGGTTTGCCAGACGTTAGTAACTCAAGAGATACTTACATAGAATAATCTGCAGGATCACAGATTACAGTAACCCTTGCATGGTTTTTTGCTGCTGCTCTCAAAAGAGTTACTCCCCCTAAACATAAATAAACAGTAAAACATCAGAAACCACATGAACAAGAAGAAATAAATTTGTTGATAAATAACCAGGTTTTTCAGGAAAATTTAATCCTTGATAAAAAATACGTTTGCAATGCAAGAAATTATTGTTCACTTTTGTTTCTTCAATATAATTTCAAATGCATAAACAAAAAAATCAAATTTTTCATAGGGTTTCCTTTGCAAAAAGAGTGCCCTGTGCTTTCTGGCTTAAGGAGCCTTGCCTATTCTTGAGATAAGTACCATGCCTTTGAAAACTATAAAAAACAACTTTTAACTTACCAATGTCGATATTTTCAACAGCATCGTCAATGGTAACTCCTTCTTTGCCAATAGTGTTGACAAATGGGTACAAGTTGCAAACAACGAATCTAAAGACCAACAGTAAACTTTTTATGATTGAGACAGACAAAAAAATGATTGAAACTAGGAAGGAGTTTCAAGAAGCAAGAAGCCCTTTTCCAAGCTTGAAATTTGATATTCAAAATTTCCGACTGACAGAACAATGACAATTGTTTGCCTCTCTAGCCCTTAAACTATTTCCAATTCTATTTTTCTTTCAATGTTGCAAGGTTTGAAAAGTGGGCTTGAACCACTAAGTGACTGCCCGTGACTCTTGAGCCAGTAGCTTCAACAGTTGTCTAATAATTGCATCAAGTTGAAACTCTGAGTTGCCACATCTATTCTTATTCTATATACCAAATAGTGTATAAAAACTTATAACTTTTGTAACAAAGTGTTTGCCATGCCAATCTATCAGGAAAATCCCATACCTAACAAGACTAAAATCCTGTTTCTTCATATCTGCACTGTCCTGATCTGTATTTCTTGCTAGAATTCCTTCAAACATAAACAATATGTTCTATCATTCATAAACTTGATAATGATACAGACGTACATACAAAACAATGTGTAACCATAAGATTAGCCTGCTTCATTATTGCTATGATCTAGTCTCTTTGTTCAGATGGTTATTATTTAACTCATTTGTTTGAAGTTCAAATTGTATGGACAAATTACACTAAATATGACAATTTATGCAAAAAGATTACTTTCCTACAGGGCAGAAATAGGACACAAACTGGAACTTTAAAAAATCGATATTTGCGGGGCCAAGGAGGCAACTTAGACCAACAATAGACATCAGATTCAAAATTAGTCAGATTTGAGAGAAAATTCTGATGAAAAGGTTCTGAAAAAGGCTTTCACTGAAATTTGATATGCCACAAATAAAATTTGCCCAAAATTTGACTCATCCACCCTCTCTTGAATTTGACCACCCCATAGTGCTAAAGGGACATTGAAATTGTGTCCCGTTCATGCTAGTCATGTTTTTGTTTTTGTTTCAGGTAATGCAATGCATATTGCTGGCAATACCTTGTATCATAAAGTGCTGTTATAAATCTAGCTCTTTATTAAAGAAAAACCTTGCATGGGTGAAAAGCAAGACATTAATTCAATTTTGCACAATTTAGACTTAGACTCTTTTACTACAGGGTCTTTACAAAAGCTACAGGGGCTTCAAGAAGGAGATATTTAACAACAGGCAAGGAATGCCTGTATAAGGATTGCAAACAACTAGGAAACTGTATTTCAAAACATTGTTTTTCTTGCCACTGACCTGCATGGACAGCTGGATGTAGTGTTTTTACTCTACCTCCAAGCATTTCAGGAGCACCAGTCATTTCAGACACATCCCTTGAAAGATGAAATAAACCAACATATTAGTAAAAATGTAGGGGCCTGAGAGCTGGACGGCCTTAGGTTCTAACAAATAATTTCATTTAAACAAGCATAGGGGGGAAAATTGATTGGTAACCTGGTAAAATGTCTAACAAATGAGACTCAATTTTATTTCATCAAACAGGATTTTTCTGTAAAAATATTATCAGTATTGCATTTGACCCTTACTATTTTGTTAAACACTGTGCTGTGACAAGCCCGGTGAAAACCATCCCTGTTGAGGAATTTCTTCACATAAGAGTTACCTTTAAAAAAACAAATTACTTTGGGCATCTTTTCATTTCCCCACATCCTCTGCAAGCTGAAACTTTGTTTACAAGTCAGAGTTAAGTTCCCTCTTTGGCACAACAACCTATCCCCTGTGAGCATAGACAGTGCCAGGTGGGGGGCTGGGAGGCTCCAGCCTTTAAGCAGAAAAGTGTTTTTAAGAGAATAAAAATAGAAAAATTGAAATAGAAGAAGAGAATAATGTGATAAATCCTTTTACAGCATGGCTTTATTTTGAAGAAAGCTGGGGTCTATGGTGCCCCATAATGTAATAAATTCCATTATAAGACTGGAATTAGTCAAACGTAAAAAACCATGCCTTAAAAATAGCAAAATGTTTACAAAAAAGGACCGCAAGGAAAATTCTGAAATGTATTTTTTAAGCTAGGCTAAAGGGTGTGGTTGCAAAAATTTTCTGCTCGCTACGCTCACAAGGAAGCATCCTCTTTGGATCTACCCAGGGCCCCTGACAACGTCTCGTCTGCCTTCCAATCAATGTACTGCTAGCATATCGAATGCCTCATAAAATCATAGGCACAAAATACCGTGAAGCATTTCAGCGTGTTTTTCAAAGTTGTTTTTTTAGTTTAATAATGTTATCAACTTGAGCCCCCTCACTTTGAATTTCTTGGCGCCGCCCCTGGTTAGTCAAACTTAATCATTGGTGCTTCTGCTTTGGCTTGTAGAGCTTGTTACATAAGGGTGTTGTTAACCACCCAAACTAGAAAAGTCCATACATTTCTTGGGTTATGCAGATACAGTATAATCAAATCTTTTTTAAATAAAATTGAATTGAAGATTTATGTTCAAAATGCAAATTTATAGAAATTAATATTAGGGGAGGGGCACAGTGGAGTGGACAAGCAAGCATATGTTTTCATATACATAATAGTAAATCTTTAACATAAATGCAAGTTAATTGGGTGTGGTTATGGGTGTGGCACCATCTAGAAGTTGCTAACAGCAACCCTCCTCCTAACACTTTAAGATGGCACCTGTGCACAGGGCAAACTTTAACATGAGACATTGCCTACTGCTGAGCATATTGAGGGATTCCAAGTATTATGTGTCCTTATGCATGTTACTTGAATATTAATAAATTGTTACAGTGAGGACAGCATCTAAGTTGTGAAAAATAGATAGAAAGCAGGTAATTATATTTGGAGTTTGATATCACCTCACATCAACACCTGATGACCTTACAACTTTAGCAGTGCCTCCAGATGCTACTAGGTCTAGGCCAAAATCTTTGAGTTTTCTTGCAAAACTTTCAAGTCCAGATTTGTCTGATACACTGAGGATTGCTGTGAAACAAAATAGTTGATTGAGAAAACCACACAAACTACTGCAAGATAAGAAGTTGTTAGACCCTTGAAATTCATATTTGATCAAGGACCTTAGAGCATATTATAGATTGAGGGGGCTAAAAAGTTTGGGGGGGGCTAAATATGTGAAAAATGAAGAGCGAGGCAATTTTTGCAAGGTTTTAGGTACTTTCTTGAAATTATTGGTTCCTCTAAATAACACAATCCTGCATTCCTACCAGTGTATCTGGGCATGCAAGTTCATTAACTGAAAATCTTATGGTTATGGCTCTCCTGGTTAGTTTTATTATTCAGATTTCCCGGAAGGATTGTAGAGTGGCTGTGTTTTCTTAGGATGGGCCCAGACTGAAAATGCTTTCTTTCTGCAGGGAATGCTGGAGCATTAAACTTCAAACTTGCAGATAACAAAGATTTTGTGAGAAATAATGCGCAAAAATGGTAGCAAAGGTTCTTGAATAGATCTTGTGCTCTTTGTTTTTCCTTGTTACCAGAGACCAGAAGTTTAAATGAATAGATAGTAGAGAGAAACATGACCAGATAAATTCCAGGGCTTTCATTTGCGGTGTGCGATAGCGCATTTGTGCAGGCATGAACCTGCTGTTTTTCTTTGGGAGGGATAAATTGAGCATTCAGTAAAAAAAATTTTTCTTGAAGAGTGAGTGTTTACTGGATACTGATAGGTCAATCCACTTGAGAAACAATTTACATTTCTTTTTCTTTGTTTTCCTTATATACATACTATAATAATCAGGCCTTGCCCGGAAAGGCGCTCGATCGAGCGCGCGCGCCTAGAGCGCACCCAAAAAAAGCCTTGGAGAGCGATTTATAGAGCCCCTCAAAACGTAAAAACAATATTAACGCGGAGCAAAATAAATTTTTGGAATTTATTAAATCAACTTGATCAAGCATAAACAATCTTCCCAACAGACCGCAATATTATGATTTGCGTAAGATTACCCCTTGAGAAAAAATTCAGCAAATTCAGCGTTGGGTTTTCGATATCATTTTTGCTAGATGAACTGAAAACCCTCTAATAACCATCAAGGATACAGGCCATCAAGCAAGCGTATTCTCCGGCAGATTTATTTGATTTACGAGCAAGCGTTTATCTTCTATTGAAGTATATATTATTTTCTATTTTTTCAATAACTTAAAATCGCCTCTGCAAATCAGCGATCACGTTTCCGTCCAAATTATCGCATTGCTTTTCATTTTTAATTTGCTTTTGCGAGTGGTAGATGTTCTAGCGTTTCTTATAGAATGGATAACATGAAAAAAGGAACAAAGTTAAATGTTCGATTTAAAGCCATGCGTTTTGATGAAGCAATATGTGAAGCTGAACATAACAGTAGTGATACTGACACTGATAAAAGCTCATCGAATGATGGCAAGTTACATATCTAGAAAAATCTGAACAATTTTGCGACTTTGTTTTATTTTATTTCTATATTTATATTAACATAGTGTTTGTTGCATATTTTGTTATTTGGTATTATGGTGCTTTGTGGTATCACCGCTGAATTTCATATTTAACATTCTTCCGAAGCTTTCGATTTGAAGCTCTCAATCTCCTAAAGCTCTCGAAGGATGCTCTCAAGGACATTTACTTAGAGGTGCGAAATAGAGCGCCTAGAGTTTCTAAGGGGCTCTTTTTATGGAGCACCCTCATTTTACTTAGAGCAAGGCCTGTTAATAATTACAATTTATACGCTTGTTCATTTTTACAATTCCTTATTATGCTGTTGTTACCATTCCTAATCTTCAATTCACTTAGTTAGCAATGCTTAAAAGGCAGGACCCTTAGCTCGATAGCCTTTTTTGGAGTTTTTTCTAAGGGTCCTAAGCAACGAGTTAAAATGATAAATGAAGTTATTGCATTACTGTTTTTGTTAGCAATTATTGTCATTAATTAAGATTTAGAATTTTAATGTAGTCTATTCACATATTTGTATTTAAACTTTAAGTTGTATTTCTTGTAGCTTGAAATGAAAATTAATTTGAATTTTTCGAAACAGAAAATTCAACATCGAATCCCTGTTTCCACTACTTGGCTTTCGTATGTCTCTAGTTTCTGATCATTGCATTTCTATATTTTTTCAAGGCGTTCCCTGCCAACACAGTTTTGGTCAAAAGAAAAACGAAGGTGTTCCCATTAGTATTTTCTGTCCGTTTTCATATCCTTTGTTCAAACTTGTTTTGAAACAGAAGATGAACAAATTTGCTATTAAATTACTCTTTTTTTTGCATTTCTCATTAAATTAACCCATTCTAAAATGCTTCCATTTTCCAATGACTTCATTTTTGCCATTCAAATTAAAATGATTTGTTTGCAAATTACTCTGTTTTCAATTGATAACTTTGAATATGGTTATCAATAGACTTCGTTTTTAAGAGTATTAATAGGAACGAGAAATTAAAAACAGTTTCATTCAGCCCTGTTTTATCTTCAATTGTGAACTCCTTAAGGCTATACAACCAATCTGGACCATTTACCCAAGGAGCATTAAAAAAAGGAAAATTTATTCAGGAGTAGGATCAATACCATTTCCACCCAGCACTCTGTTTTTATGTGAAAACAGATAAATTGCTCACTAACGATAATTCAAAATCATTTGTGGACATGGCTCATTTTGGAATAAAGATGAGTGGGAAAATATCAGTGAGACAGCTGGGGATAAATATCTCAAAACGAAAAGGAGAATTCAAACAAATCATCAAAAATGAAATTGAATTTCCATCTAGGTTTGATTCATCAGAGTCAGAGGGTGATGATAAAATCTACAAACTTGGCCTCGTTGAGGGGAACATGAAAAAACTATACATTTTTAAAGTATTAGTTCATTTTCAAAGCTTTTTTATGTTTAGTGTTTCAATAGAAAGAGCTTATACACACTAAACTTCTATCAAGCAAGTTTTCAGTTGTGCATGTTAATTTCTGAATGTATGTAAAAGCATTTTTGTATGTAAAAGCAGGTTTTGACACTTTTTGTGTCAAACATAAAAAAATGGGAAATCCCATTAGATCTGAGTCTTGAAATCATACATGTCATATATGAATAATTTTGCTACAATTTCTTTTCTGTCCGACCCTATGTCTGAATATCGATGAAGAGCAGAGCCGAAAGACTTCCAAAACCGAAAGATTTTTAAGGAGCTTTAAGGATGGGGTATTAAACTTTCACCTTATTAAAAACTATTAAAAAATGCCCTTAATGCTGATTTGATGCTGTCATTAGGTTTAAGGCTAATGTAATCGTTCTACAATGGCGAGATTAACTCATGAAAAGAGGTCTGAAAATAAAATTTCATAACTTATTTAATGCTAGGTTTTAAAATTGCCTTTCCCTCCGTACGGCCGTGCACGGTTTGAGAACAACAACCAAACCAAAAAGTGATGCAGGGGTGAGAGTCACTTCCAGTAAGGTCATTATCCTCTTTGACAGGGTCTCTAACATTTCAACCATGTAACATTAATAGATATGAAAGAACAATTTTTTATGAATTACAGACTCTGACTTACCGAGGTCAACGTTTGCAGCCATTTTGTTAACTTTTCTTCGCGCATCTAGCCCTCAAACACGTGCTCAAAAAAGTTTGGAATCATGCCAATCTTAGAAGAGCCTCTACTCTAATTAATGAAACCGAGGTCGTAAATTTCGCGCCAAAAAGGGCGGTGCTGAAAATATTTTTTGTTAGAGAAATATACCAAACCAATAACAATTATAAATTCTTGAAGAACTTATTAATCAAAATGCATAGAATGACAATCACCATTTTAGATTTTCTGATGGGCTTATATTACAGTAAAGTTTATATGCTCGTTTTATTGCAAAATTAGTAATGCATTTTTAAAAATTTGTTGAATAAATTCTCTATGTATAAAGATTAGAATAACGTATTTAAAATTTTCTTTCGATTAGCTGCAAAATGTAACAGACGGGGATTTGATGGATATGAAATTTTAGCTCCCCTCGGCTGTTAAATTAAAGTTGTCCAAAATCCGTAAAACCGAATAAAACAAAGGCTTCAACTCTCCCGATTTGGACGGGAATCTCCCGTTCTCACTATTCCAACCCAACCTTCCGCCTTCGGGAAATTTTTCTATAATCCCATTTTGAAAACATGTTTAGCAAATAAAGAAGACCTATATTATTGTATGTAAACTTTGTCACCGTATCTACAGTATCCAACTCTGACGTTTAAACCATAGCTGGAGAAATGTACCCTGTCCTTTGATTCAAACGTTTCAATTACCGTGAGCAAGGGAAAATTTGTTAATGAGATGGTTTGTTTACACCTTGGCCATAAAACCAGTACTGGCCAGTTTTATTTCGATAAATTTACAAAAAAATGGTTCACTTAGCCATAAAAATCATCATCAAATTGTCAGTGTTTAAATTAATGCATTCTAATAATTTTGTAATCTCAATCTTCATTATAGCTGATGCTTTTTACATTTCTATGGAAACTCGACTCCTATTAAATAAGACTTTCCCTTGAAGTGCCTATGCAGCGAAATTCTATGTCCTGCTTTTTTTAAGAGTTATATTTTCCCATCTTTTCTGTTACGTTTGACACCAAAATTGTCATGATTTGACCAGCTAAAGTGTGTTTAATCAGAGTTTGAAATTAGGTAATACTTGCGAAAACCAAGGCCAGTTTGTGACGTTACAGTGATGAGTCGGGTCGACAGCAATCAGGAAACTGCTGTTGTACAGAATAGGTTTTAGTGAGGTAGAAAAGCAGAAGAATTGTGCAAATTGTGATACAAGCACCAAAATTTCAGAAAACTCCAAGTTTGATACGCTGAAAAAGATTTGATATAGACCCAAATTACATCTAGCCCATAAGATCTATCTTTAGACTGGGGTACTCCGGTCAATCCCCCTAATTGTACCTTTGGTCATAAACGGAGAATGCCATGTAATAGAAAGTTGAAATTCACAATAAAAAGACAGTTTAACAAGACAGAAAAGATGCGATAAAGACCCAATTCATAATTCATATCTTGCACTCTGAAAATAGAAAAAGGGGGCAATTCTCAGTCGGGATTCATACCCTATCTTTTTGAGCGTATCAAACTGCCTCTTATTGCAATGTTTCATGCTATTCTACCAAAGTGAGACTTGGATACGATAAGACCGTCAATAAAGGTCTAGGGCAAAGTACCCCAGTCTAAAAATGAAACAAGAGGGCAATTTTCAGTCGGGGTCCATACCTCATCTTTTTGAGCGTATCAAACTGCCCCTTATTGCAAAGTTTCATGCTATTCCACCAAAGTGAGACTTAGATACGATAAGATCGTCAATAAAGGTCTAGGGCAAAGTACCCCAGTCTAAAAATAAAACAAGGGGACAATTTTCAGTCGGGGTCCATACCCTATCTTTTTAAGCATATCAAACTGCCCCTTATTGCAAAGTTTCATGCTATTCCACCAAAGTGAGACTTAGATACGATAAGACCGTCAATAAAGGTCTAGGGCAAAGTACCCCAGTCTAAAAATAAAACAAGGGGAGAATTTTCAGTCGGGGTCCATACCCTATCTTTTTAAGCATATCAAACTGGTCCTTATTGCAAAGTTTCATGCTATTCCACCAAAGTGAGACTTAGATACGATAAGACCGTCAATAAAGGTCTAGGGCAAAGTACCCCAGTCTAAAAATAAAACAAGGGGACAATTTTCAGTCGGGGTCCATACCCTATCTTTTTAAGCATATCAAACTGCCCCTTATTGCAAAGTTTCATGCTATTCCACCAAAGTGAGACTTAGATACGATAAGACCGTCAATAAAGGTCTAGGGCAAAGTACCCCAGTCTAAAAATAAAACAAGGGGGCACTTTTCAGTCGAGGTCCATACCCTATCTTTTTAAGCATATCAAACTGCCCCTTATTGTAATGTTTCGTGCTATTCTACCAAAGTGAGATTTAGATACGATAAGACCGTCAATAAAGGTCTAGGGCAAAGTACCCCAGTCTAAAAATGAAACAAGAGGGCAATTTTCAGTCGGGGTCCATACCTCATCTTTTTGAGCGTATCAAACTGCCCCTTATTGCAAAGTTTCATGCTATTCCACCAAAGTGAGACTTAGATACGATAAGATCGTCAATAAAGGTCTAGGGCAAAGTACCCCAGTCTAAAAATAAAACAAGGGGACAATTTTCAGTCGGGGTCCATACCCTATCTTTTTAAGCATATCAAACTGCTCCTTATTGCAAAGTTTTATGCTATTCTACCAAAGTGAGACTGAGATGCGATAAAACCTTCAATAAAGGTCTGGAGCAAAGTACCCCAGTCTAAAAATAAAACAAGGGGGCACTTTTCAGTTGGGGTCCTTATCCTATCTTTTTCAGCGTATCAAACTGCCCATTCTTGCAAAGTTTCATGCTAGTATCACAATTCGACCCAATAAGTGATTTAACAGGCCTGACTAAATGCTTTCACCCTGACTTATCACTGTGACGTCACAGCGGGAAATAAAATATCGCAATGCAACTGCAAAATATGCATGCTTTGACAGTCAATAAAAAAAGAACCATTTAACTTATCGGAATTCTGTTTTTTGTATAAGAACAAGGGCGAAGGATTCTATAGATTTCTTTTAAAATATTGGAATGGTAAATTTCGTTGCATAGGCACTTTTAAATACTTCATTCAATGTAGCAAGATATAAATTTGATATACTAAAGATCTATGGGAAAAAGTTTTACTTTATTTTTCAAGTTCACCACCTAATCACGTTTTTAAGGTAACTCTTTTTCAAGAACTTGTTTTTGTGGAGTTTTTTGCAAATTTTGAGGTTTTTTTTTATGGATGGACCAAATTCGAATATTCAAAGGAAATTTATAAAAAAACTCCCAAATTTAAAAATTCTTAGGTTGGAAAGTCTGATAAAATCAGACAGAGCAAGCATTCTCAAGCAAATTTACAAGAGGCAAGTCGGATTTTAAGTGAAGCTACAATTCACTGAAAAACCATTGGAAAAGACGCAGACCACATGTAGAAAAATACACAGACCACATGTAGAAATAGGGTTTGGGCTGTGAAGTGCAAATCTATACATAATAGGCCTAGTTTATCTATTTATTTGTATTTGTTTTCACCTTGCGTCAGAAAGATATTTTTAGGACACTTAGAAGCTGTACTTATTGAGCAATGTCTTGGCCATTCCTCTTCATGTGACCACACCTCCTTACTTTTAGGCATGGAATTGTAGTGTCCTGGGAACTCTTCTCACTCTGGATAAAATTCAATCATGTCAGGGATTGAACCCCAGTTCCTTGGATCTTTAACCCGTGATCCTATCAACTGAACAATAATTTATGCTGTCCAAACAATTGAACCAATTTGCATCAAAGCCAGTTAATAAATTCTGAGCATTTTTCAATAACATTAACCAATATTTAAGTTTGGCATATCATGTCATTTAATAACTTTGCTTCATTAGAATAAAGTGTTCTTTGAGCCAAAAATATGAAACAACAAACCCTCTATTTATGGCTAAATATCACAAGTGACAGAAACAGAAGAAACAGCAGAAATATAAATTGAATAAAATCAGAAGTCTATAGCTTCAAAAGGAAATTGTTTTAAGTTGTCACCTACTTACATGCTTTAACTTTCAAATAGCTCAACAAGACACACACAAAGTTAAAACTAAAAAGGTCAGCTGGTTAGTAGAAAACATCATGGTTTAAATTCAAAATGTACTTTCAGTTTCAAAACTACAAATATATTACAATGCTGCTTAATAATAGTATCAATCATTACAACAGTTTTAATGTTAGTAGCCAATAGGGATTCTGCTGTTAATAGTCATCAAAGCTAAGGAAAGATACCAGTAGTAAATATATTACTCACAATGGTTAAAACATTATCCACTAATTGTTTTTTTCTTGAACTTACAATGGAATATGTACATGGAATATATATATATATATATAGATGGTATATGATCTTTTTAAAGTTGAAAAAACCAAGGCTACCCAGATTACAAGGGGGGTGTAGTTTCATTAGTAAACAAGGGTATTTCATTGAACAATTACTTTGACAAGCAAGGAATGGATTTCTGTACTACTTCCACCTCCATAAAACACCTGTTTACTATGCTGAACACATTGAAACAGAAAACATACTTCAAAGTAATAGCTAAAAGTATAAAATACAATTAAAAATAAATGTATAAACCTTTATGACTACAAAATTTATATATGTTCCTTCCTGTATGTACTTTAAATAATTTGAAAAAAAAACGTTTAGGTGCTAAGTTGTTACTTTTATATTCATGTTGTGTCAAGAGATTCAATGTTTTCCATTCTTCAACTGGACTGCTTTCAGTCATACAAATCTTAACCACATCTTTACACAATTGTAGCCAAGAAATCTAACAACAGCAAGATCAAAAGTTTCCCACTAGAACCACATTAAGCAGAATGCAACTTATTCCTAATCAGTTTTGGCTCCTTTTGATGGTCGTCCTCTTGGTCTTCTGCCACTTTTTGCCTTTTCACTTGCCAGTGGGACATCTGCAGGATCTTTAGGTCCACCTGTCCCCTTTGGACGCCCCCTTGGGCGCCCAGAGGGTACCTTCTTTTCAGTTGGAGGATATTTTCTTGGTCTTCCACGTCCTCTCTTTGGAGGACTAGTTTCTTCAACTTCCTCAACGGTGTCAACTACTGCTTCTCTCTTGCGTCTACCCCTCTTTTTTGAGGGTGAGGGTGCCTCCAATTCCTCACCATTTTCCACTTCTTCCACAACAGATTTGACATTACTTTCTTTACTCATATTTGCTAGTTGGTAAATGAAAGATACATTCTTAGCAAAGAGGTGAAATGGCAATAATTTCAAATTTGTATGCCTGGGTTTAGGAGCCCTAAGTCCACAAGATCCAGCTAGCGAAAGATAACATCCACATTAAGCCTTTGCAATGGCACAATGTTTCACTTGCAACCAAGTAAATAAAAAAAAACTAGGAGCCCAGAAAACAAGCGCAGTAAAATTTTGTGAAATCAAACCATGGCCAAAACATGCTGAACCTTCAATTCTTGTAAACAGTGCACAAACAATATTACAAAAAGTCTTTAACAGATACGCCCAAGTTATTGAAATGATAAAAACAAAAGTATTAATAACAACAAATAATAAGACATATAAATAGACAGAGAATAAAAACAAATAATTAGTAAGCAGTTTCAATTTCATCACCTATTTTTGTCTGCTAATGAAGTATTGGCTATTAGTGCACCTGGTATATTCAGGTCATCAAATTACTTTGTTATTGTCCGTAAATTTTAAAGTTATAAAAAATCCGTAAAATTTGCCTGCCATGACTATATACGAATACAAATAATACTGGGATGAACTGCAAACAAAAAATGCTGGGTGATGCAGCACAAGTTAAGTGTGCTATGTGAAAAACCAAAAAAAATGGACCAAAATGTTCTGAGTAGAAGTTGTTGCTTTATAAAGAAGCCTGCTTAAGGAATAACGTTCCTTTCAACATTTAATCTTTTTAAAGTTAGTAAACATGTATGTTTTGGTCATTTAAAAAAAATCATCACCAACTACTCAACCCATTCAACTTATAGTATTATTGCCAGCACACTGTAATAACATTCAAATTGATATTGAATGACCCTTTTCACTAGCTTCCTAGTTATAGGGCAAGGGGTATCACCCTGATATTTTTAGCTCAAATCATATGGTGTGTACCCGCCTGTTATGGCGCTGCTGCAGATTCGCACTCCTTAGCGACCATCCACCATTAATATCATTTTTCAAATCAATAACTTTTTAGATTCTTAGGCCTGTTACGGATTATCAAAGCCCTTTATTTTCCACTACCAACCAGTGCGTACGTTATGATAAGTTTCCTGGAGCCTAGGGGAACACTATGTATTGCAATGTATGCGTAAAGGGCAGAACGGCATTGTTGTGTAAATGCACGGCGCCAATGCAATGCAACGCGGCAAAGCCCGCCATTTATAGAAACTTCGGGCAAGACATGTCCGGCCCATATAACCTTTCTTCCAAACAGGTCCGACTGCATTGACAGCGCAGTAACAGCAAGAAATCAACAAAATCAAAGATGTTTCTTGTTAGACGTGCTAAGACGCACAGCGTTCAAAATCAACCAAGAAGAGGCAAAACGTTTTCAAATCTGCATCTAATTGACAATAAGCCCATTCACTCCACTATCAACCGTGTCCACGTGCAGTTGCTTGTGCCTCTTCGTGCATGGATTAGGAAGTAGAAGTTCAATACCTGTTGCCTGCAAGTTCTAAATTAAGTAATCAAAAATTGATTTACCTCTGAGGTCGTTTGTAGCTTTACTTTTTCTTCAGGTATTTGAGACTGAAAGCCACTTCTTCTTGTACATGAAGACACCTGGCCTGACTGTTACAAATGTTGAACCGCTCACGTTATGGCTTCTCGACAGTGATTGGCCCATTCAAAATCCCTTTCTCTGATTGGTCGTTTCAAATGCAAGAAGAATGATAAAAGACTAAACAGGTTTCCTCCCCTTTGCAAAATACTTGTTTGGCACCATACGAGCTGCTCTGTGTGGCCCCAAAAGCATTAGGGACCATTATAGCTTCAGAATTTTTATTAATAGCAGGGCCAGAGAAACAGGGGGGTGGGGGGGGGGGCCATGGCCCCTCCACTTTTCTGCAGAGCAAAATGATTTTTCAGGCGTAGTGGAAAGAAATCTAGGCTACTATTCTGTAAGTAAGTGTACTTAGTAATATTTTTAAAATAACCTTAGATTAAGCTTGGTAGCTATATATTTACCAAAGAAAACAAACAGAAAATTTAAAATGGGAATTTGGTCAAAAAGGTCGGTCATTGTCCAAGTGGTACAACGAGTAACAGCTTGGCTAAGAGAATAGATCGAGAAAACGGATTCAGAAAGACTTTGTTGCCTGCACCAAATGATGAAGTCTTGTTTTTCTAGAGCCTAAACTTCGTTTTTTCTCAAAAAACTGTTGAAGGGAAATAAACTGCTTGAAAGAAAAGTTTTGAGAATATGAGAAATGAAGAATTTTTGTTGCATAATCTTTCATTTTGAGTTGACAGTGATTCTTTTGATATTTTGATGTTGATGGTTTTGTTAAAGCTTGATTCATTTATTTTCTCTTCCATTTCATATTGGCTCCCTTTTAAATTTGAAAAGCTTGATTTCGAGCTACAATTTAAAGGCTATTTCAAAAATTTGCAAAAACTTTCCCATTACATGTCAACATTACAATAGACGAAATTATGCGACACTTTGATAAAAGAAAGCTTGAAAATATTTCCTGGGAATTTCCTTCAGTCAGAAAGTAGGAATTACCAAGATAAAACGATAGAGCTGCAAATATTCCATAGTTCTTTAATTTTACTTTTAATTACGTATTACTTTAGAATTATGTAAACCATAAAAAAGATATTCGTTTTTATCTTCAGTTGACACGTCAAGTCAGAAATTTTTTTTACTAGTTGCGATTTTAGTTACACCAAGATAAAAATTTTGGTTTTATTCGACAACAGTGGCATACTGGGATGAGATCACGGGAGTTTTCAAACCTTAAAAGTTGTTTTATCCACGTAATTAACAAATATGAACTTACCTTTACAAGCCAATGTTGAAATCGTTTCTGTCGGCATTGATGCTTGTGTTACTAACGGGAGAAAGCGCTAAATTCCACTGAGAGAGAATGCATCCCTCCTTTCTCTTAAAATAACTACAATTGTACACTTTCTCTTGCGCTCAGGTACTTTGTATATACATTTTAAAGGCTTGAAGATCGATGAAAAGCTCACGTCCACTGATGTTCACTGCTACGGCCTTGTAAACGATGAGGATGAAAAGGGAGGGAAAATTAAATATGCATTCATTTACGCTTGTCATTTTATCTTGAGATTTTATTCAATAGCTGCAGAGCAATTGTGCAAATCACATAATACTAATGTTTAACTTATTAATACCTTTCTTTGTTGCATTTTGTAATTGGGACTTGCTTTGGAGTAATCATTTTTTCGGTAAACAGATTCAGAGTACAAAGTGTAGAAAACAGACGTAGATTGTAAACATAGATTGGTGAATATGATATGAGAAATTGCGAGAAATTGAAGATCGATGAAATATTTCTGTTCGATATTCTGGAGAACCATTACTAGATTACATTGTGCAGCTACCGTATTGCTTCGAAAAAGCACCCCTTACTTTTAACAGCCTATTGAAAAGTGCATAGGCTATATTTCCCGAACAAGATAACGCAGGGGCACAGAAGAGAAAACACAAGGCTTGCGAAGGTAGACTTGCGCAAAATTCTGGCTCCTATCTACAAATCTCAAAGAAAGAAAATTTAACATCAGGTTGTTACCTTAGATAGGGATTATGACGAGGGTTTAATAATAAATGATTTTAACTATTACTACTGGCAGAAAAACAAGCCCTTCCCTACATTGAAATGGGATCAATTGAGCTTAACCTGCCCTTGACCTTTAATTTCATTACAACACAGGTCCACAAAGAAGAATTGAAACAAAATTTTGAGACTTTAACAAATTTGATGACTGAAAAACACGACTATTCTACGTGATATAATATAATTGCAACTTAGTTGAATAGAATTACACAAAAAATATCTTCAGACGAGATACAAGCTACAATGAAATCACATAAATTAAATAGATACATTGAAACATAGCATGCATCATTCTGGGTAAACTGACGTATGCAGCCAATAGATAGGATCCGTTTTCTGATATTTATTTGCCATCAGAAATCCTTACAATGAGCCTCATTAGGCAGGGCCTGCGCCAAAGGGGCCAGGGGAGCATGGCATCCCCATTGTTTCGTTAAACAAAATATTAAAATCAGCCTAAAGTATACACCAATTCGACTTACGGCCTCATTTTGAAAAATTCTTCAAATTCTTTTATACAAAATTTTAGACCCCAGATTCTGATCGAGAGCAATGATTTTAATCTACTTCGAAGTTTTCATTCTGGTATTGCTGGCGATATTGATTTTTTAACGACATAAAGTTGAAAATTTTATAAGGGATTTGACCGTGATTGGCAACTAGGGGGGTAAAGTTTCCTCTCGAAACGATTTTTGCGGTCAAATCCCTTACAGGTTTTCAAACTTGATTTTTCCGTAAAATCTAAAATATAAGCTCAAACAATGTGATAAATTGTATTCGACCTGAAATTATGGCGATAAAATCATATCTGAGCTTAAAAAAGTCGTATAATTAAGTTTGGAGAAATTTCCAAAACGAGGTCGTAAGTCTAATTGGTGTATTTATATGGATAAACCTTTTGGGGGTAGAAAACTTCCTTTACATTGCTGGCCCCTCCAATTTAGGATCGGTGGCACGGGCCCTGTTAGCTACAACAATTTATCAGCCAATATAATAGCGACGTATTATCACGAAGTATCATTATCAATGTTTTAGGGTTTCAATACTAAACCCGTCAACACTGGAACGGAACCAGAATGAATACAGATAGGTCACTGGATCAAAATGTGAACCTGCCCGATCCCAAAAACGCATTGACAGCAGAGCACCCAGGGCCAGTCGACTGAATTCCATTAAGGGTGTCTTGAGGTAAGAAATATGCCGGAACGTCGTTGCATATCTTTTCCATGTTTAGCATTGTACGCTTTACAGCATACAGTAGCTTCAACTTGATATGATTTGTTTATGCACAGATTTTGCGCATAAAAAACTTGAAAATCAAACTATCGGTGAAGCCGAAATTTCCTTGAGTTGCAGATGACTGCATCGACTTCCCAGCAAGAGCAGCAACTATACGACCGACCCATACTCCAGGCAGGGTATGACGCCCTCAACCTCCCTCATAGCAGCAACCCCGACCCACGTGATCCGGTGAAGATTGAAATCATTCCTGTTAGAGATCGGCTCATTAGGATTCGTTCCAGTGCAATGGGGAACCAAGTATCAAATCAGTGGCGTGACGCAGTTTAGGGCACCTTAGTTCGATAATCGGATATCTTGCTATGTATTTTGACATGCTCTACACCCTTGGGTGGCACTTTCTTGTAATCCTTTAAATAGGGGCCCCGGCTCAAATATTCATTAATGCCTCAGATGCCACTGTAGCTGTAGCTAATGATATTCGACTTTCAGCATATGGGGTACCATGAAACTGTAGCCTGCGTGCAGCCCCTACTGTTCCAATCATGTCATTGAGCAGAATCGTTGCAGGAAGCTACATTGTTCAATGATTCAATTCAATGTTGTAATCAAAACTACAGGGACTGCATGCAGGCTTTAAACAGGGGTCCTATGGACAAGGGTATCGAAACGGGTGTAACTATAGCAACTAAGCTATATTTGTTACGTATCCACCCTGAAGTTTTCGGGTCAACGCTTAGCTATGAAGGATCGGGAGCTATTCTGGGAGAGTGGCAGCCCATCCTAGCAACATCCTGTCGGAAACTAATCCGTTTACTCTGATAAATCATTAAGTATATTCAAAATATTTTTAAAACTTCTATTTACAAGAGGTCGAAGAACGAATTCCCTTTGTTGTCGCCTAAAATTTTGACAGATGCACAGATTTTAAAGCCTTATTTAGACAAACGATGTCCTTAGTACTACCTTTATAAGCCACACCCAAGAAGGAAACGCCCTTTTATCGGAATTGCCTATCATTCCACCTAATACAAATTTTAAACCATAATTATGCCCCTTGTAAGACCACCCTCTCTGCATAAAAATAGCAATAAATTCTAGGGATGATCATACTGTTGATATACAATAAAATCTTAACCTTTTCGGTGACGTATAAAATACTGAAGGGTAACAGCTATAAAAATGTAAAGACTATACGCGAGTATTCCAAAAATCTCTTTACACTTAAAAGACTTCCCAGCAATGGACTTGGTTAAAAAAGTCGTTTCCGCCATTAAGAATACTGTGAGGACCAAGAGAAAAGTTCATTATAGTAGGAGTTCGTCATACCGAGGGTTCGTCATACCCAGGGTTCGTCATACCGAGGTTTCTTTATAAAGGGAGCATTACAATGAGTTCGTAATAGCGAGATGTTCGTAATAACCGGAGTTAGTAAAAGCAAGACTTGACAGCATTTCAGTTTGGCAAGCATTCCGTATAAAAAAGTAATGTCAAGGCACAATAATTTGCTTCTTGGGTTTACCGAAATTAAGTCTGTAACTTAAAAAGGAAGGGCAAGCTTTATTCTTTTCTTTAAAACTATCTTTGATAACTATCGTTTAATATGAAAAATAGCGTCTTAAACAATGCTTTGCAAACAGTCGTTAGAAAAAGGGAACAAATCAGGAACTTGTTAGCATGGATAGAGCGGAATCCAAATTGAAAGGTGTGGCAAACCTTAGTAGCAAACAGCAAAAGCATTATCAGTAATAAGAAAAGTTGTTTTAGTGTGCCATGTTTTTGCTTTTCTGTGCTTTAAAAATAAAAACACTGTAACTTAATGACACTGTAAAGCCTTGCTAAAGCTAATTCTTCTTTTTTTGCAGAGGTAATATCATAATCCATTCATTTATCCATTTATTTTTCCTAATTTAAAGCCCCAGCCCAAAAGGTCACAATACTTCAGCATTATCCATAAGCCCCCCCCCCTACAACTTGTAGTTAAATACCAACATCAAAAAGGCTGTTGCGAATTATTTTCAAACCGTGTTTGGTACCAAGTTCTGTTATCGCAGCTCCAAGGTCGCCATTTCCACCAATTATCTCTGAGAATTCGCGATAGAAGTTTATGGACGTTGCACTGAAAATAAAAATGGCATAATCGTGATAGCAAAATATTGAATTCAACAACTTTAAAGCCAACAAAATTATTCAGGCATTCGAATTAAGGTTGTATGCAATCTATTAATTTGAACCCAACACACCATAAATGTAGAATTAATACATAATACTGCAGATAAACTTAAATTATTATAATTAAGCACTAAATAGAGACACAAAAACATCATGGAATTAGGCTTATTAAACTCATTTTGAATCTATTCTTTAACTAGCACAAGACCGGTTTTCTTCTACCCTTGATTTAGTCGATCCGTTCCAATTCGGATCCATACACTTTTGGGATCGATTTCTAAGTTAATCCATTAGAATCCGTTCAAAGGCAGGTCTAGCTTTCGAGAAAATTGCATCAGACCCAGCATGGACCCATGCTCATTTGTATTTTTGCAGTGCAAACGAGGTCTATAACCTCGTTATGTTGCTACGTACTCTAGGTACCAGAGTCTTGCCAGTCACAAAGCTCTACATAGTATATAAACAAGGTTTGCAACGTCACAAGTTATAGAAGCATCAAAAGGTCCTATGGTAGTGATTGATTAATGAAATAGAGAATGCTTCACTGACAGACTTACCTGTCCACAGGAGCACGCAAAATCATCAAAAGAACTTCTTGTAAGTTTAATTGATCAAGATCCATCGAATCTAGGTCGGTACTATTTGCAATTGTATCAATAAGAACAATTCGTGGCTGTATAAAAAAAATATATTTTATGATTATCTATCACTATGATACAAACTACAGACATAGCAGGATCAAGTATAGGATACACTGAGTTTTATTGCATAACAGGCCCATAGCGCATTGCAGTAACTTAAAACTTCTAATGACCAATATTTAAGTGAATCGACAGATACTGAGGCGTCAATCAACAATTGGCCAATCAGTGAGTGTGATATCACTCATCTGCTTATTGATTGGTTAATATTGATGGAAAGACAGATTAAGTCAATTTAGTATATTTAGATTGCCTTTAACATAATAAATTTTGAAAACTCCATGCCTTTGACATTAAATAACACTTTTGAGTTTCTTTGGTACAGAAGAGCTTATTCGAAGATTTCAGATATAAAAAACTGTTTGACTCTTCTTTTTTGAATGCAAGTTGACGAATATGACAGCCCTCACCCCTAAGATATTATCGGACATAGAGTCCAAAATCCATGATAGTGAAACAGATTCTTCATTCTTAACTTGATCATCTGATCCCAGAAACAACTGTCCATCTTCCTACGAAAAGAAATGTTTTATAAAATGTCAAATTCCTGGTTAATAATGTCTGCTGGATAGCATGACGTAAAAATCTGACGTAAAAATTATCTGAGTGTTGGCGGACAAAGAAATTATCACCCTACCTTTTTAAGATTTTTATAAGTAACATTGTAATGACACCTCTCTTTGATCAATGATTACTGGGAAAAAGGGGATCCAAATTCACGACAGAGAAGAACCGACGAACCTAAATTCAAGCTCAGACATGAAATTGCTTACGTTTTCTTATCTTAATTATCCTGACAGACCTTGTCAATGTAGGGAGATTTAATTATTTTCAATTTCTCAAGAGGTTGCTGTCAAAGCTCCTCGATATTTTCTACTGAAGAATATTTTTTACAAGTTCTACCTATATATTAACTTTGTGAATTAAGCAAAAAGATCAATCAAAAAGATGTATGTTCGTAAACTTGCACTTTGCTATCGTTCAATGCTTCTTTTTCACCACCAGATCGCTTTTTCAATATCAAACTTTCCTTTGAAAACATTTTGGTCCTATATTTTCTATCAAGCCTGAATTTAGAGCACTTCTGTAAGCAGTATTCTCCTGTTTGGACTTACTTTTGTGGTCTGCCATTGACTGTGTGTAGGCATCCCAAGAGCTATAAATCCCTATGCCTCTTTCACTCTTTAATGCTCATATCTGCTTTAAAATTTCTTTAAGTCATAATGTAAGATGTAAGTAATGACCAATATTAGCCAGCATTTATATGCCATAAACAATGAAAAAACAGTCAGAGTTTTAACCCAATATTCTCGCAATTTCCTATGATTTCATGACATAATCGGTTAGTGGAATCATGTAAGATGCTTTATACACAGAACAGGAGTCCTTGAGCAATTTGAGGAAAAATACACGTAGAGAATAAGGAAAAGGTCCTAACCACAAAAGAGGAGCCTTGATAGTGCATCAAACAGAGCTTCAAACAGTCGTCGTTAACTGACTTCAGAAAAGAAGCAAATTCTTCCTCCAGAGATTTCTCATCCTTGCATCGATGAACTAAAAACAAGAATAAGAGGCAGATACAGAAAACATTATTTTGCATTTTACTGGATGCAGCGGTGCTTTCAAAATAAGATTGAATATTCAAAGGCCTCCTCAAGAGTGGCCTCTCCTTTATTCGCACACTCCTCAAGAGTGCTGTTTCAGAACTACAGATGGGTTATTAGACATCTTTTGGAATTTTCGATTCATTAGCCAGTTCATGAATGTTGTAATATCCTAACTGAATCATTAAGAATTTAATTATTCACCACCATTACATAATTTTTACCGTGGTATATTGGACAATCATTGGCGTATTTCGAATTATTTTTCAGACTGTTTTTAATAGGTGTATTTCAGACTATTTCCGCAATTCCAGTTGAATTTTACTGTGCTAAAAGATGACGAATATCCTCTAATACCGACATTAAATCAAGGAAAGTTTACACGCCTTCGCAAACAAACAAATCAACTCCTTCTTTCTTTTTACGACCATATGTTTAATAGATTGAATTATATAGGGAAAAAATCATCAATATTGAAGAAAATGTATGTTCAAGAATGCAAACCAAGCGAAAAATGTCTTTTTACAAGTGATAATGAAAGCCACGTCTACATCTAACTACCCATCTAAGTAAATTTAAAATGAAGCAGAAATATTGAACTCGTTACTCTTCTGTAACAAGAAAGATACTCACGTAGCCAATTGGTCGGCATATTAACAGCCTCCTTCGTTCCAGTTTCATTGAAAATGAAGGCGTACTTTTCAACATCACGGCTCGATAAATCGAGTAACTTCTTTTCACGTCCTAAGGAAAGCGAGAAATATGTAAAAAGTGAGCAATAGTCGATTTGAGATCCACTATAAACAAATACACACCCTTGACAATCATCCATCATTGCCTCAAACAAAGAAATATGAGCTTTAACAGCAAAGGGATAAACTTGAATGCAAAAAAGAAGACATCAAATTTTTCAACTTTACCTACAATAAATATATGGTAGGTGCAATTCATTCCAGAATGATTCTACTATGGGATTCACTGTCAATGTTAGCCCGTCTTAAAAATGGATTGCAAGAAAAATGGATCTTTAAGGAAAAAAGTAATGATTGTTTAAGTAAATCATGGTCGAAAAATGAAAATGTGAAGACACATGAAGTAGATGCTTCTTGTAACAAGGGCTCCAAATATCAACTTGAATATTAGTAAATGGCTTTGAAAAAAGCAAACATTTTACAACATATTGGCTAAAAGCTTTTTCGTCTGACACTCCTCAGAGCATAAAACGTCAGAATAAGGGTCTGAAAGAACACGATGAAAAATATATATCCAGTTGTGGATCGAAATAGGCCAATCAGAAAAACGCAAGCACAAGAACATATAGTTGACCAATTAGTGCCGCGTGCCTAAAGAAAAATCACCACTGGAGTCCAAGACGATTGATGTTTTATGGTCTGAGGAGTGTGAGACGAAAAAGCTTTTAGCCAATACGTTGTAAAATGTGTCTTTTTTTCAAAGTCATTTTCAAGTTCTGTACCGCCAAAAAATGGAATATTAGTGTACCTTACATAATTGAGGGCTGAGTTGAAATTTAATTCGACCATACAAAAGTGCTTACAGTTGATTTTTCAAGAAAACTGAACGTTCATATATCTTGCATGGTATCCTGGTTCAATGACATAGGTATGGCAAAATGACAGCAGTTACCTTCAGCAAGGCTTGGCACTTTAAATGGCATTGGCAAAAGTCTTCGTGACATGGCAGAAACATCAACCTCGTTTCTGAAAGGCTCTACGAGGTCTGCAACACTTAATATCCTCTCACGGCATTCAAGGCTCTCACACATCAGCTCGGCTAAGAACCTGTACAGATGGAATATTGATTTTGCCATTATCTTTTTTTAATAAAAACCAAGATGAAGACTTATATGGGGACTTAAACGACTTAAATGAAAAAGAGACCTATAAAATAATTGCACATTCACCTAGTGTACTGCAATAACGTGATGCTTTGAAGATAAAAATTATCGACTAGTAAATCACCGTTTCCTTATTCATATCAAAGCTAGAGATCTGCTCGCGTAAAGGCTTTCTGGTGGGATAGTATTTATGATAAATTCTAGATAAAAATCGAATCAAATTTCAAAATATATTTATTTCCCGTGTGTTGTTAGGACCTCAATTAAATACATGTTAGGGAGCCAAAGCAGCATTTGTTTGTAGGTCCGTTGGCGCTCAAAATTTTCCATCAAATGCTCATGCGCAGTTAAAATCAACGACGTTATCTTCACATCGCAAAATTTATTCTCTCGTAGGAGCATTTATGGCTCCTAAGGGAATAAGTCGGTCTCATATAAAAAGGGTATCTTGAAATAAGGGAAAATGAAATTCTTGTTTATATGATGCAACTTTGATACATAATGGGTTTGATGGAATGTGGTGAAGTACCATGAGATTCTGTCACAAGCCTTCTCCCTGATGCGCGTGTACCAAAATGCACCTGGACGATGGTTCCGTGAATTTGATAGAATAATGGCACTCGGTGGATCGAATTCAGACTCGTCTCCCAAACAAATGCAAATTCTTGTGTGCTTACCCTTATGTAAGCCTTAATCCTAGATAAAAATCTGTCCTTTTTACAACAATATTTCCAGGTTGGCGATGCCTCATAATTGGGTAACAGGACAGTAAATGTTATGCCTTACTTACCTATTTTTAGTATCATTAGGTGCTGCAGACAACACACATCGATTCTGTTTTGGTTTTATTCCAGCCAATCCTTCTTTCTGACAAAGGCCTGGGAGTTGTCTACCAGCATCGACCACTACACAGCTTGCCTGAAAACAAAAAGCTTAAACTAAAAGTACGAAAAAAAACGCATTGTTTTCATTAGAGCATCGGACTGCAACAGGAGCACATATTAGTAACGAGACACCATCCACAATCATTTTTAGTGGATTCAAACTCTTTAATCCTTTAGTATCAGAGTGATGTTACATCGGTTATCATATGCTGTAACATTTCCCTAACCTTTAACAGCTGTAGATAGCAGAACAAATCACTCCGAACAGATACTGTAATTACACCGTCTTAAAGGCTGCTTCCATTGGGTTTTTCTCCAACTGCAATATTTTTTATATCGAAACTATTGCCATATCAAATATGATATATTACCAACCTTTGACGTGGCAACCACAGACAGGATTTTATTGAGGTCTACAGCATATTTCTTCAAGTTTCCATTTGTTTTAGCGTGCAGTGGTTGTAGCTCAACGGGTAGTATGTAATTTTCTCCATGGATCTATTTAGTAGGTAGAATAGAAACTTTTACAATCTAAACAAAGGTATCAGAATCGATTTGATTAATAAAACAGGCCAAGTCAAAATACATTTATTTTCATTTTTTTGCAAATAATATATAACTGTTGATGGGTTTTTATACTACTTCTTTTGCAAACACGTCTTAAAAAGTGAAATATGAAACATGAGATAAACATGTATATCTTTATATACTGTTTGAAAAGATCGAAAAATACAAACAAAAAGGAGAAAAAAAAATCTCGGAAAATGCATGCTAATTACATAAACAACGAGCAATTCATACTCTTTAACACATTTGAAGATACGTTTGTTATTCTATAATATGTAGCCATGTAGCCATGAACATGTCGTCAAATCAATATCAAAAAAGAAAACGGCTATAAAACATCTCTCAATGAGCGCTATTGTCGATAACTTACAAATTGAATTTTTATGAAAGATAATAAGAAAAAGCAAAAAAAACACAAATTACCTGTACTGAATGTCCAAAGTAAAACATGAAAGCAAACGTATCTTCGCAATTCTTCTTGAAACTTTCAACTGCATTAAGCAGATTTCGTTTTTGCAAATTTTCAAAGCGTTCAACTGTTTGCAAAAAATAAGACGATACTAAACACCAAAAGTTGCCAGTCACTATATTCTAACGATTAAAAAATGCTAAAAGGTCAGCCAGTAAAATTTCTGTAGTTTTTAATATACAGAAATACCTTTCAATAAAAGAAAACTATTTCTTAAATCAAAATACGTGGAACTTTCATAATGAAAAAATTTTAACTTTCCACAATAAATAGTACTGCAAGACATATATAAAATATACATGATAATCCAACATGCATAAAATGCTATGGGTATTTGGACAAAAGGATTCTTGGCTTCAATATCTACGGTCCATGCGATCATCAAAAGACTTAAATATTAAAATAATACGCAAATCAAAACATTGATCGATCAAAAAATTAATTACCTGACCATCCATTATCCTTGAGAGATTTCTGCAGCTCCTTTGAGAAATTATTCGATGGCAATTTTGGGAGATGCTGGTACTCGTGAATGTCGATAATTATTGCACGACGAGCTAAAAGTACAATTAGTAAGTTAAAATATAGCTAAAACGTGGCTTTTTACTGGCTGTTTCTTGGGGATCACAAAGTGGAAGGGATGGTGTGACAAAGTAAATAGGGTAAATTGGTGTTACCTAGCAATTAAAAGAGGGGGGATTTTGCAAACTTTCTGTCAATGTGGAAACTAAATAGTAAGAAAACATCCGTAGCAAGAGAGTTAAATTTTCTATGAACAAAAACAAGAGGGGTCCGGCGGGAGGACATTTGAAAAGAAAGGAGAGCAATAGAATGGAAGCTAATAAGGAATTCTTGACCGAAAAATTCAGCCCTGTCGACAGCAGTACGTTCAGTCAGTCAACGAATTTGCCTGAAAGCTAACCTTTTCCTTCCAATACAATCCTGAGTATCTAAAGTTCAAGGGAGGATAAATGTGACAAAATTTTGTACCATAACGCAGACAACTGCTTCTCCCCAAAGCTAGGTGCATGGTCAGTTCATTAAATAGCATGTTATGTTATCTTGTTTTTTTTAAATTGTGTTAATTTTATCCCCAATATGCAACTGCTGCTTTGTTCTCTCAATTATTACTTTGTTTGCCTCCAAATACTTACAAAGCGAGCGTGATCAAGGAGTTCTCTTTTGTTTCCAATGCCCATAAGTATTAATGAATGGCGTGCAGGAGTTGGTTCCCATAGCTACAGACGTGGGAACTGATCAGCCGAACTTATTTGTTGATTATGGGGTCCACCCCTCCTTGGATGAGCATTGCCAACATAAAATAGTGTATGGCAGAATGAACATTTTCATACCTTCCCCACCCCCACACAAAAGAACAATCTGGGATAACTCTAAGGCAAATATACAGAACATTCATAATGATCTACGGGCTATAAATTGGAATATCTGGTTTGATACCCTTAAACCAGAGAAAATGACTGAAGTCTCTACTGAATCTGTATACACTACACTGGCCTCCTAGATTTCCAATAGGATAGTTACGTTTGGTGATAAGGATCCACCCCTGATAAGGATCGGGTTTTCGGCCTGGTTACTCAACAATTAATCAATTACTATCCATAACCCTTAAAATTTACACTGGTTTTGAAGAAACTCCTAGCAGGGAAACACGTGCTGTCTTTCTCGATTTCTCTAAGGCACTCGACAAGGTATGGCACGAGGGATTACTCTATAAACTTGAATGTAACGGTATATCTGGAAATCTGGGAAGAATGGGAAGAATGTGCAAAGAACCTAATTGCAGCCCCGTGCAAAGAAACTTCAAGTGATAAATTTAAAAGAAGTAAGACAGCAGAATGACAAAAATAATTACCTGACAGAGAACAAGACACATATTGCTGCACTGGGTTGTGCATTTTGTCAGAATGTTGGACGTTTGAGTCTTCGTGGCTCTTGACACTTGAATCTTCCACAGCATCTCTACTTGATTCTGTTTCGCAGTTTTCACAAGGAATAGCATTACCAGCAGTATTTGTGTTGCATTGATGAGCTCGAAAGAATGGTTTACGGCCTTTCTCTGTCTCAACGGTTTCTTGCCAAGAAGCAGAGGTTGTGTCCATTTCTGAGCTCTGTACAAATCTACAAGTCTCTTCATGGATCAGTTCTTTAGAAGAGTCCTCTTTAGCAACTAAAAGATCCCCTTTATCAGAATTTGAATCTTTGATACCTGTTACTTCTTCTTGGGTAAAGCTTTCGTTAAGTTCCTTTTTGAAAGCAGGAGACTTAGCCCATTTTTTCCCTTCATTACGTGGACTTCGGCACCTTGGGATTTTTTCTTCCAATATCAAAGAATCTTCATTCGAAGTTCCATCATGGAGGTCTACACTTGGACTTCCTTTACAAGCCACTTTCTGTTGCTCTGACACGACATGTGAATGGTCAATCTTAGATGCAAACCTTGAATTGCTGATCTGGGTATTTAAGTCTTTCGAATTTATAGCATAGGGAGTGAGTACATATGATGTACATCTCCCTTTCAACTTGTCAGGACTACAAGACACAGTTTTTGCTGTTTTAAAACCATGCGTCGTACCTTGAATTACTTCGTCCGATTTAAAACCGTTATCAATACAACTCAACGAAGGGTCCTTTTCAAATGTCCCTTCAGTCTCTTGGAAAATTGGTGTGGAATTTTGAGCACAGCCAACTAACATACTTGTCGAGCTTTCTCTAGGCACTAGCTGGTCTTTATGCCTAGTTTCTACTTGATCATTCAGCCTTTGTTTACTATCAATAGTTAACTTTTCATCAACATCATCTGTTTTACTTAAAATGCCATTATCTCCTAGTAGCAAAAAGCTTTCACTTTGGGATCTCTTTTCATTTCCAGGCACTTTTCCAGAAGTTTCAGTAGCAAGCATACTTCCTTCCTTGAATCCCTTTGAAGCTCCAGTGTCCTGTCTTGGAACAACCTCAGTTTGCAGTACACTTTTGTCTACTGTCTGCTTCCCTAAACTTTCCTGCATTCCATTTTCTTTACTGTGACTATAGGCATTTGACTCACTTTGGGTACGAGACAGCCTATTTTCTCTTGTGAAAGTTGCTTCACCTACATAGTTTTGACAAGTTTTCTCTGATAAAACTAGTCTCTCTGGCTTTTCTTCACTTAAATAACCTTTATCTGTCTCCTGCGTGGAAATTGTTTGTTGACAATTATCTGTTTGGTCAGCATTTCCTAACAATTCCTTGTCTTCGGCCAGTTCTTGTTCAGGTTGTGAAAGCTGGGTTTGGATGCCTGCTGTAGATGAAAAATGTTTAAGTTAAAAAAATGACAGGCCTATGGCTAATGATAGGGCATATAGTAGACGAAGCAGGGGTATTTTAGCCACAATTTGATAATATATAACAGGGGCGGCGTGGCAAAAATAAAGAGCACAGGAGCATTTTCGAAAATGGGGCCATGCTAGTTTGATCCCTGTTTCAGAAAATTAAACTTACCGAATCCTTGTTTCAAAATAACGAACAATGCTGTTAATTGTGAACATATATTTAATTGACAAAACTAGATAAACTAAAAGCCTTTTTACATGACATGCAATGCCAACACCAATTTATAAAATAATATCAGACCTTCCAACCCTACAGATTTGTATATCAGGACAAACTACTCAAGGTGGCAAATTTTGACTCTTCTAGTTCGCTAGCAAATTCACTCTTTTAAGCAATTTTTCTAAAGCAATTCTCCAAACCATAGTGAAGATTCTTCGCAGAAACCAACAGCAGAAAAAGAGAGCAGGTAAGATTGAGGGTGCCGTGGTAGAAGAGTGGTTAAGGGGCTCAAATGCCATGCCCGAGCTCCAGGTTCAATCTCCGGTTGCGGACGGCCCTCAGTTCACTCAGCTGAAAATGAGTACCTAGTTCAAACATACTAGGGAGGTAAAAAGCAGCATGGAAAGGAATTGACCATCCCACCACACAATGCCATGGCCCAGGACGATGCGCCCCCAACAGCGTATTCCCCAGTCTTCAATATCAAATATGGGACAAACCTTTACCTTACAATTTTGCAGATAAAAACAACATGGTTTTGAAAATATAATTTTTTGGCCGCTTCTAAAGCCAGGTTATCAGCAGCACTAATTGTCAATTGACCCATCTTCCCATCTTGATATTTCCTTTTGCATATAAAAAGGTATGGAGCTCCTTGTGAATTGTAGTAATTCGATACAAGGTACAATTTAACCAAAGGAGGGTCTTGTTTTTGGATTTAGCACTAGCAAGAAATCTTGAAGTCATTAATGCTTGGTTTTTTTACCTTATACTAGGTGAATGTCATATGTAACCAACAGAGCCACTACTTTTGCCCAATTCTTTATTGATTTTAAGATGGGAAGGTCTCTGAATTGTCAAAACAGTTGCTTTACCTTGTAATGACAGAAGGGTAACTGAATGAAATGACAAGAAAGCCTAAAAGGGGCAACAAAAGAAAATATCGACAATCAAATAATCTAAGAACTTCGGAAGGTGGATAACTTGACAAAAATAGATTGGTAGGATGAAAATGCATTGAAGGGCATCTTTTTCCAAAATAGTAAGTTTACCCTGTTGTATTTTTACAAGTTCTGTTCTACAAATTTTCCAGTTCCCTATGCCAAAGTCAAAATTTAATATGACAGGTAAGGTAAAATATGACAGCACAGTTTCTGGAACTTGCTAAAGTGACCATGCAGCCTCTTATGGCCCAACGATTCTAGTCATCCAATAGTAGCTTGGTACCAGCATGTAGAAACAGTAAGTTAATTAGTGAACACATTATGTCTCATCATTAATTATATAACAAATGACATGTACTAGAAATATCACACCTAGAAATGTACTACAATGTTGTGTGAGAGAACATCTAAAGGTCCATGTAAAATTCCTAGAAAGACATTCACAAACATTCACAAAATACAAAAATTTTTACCTGTATAATCAGGCAGTCCTTTAACTCCAGCTTCTTTTAAAAATTGTAAGCAATCTTTCCTTTGAATAGATAAGAGAATTGCAACAACATCACCTATTTTCATCACTTCCTGTTGCATGTAGACAAAAATTTCTTTCATTTTCTCATTTTGTTCTTCAAGCTTTTGCATAACAGCCTGGGAAAGGTTAAGATGATCTGCAAAGTGATGCCAGTTTGAGCCAATGACTGTCTTGCAATCCAATGCATCACAAAGTTTTCTGCGTACTTTAGTGGGTAGAGATCTGAGCAAACTATCAACACCTCAGAAAAAGAAACATGACAACTTTAACCAATGTGTTACACCTCAGTGAATAATTGTTAAGAATTTTAAGGTTTTAGGGTAGTTTGCTGAGATAAATACCTATAGTGGAGACAGATTTAGCACTTCTCAGAGCAAACATGCATTTTGTAATTACAAGATGAAACTGGGCACAGGTATGGTTTTTGATCAGCAAATTGAAATAGGGTTTATTGAAATTTCCCTGAGGCTATTTAAGAGCTTTTTTATTTGCCCACCTACAATGACATCTTTGGCAGATGAGTAATTTGGGGATATGTTTGTTTCTAGGTTCGCCTCTATTCATCTTTCAATTACTAGATGAAACTTTTTTGTTTGGTTAAATACCATTGCTTTGACACATTGATTTGAAATAACTTCCTTTCATTGTAAATTTATTTA